AAATAACAATCAAATAATCCTTTATCTTCACCATAAGCTAATATATTGCCTCACAAGGTCAGCCATCAACTTAATTTGAAAATTACAATAATTTGGTAAGTAAATGAGTTTCAAGAACTAACCTCTGGCCACCTCTTCATATAGTCTGCTGAAGTGGACGTCCTCATAGGTCCCTCAGAAGCAATATCGACCTTCAGTACATCATAGCGGTCTCTGCCATTGACTTTAACAACTTTATAAGGTCCTAAATACCTTTGCTTTAATTTCATATTAGTAAAATTGTTTCTCTTGATTACTACATAGTCACCAATATTATGTTTAAGGCTTTCCTTGCGTTTTTTGTTATAATTTCGCCGATTTTCATCTTGTACTTTTAAAATTTGTATCTTAGCCTGTTCTCTCGTTTCTTCTAGTAATAAACTAAAAATATTTAAATCCTCTTTTTGTTTCATTTTTACACCCACCATTAACTCATAAGGACTGGTTCCTATACTTCTTTGATAAGTACTATTTAGAGCCCTTTGAACTCTACTCACATGCTTATACCACTGACTTTTATCCTCTATGCACAGTTTGGTTAAAAGTTTAATTAAGACTGACACCAAAGTACGATGAATCCTTTCTACCTGCCCATTTCCTCTGGGTACTCCAGTGGTGATAACAATATGTTGGATATTCTCATCTTTACAATAGTCATCAAACTCCTTGCTAGTAAAAGCCGTTCCTCTATCTGATATAATTCGTTCTGTGTTTCCAAAAGTCTGCTGATGAATAAGTAACTTACTTAATGTCTCCTTAGTAGTAGTTGTCTTCACTGGAAAGAGCCAAACAAACTTTGTAAATGCGTCTACAATTGTTAAAATATAATTATACAATTTTGAAGTCTCTGAGAGTGGTCCTATGTGATCAATAGGCAATGTACTAAGTGGGATAATGCCCTTCTCTATGGAATTAAGAAAACCTTCTTGTTTTCCTTCTTTCTTCGTTGCCAACAAACATGGTACGACCAAGGAAGTTATCTATTTTAGAAGATAAATCTTTTATATAATAATCTACATTTAACATTTCTAACATCTTTTTCTTGCCAAATGACCATTCATGAATTGTTTTAATAATTTCCATTTCAATCCCTTGGGAATAAGTATTTGTCCTTGATCACCCTTTATATAATTCCATTCTGTTCATAATAATCTTTGTAATAATTATATCTGAAATTTTATACCCTCATCTAGTTCCTGTGCTCTCCTGATTTGATCATGTAACCCTCTGGTAACAACAGTAACATAAGGATTGCGGCTAAGAGCATCAACATGCCGCATCTGATTCCCTTTTCTATGCTCCACCTATAATCATACTCTTGTAATAACAATACCCATCTTGCAACTCTAGTTGATAAATCCTTCTTTTAATGTCATTTCAAATGCTAAGCAATCAGTAACAATCTTAAATTTTATGCCAAAAATATTTCCTGAATTTTTTAACACCCTCTATTATGGCAATGCCTCCAGCTCATAACTTGTGTATTTCTGCTCTGCATCTGAATTTTAAGTACACAGGGTGTAAACTCCCATCATTAGAATCCTTTTGAAATAATATTGCTGAATAAGCCATGATAGATGCATCTGTATGCAATTCGGTATCGAGTCCTGGGTTATATAATTTTAATACTGGATTTTCAGACAACAACTTCTTTAACAATTTGAATGCAATCTCCTGTTTTTCACTGAAAATAAAATCATTATTCTTCTTTAATAAGTCTGTTATATAGAAGCATACCCTTCAATAAATTTTCTAAAATAGGATGTCAATACAATGAAACTTTGAATCTGTTTTAATTTGTAATATTTAAAACTGCTTCAACTTTGTCTCTACACGTTTTATTTCTCCATTTTCAATTTCATAACCAAGATATTCCACCTTTTTAGTCAATAAGTCACTTTTTCTCCAATTTATATGTAATCCATATTCAGAAGCTAATTTTAAAACTCTCGTAATGTTATGGCTTCATCATATGTGTTTGATAATATTATTAAGTCGTCAATAAAAATTAATAGAAACCCCTTTGCTATAAGCTCTCTGAAAATAATAGTGATAAAACGTGTGAAATAATTCGGACATATGGACAAACCAAAAGGTGCTTTTAAACTCATATTGACCATTCTGTGTCACAAAAGATGTATACTTTGTACAGTTACTATTTATTTTGAGATTAAAAAAAGCGTCTTTGAGATCCAATTTACTAAAAATCGTGTATCCAGAAAGCTTATCTAAATGATCTTCAATGATTGGTAGAGGAAACTCATCCCTAACAATTTTTTATTTATTTTAATCAACACAGACTCTTATACTACCATCTTTTTTTGCTAACTAATACTAATGGGCTTGCATACTCTGAAAAGCTAGGAATAATACCATTTTGTAACCACTCACCAATTTGTTTATCAACTGCTTCTTGTTCCTTATAGGCTAGTCTACGCGGCCGCTGTGCCACCGGCACATCGTCGTTCAGGATAATCTGCATTTCAAATGGTGCCTCCTTGGTTTGTAAGGGCTTATATTGATCCACTATAAGCTGAGCTGTCTCCATAATCTGAGGATTTGGTACATAACTAACCGGTTTGTCATCTGTAAACAAACAATGCACATTCCTCGAAACTACATTTACCACACCTTTATCGAAAATAACTACCGCATTTTCCAAAAATGGTTGACCTAGGATCACTTTGTAAGGCATTGCATTTGTTGGTACAATATAAAACAATAATTCAAAATAACAATCATCAATTTTTAGTACTGTTTGAAATTTTCCTATAGAGTAAACAGTCGACAATCCCAGTCCGTGCAACACTATCTTTTCTTTATTATAGGCACTCACATTTAGTTCGAAAAATACATCTGCCGACACCAGATTTACGTCACTCCCCGAATCAATTAAACATTCGATTATTACGCCATTTATCTCCAATGTTTTGATTGAACTATTTCGCTTCGTATTCATGACGGTTTCAAATTGACAGTTCCCGAGCGAATGACATCTGTCACCACTGTCAACATTGCTGCCACTACGCACGTCGCCATTTTCTATGTTCGCGTCTATGTTCACACCGTTCACACACATTGATCGTCGTTCCGGTCGGTCTTCCGCTCCCGTCGTAGGTGAAGTGATTGAGATGCACTTATTATCATTCCCAATCGTATTTGAATTTCTTTCGACAAATGCAGCTCTGCAGTTCGACGAAATATGGCCGTATGAATGACATTTGTAACACTTAACTCCTTTCGAACATGTTGTCGCAATATGACCATTTTCACCACATTTGTAGCATTTTCTGCTGTCTCTGTAATGTTCTTTCGTTACTATGGGTTTTCTTTCCCTTGTAGTTACGTACATCTTTTTCTTCATGGATTCGTATATCACTAATTTTTCTTTTAACGAGGCATAGGTAGTGACCCCGTACAACATGACCTTGTTTATCTCATCATCTATAATACCGTCTGTTATGTACTGAATAACACAATAATCAGGTAACTTGCCGCGCTTGCCCAACTCCTTCATTATTAGCATATATTCATCATAACAACTTTCGTTTTTTCCTTTTTTCCTGTTGGATAAGATTTCGTGCAGCTCTTTCAAATTTATGCTATCAGGAAACTCCTTCATAATAGCACATTTTAAGTCGTCATAAGTTTTGAATGGTTTCTCCGACTTTAACCATAGTAATGCGTTTCCGGCTAACGATCTCCTCGCCAAAATTAATTGCTGTGTAGCACTCCAACCAAATATTTCCGCGTTCTCTTCTATCTCCTGCGCCCACCTCGCCGCCGTTATAGTCTTATCGGTCCCATTGAATACCGGTAAAGTTTCAACTGGATGCCACGCCGCCTCGCGAAATGCACGTTCCATCTTATTTTCGTCTTTAGACATTCTTTTTGTAATTTAATATAATCTTTAAATACGACGTGTCCACCTCGTCATTCGTATTCTTCGTCCGCGTCACCGTCTGTACCGCGCCGCAATTCGGGTACTTCCGTCTTCCATAAAAATCCGTTAACATCCAAGTAATCTTTGATCCTCTATCCCGGGCGAGCCCCCAAAATTGTGGGAATGAGGATTCGCGAATAACAGGATGATTATTTTATAGAACTCCTTTTATTTAAATTACAAAAAAAAACATTTACTATGATACATGAAACGACCTAACTATATGGCAGTCTACGAGGAAGAGAGCGATGCCCATCCTCTTTTTCCATTCATTCCTTTCTCCATCCATTCACTCTTTCGTTTCTATCCATTTGCTCCTCTGTTTCCATTCATTCATACTCATTCGTTCCCATTCGTTCATACCGCCAAGTTTCAAATCCTACATGTATGTTAATAATGGCTGTCAATAAATATTTTTCTTTCTTTCTTGGTTACGGCCACTGATTAGACTATTTGCTGTTTATAAATTTGCAATAGCATATGCTAATGGTCCCTAATTTGAATTTAAAATTAAACCATATTTTATAAACATAAAATAAGTTGAGTTGAGTTTATTGTTAGTTCTTCTTAGCTCGACCTGATAGAAGATTTTCACATACATCATTGACTCTTATAGAGTCGATGATAGACCTACATGAATAAAAATATTTTGATTTGATACTGACGATATATTTAAATTGAAGCCAATTCTTCCAGATATAATATCACCGGGGTAAATAATATTATAACATAGATCACTATTGAAATTCAGTTTCGCAATTAATGTAAATAGAGCCTATTAGACAAATCAGTCAAATATAAATATTTAAATAGTTTTCGATTTCGACAAGATTTAAACTGAAGACCTTTTTGGTTTAAGTTGGTAAGGGTAATGAGCGCATTAAAAAATTGTAACAAAGAGTTAAAAAAAAATGCAGAAAAATATAAATCTCTTATTTTAGGTAAGTAGAATATTTTGTGTAACAATAACAACATAGATTCAACAAGATTCGAACTCAAGACTTGTGCGACTAAAGTAATGGTAATAAAAGACACGGCACAAGTTAATGAAAATTTCACCCAAAAACATAAATCTCTTAAAGTGGCTCACATTTTCGCGGACGACGCCTCTCGATTGGCGCATTTCGAATATTCCGACTCTCATTTCAATGTACGGAGACCTTTATTTGGGTAAGTACGAAGTACGATCTTATGTGGCAGAAACATAGATCACCATTGAAATCCGGTTTCCCAATGAATATAGAATGAACTTGTAAGACAAATTAGTCCTCATGTACCGGGCACGACGGTCGACCATCGGAGACGATCACAGAGAACCCTTGAGAGTTGTACACCATTGTCATTTCAAATTATACATGGTTTATTCTTTCAACGGACTTCTTATTTTATATAAACGAACATAATTGAATAAATATTGTTTTTTTTTTTGTTATCTTTATTTATTTAGAAACTTAGTATCAAAATAGTCAGATTATTAGATCCGTCATAATAAGTATTACTATATTATCTGTGGTCACAGCTCCTAAATTTAATACATTACATTTATATTGCATCTAAACTACTCCAAAGACAAATATTCCTGATTTAAACTTTCATCCACAAATTTATAAATTAAGACAATATAGATTGAGGTTCCGATATTAAAAAAAATCTAGCACGTGGTAAAAATTTATGGTAACGAAACTGCAGTTTACAGTTACTATCATAGATAATTACAAAAATATTGCATTCAGCTTTTATATAAGATCCATAAACTCTAAATGAAATATTACAATGAAGTGTATTGTAAATTTGTAATATTTAATTTCGATGAATTAGAGTTTATAGATCCCAAGGTATCCCGTGGATTTAGGATGGAGATCGTACATATGCAAATATTATGTAAATCTTTCGGGAGATATAAATAGATCTCGTAATGTTATTAAAACCCTATTAAAATCATGGTTTAGAAGTAACCGGACAAATATACAGTAAAATCTTAATCTAATATATATAACTCAAAGGTGACTGACATAGTGATTTTCAGTGATTTGAAATTTGGCATGCAGGTAGATGTTATGACGTAGGTATCCGCTAAGAAAGGATTTTGATAGATTCTACCCTCAAGGGGATAAAATAGGGGGTGAAAGTTTGTATGAAACTTTGTCAATTTTAAACCGATCGGACTGAGACTTTGGATGCATAAAACTACTATGACGTAGGCATCCCCTAAGAAAGTATTTTGATAAATTCCACCCCTAAGGGGATAAGTTAACGCGAGCGAAGCCGTGAGAAAAGCTAGTATATATATAAAAGGAGACCCATACAGTTATGTATTATTTAAAAAAAAGTAACATTGTCCTCTCCTTTCTATTTCCTGTCTGAGATTCTCACTAATTATTATCAGAAGATCGTTGTAGGGTGAAATGACCGGCGCACCACGTGACCGTCCTTTTGTTATTCCATAAATTATTTATAGATAGAACTGTCAGCCGCCAACTACACACCTCACTCAATTAATACGCATCTAAAATAAAACTTACCACGAAACAAAACAGTCCATTTTCCTATAATTTTATTGTGTAACATAAAATTTGTATTTAGAATTAGTCGTTCGAGATGTATAGACAAATGTTGCCAGTATTATTTTATTTACATTCAGACGAGACTATTATATTTTTAATTTTGTATTTGTTGCAGGCCAGTAATATATGTATCTGCATGGTGACTAATACTGTGATAATGGAATTTAATGTAAATAATAATATAATAATACCCCTCAATTCTGTCAACGCATCCATCACATCTTGTTCCAAGGTAAGTTTGTGTTATGGGTACTAGACAACTGATATAAATTACATATTAAACAATAAAACACCCAGACCAATACATATTTTATACCGTCCGAGAAATAGAAGCCGCGACGGAAGTGAAGCGGTGTACTAGCCGCTAGACCCAGAGGCCGATTAATTAACTTCAAATATATTACTGAAGATCTATGTTATTGGCCATTGTATTTTTTTTTTAATGTATAGCAATATTCTAGCTTGTTAAACTAATTTCAAAATTACAATGAAATAAATTACATTGTTATGAATTTGTAGTTTACTATTTCTACTGTAACCTGCTTTTTCTCAAATGTTATAACAATAACGCTGGACTTACAAAATTATTACAGCCAAGTAATAATAAAAAGCCAACACAGCAACTTTAGCGAATCAACGAGTTTCGCTAAGAGGGGTCGCAAAAAAAAACACCCCAACCTCAAATTTGCGCAATGAAACGAAAGCTGAGCGATACAAATTCGCAAATCCAACGGTTATAAATAGCGACCCCATAATACTCCCCTTCGACGTTTGAAAGGAAAAATTCAAAATGGCCGACGTGCGTCTTGTCTTTATCTTTTTCTTATGTAAATGACGTCGTGAAATATTGGACGTTTAATGAGGTTAAGAACTTTCCCGCCAACAGCGGCGCCATAGCCCTCTGCATTGTCTTTTGCTTCTTTTATGACACGCTTTATTTTTTTTTATATTTGTAAAAATACGCGTGTGGAAAACTAAGCCGCCAAATGTAAAAAATTAAAAATATAAATTTGACGTGCCTTCATCTGGCTTAAAAAATCTGAATAGGTATCTGTGCATAAATTGACACTCCTATTAAAGAAAACTAATCTAAGTTACACTATAATATTTTAACTGTATAATTTACGATTTTTGTAACATAACCGATGTACAGTTATGACAAAAATTATGCTTATCTTAATACAGGATAGAATAAATTAAAATATATCTCATAATAAAAATGAACTCATACAGAAAATTAAAAGTAATTTATCACTTTATTTTTATAAAATCTTCTGAGTCACCAGTGCCCTCTTAAAAATAATAGGTAACGTAATAATCACTACTTTTATTTTAATTATTATACTTAGATTAACACAAAAAATATTAAATAATATATTTAATTGAATAATACAACTCTTACAAATAGTAATATTTTGGATAAAAGGAGTAAAAAAATAAGAATCACATACATGCTATGTAGAAACTGCATGCACCCACGTCTCTTGCCAAACCTCTGCCAAATTTATTGCCAACCGGAAGTCTTCGCTACTTCCCGCGTCACAATGGCTGGATCCGTTTCCGGCATACACTTGAAAGGGGAATACATTAAGAACTTCCTTAAACTTAATTAATTATCAAAAGTATACATACAACATTCTCATACTACAATGTCTGTTTACCGTTGTTTAGTATACAATAAGTAACTATAGAATACAAAAGAGGAGAATTGAATTAATAGTTATTTAAAAGAAAATGTAGTAAATATTACCATTTATGTATCACCTACAACGTTCAAGTTTATAATATTAAAAAAAAAAAAATATTTGGAAACATTTCGAAAAACATATTTTTTAGGAACATGAAGGTCTCTATGAATATTTAATCAATTACGAAAAAAAATACAACAAAATATATATATTATAATACATAAATTTTATATGATGTACCGCATTTAAAATACTTATTCCGCGGACATATGCAGAATCTGTGAATCATAAATTATTTTTCTTAATTCACAGATACCACATAATTATGTTATTTTGTTTTCTTATAATTCTGGATACTTCACACAGTGTTATCTAGTCCCAAGTTAATCAGAGCCTATGTCGTAGTAGTAGAAATGCTTTTAGATGCTTAGATCACTACAAATAATCATATTCATGAATACAAATGTTTGCATTGTGCGAGGAATTTAACCCGCGACCAGCGGAAGGAAAGCGATGTGATAAACCACTACACCATCGAGGCCGTCATCTGCAAGAAATATATATACATAAAAATGCCACAGTGTTTAGGAATATTTATTTAATGTGATGTTTATTCAAAAGTGCTTCAATGTGAGTTTATTTGAATAAATGATTTTCTATTCTTTCTATTATATTCTTCTTAACACTCGAAGAAGCTGCTCTGTGAAGCTTAAATCTATTACTACATTATTAAAAAAGACTTGTAAACATATAACAACCACAATGTTCAAAAGTATCTTTACATACAAAGATATTAAATTACAATCTCGAGAATTGATTCACTCTACCTCCTAGTCTGTGAATGTTATTATAATTATCACAATGATTAAATACCAAATAAGCTACCTCCAAGTATTACCTAAGGCAAATACTTCAAGTTTGCGATTTATATCGACACAAGCTTAGTTTGTTGAAACAATACCGCTTATGGCGGCGCATTGTCTGCTAAGACAAACTATAAATCTACTGTTTCAAACTATTGTAGATATTCAATAAATCGACAAGTTGCCAACTTGCCAAAGACCGGACTTACGGGCCAAGAAAGTATACAACTCGCTTACCGACCACTAGTTTTCATAGTGACGTTCACATCGCCTCGCAAATGTTATATCGATATTGAAAATATATTATTATTAGCTGACTCACGCAACTTCGTATGCATTACACTTACTTAACATTATTTTACCAAATATACATAATATCTTTTTAAATTATAGGCTATATGTTATTCTGATCAAATACGTGATATAGTAACAAACATCCATCCATACATCCATACTTATAAATTTTCGCGTTTATAATATTAGTAAGGTTCCTAACCTAACCTAATCTTAGTAATGTTATAAATGTATGCCTGATACTGCCGCAATATTTATGTAGTGCATCAGGCATGTTCATTTTTAAATGACTTTTATGCCATGGTTAGAAAAAAACAGTTTTTTTATGAGAATGCGCTATAGCCGCAACAAAATTCTGAAAACATTGATGAAAAAATGCAATTTACTAATGATATGACATTTTGTTTACTTGTTAAGCAGAGGTCTAATGATTTGTAACCACTGTAATTGTAGTATATTAGAAAAATTATAACAAATGAGCTGTAATAAAAATTATTATTATTAAGAACAGGTCACATCACTATAGAGCGTCGCGCACTTTGTTTGGGTCGAGTCTGGAGCGTTTAAGCTGAAACAGTAGCTCTCCTACCTGAGAAGGCACAACTTGTTCTGACCGATGGACGCTTTCAAAGTATAGATATGATAATGCCCACTTTTCATATAGATTACTGGTCTCTACCCGCGACTATGTTCGCGTGATCGTAATTTACAGGCCATAAAAAGCTACATATATTCTTTAGTAGATAAGGTTAGTAGTTGCTGTTTAGTATATAGTAGCCGGTCTACTATATACTAAACAGCACTATAGACATCTGTTTGTTACTGTTACCTATTATCCTGTAAATTAATTGCCTTCGCAACATTTTTTATCATTAAATAGCATTTGGTATTAAGAATATATGTAGCTTTTTATGGCCTGTAAATTACTATTAATAGTAGAAGTAATTTTTTATTACATATAATTTTAATTAAAATTAATAATTATGATATTATAATTAATTAATATTATTAATATTAAAACAAATAAATATAATTAGTCGAAATTGTTAAAATTTAAGTTGTTTAAATAAAGAATTTTCTATTCTCTATTCTATATTAATATATTATATAATATTGATATATAACTACAATATTTCAGTTTCAACTACATATTTCTACTTGTGGACCGTTATTCAGCACGCTAACATAAGCCAGGCCCCGCAGGCCCGTCCGCTGACCAGCCTAAACACCCAAGTATTAATAACTTTAAACTATTATAAAGTCTTCTCAACTTGCCTGCGATAACTTGTACAGGTGCCGCTCCACTCTATATGAACACCCGACGTTTCTTATTGGACTACATAACTCAATTATTGTGTTTCAAAGTGTAAGAACGTATAGTAACATTTTATATCAATCAATTGTTTTCGGTGTTGTGTCGTAGGAAAAATATTTTAGTAAATATAGGAAAACTTGCTGCTACAGAAGAACGCGAGGGGTCCTTTTGTCTCCTATTTTACACCCTTTTAGATGATGCTTTGCTATAAAATTAACTCCCCATGATAAAACTATCATTCATATTAAATTTCATTCATTTCTATTTGGTCGTAAAAGGATAATAAATAGACAACCAAACACAATATTTGTTGTCAATTTTATTTAAACAAAATGTACTATTACTATGTAACAATCTGTTATTACTAAGCCAATGGTTTTTGTTATAAGGTTATATTGTACTCTATATACCTACCTACCTACTGTACCTACTGTATATAACTCACATACATATATATAATTCATAAACCGGTGTTTCTTATTAAACAAGATATATTACTGAATATTTGCGACTGTAAACTTATATGAAACTATGAAAATATTTACTATAATTTTTATCTTTGATCGCATAAGCATCTCTTCCAGACAACCTTTGAGTAGAGAGAGAAGACCGAAAGTGATAGGTGACTCAAGAATGAACTAGAGAAATAAAAAAAGTCATGGTAATCTTAAATGCAATAGATATCTTTTTTTATACTACGATGATAGCAATAACGCATACGGCCCATCTGTTGGTAAACGGTTAGCTATATCTCAGAAGAAATTTAATCAAGAGACTACAGCATGGGAATTTTCAAGAAGGGTATATTAAGGTTTCTTAAAGGACGGCAACGCGCACGTGACACCCCTGGTGATTCAGTCGTCCAAAGGCTACGGTAACCGTTTACCATCAGATGAGCCTTATGCTTGTTTGCCATCTACATGGTATAAAAAATGGTTATTTGTAATCGTAGTTATATCTATATCAATTTTGAAATAATTGTATTGCTTCTGTTTTTATTACCAGAATTTATTTACAAATAATGATTATTTCCAGACATCCAATTTCCATTCAAACTGACCCAAGCGAATTTAACTATTGATATACTTGTACTAAAAGCTTTCCAGCCATCTTCTTGTTAGCGAAACTAAATAGGCAAATGAGCAATATTCCGGTCGAGAAGGGACATAGATTCCTAATCAAAGATGCGGGCTGAGAGAATCTTAGCAAATTATTAGGGGAACTTCCCTTGGGACGTTTAGGGTTGTCGAAACATGTATCTGTTCAAAAACTCTTAATATGTAATATTATGTTATCTGTGATTACAATAAAGATATATAATAATACATATAAAGTTTATTTTTCTATATTCTCTCATCAAAAATATAAAACTAAATTCTATCTATGTCACCTTACTGTCTCTACTGTCTCTACATATTTATACAATTATAAATTGTTTTACTACTTATTTCCACAACAGTATCCCGAAGGTATTTATTTATAAAAATAATAGAATTTCACGTTTTTTCTCAACGTTGTAAAAAAAACTTGTAGTAAAACCTCGTTTTGCACTATGTGTAGACCTTTGCCAAGCAGAAGAGGATACGCTACTATACATCCTATGTGATTGTATTCCACTAAAACGAAATATCTCCTTTGGAAAATATACACTTTATAAAGAGGCGATAGAAACCATCGCTCATAAAGAATATCCTTTAATTGGATGGCGAACTTTGAAAAGGGCGAGCACAATGGATCTATACAGGTCGCAGTGTTACAGGTCTTATCACCTAACATTATCCCAGAACCCGTAATAACAAAAAAATTAGATGCATAAATAAATAGTTGAATTATCAACATGATTGTACAACCCTTACCAAGGCGCTCGCCATAACGGCGTCTTGAGTGACCGCTAAATGTCCCTCAAAGGCTCGTACGCCTCTACTCTCTTGTATGCACAGAATCATACCCGCTGTCTACCCCACTAGTACGTAATGAATTGATTTAACCCTTTTATATGTAACTACATATTTAGTTTCTAATTAGAAGCCATCATCTCATTCCAATATTGTTAACTTTGATGATTGCAATAATATTACTATTCAGTCTTTATTGTGTTTGTAAGCGGCAGAATATTTAGTAAAATAAGTATATGGTAATAATCATTTAAAGGATAACTTATTTTTTCTCCCTGAATCAAATTAATATTACTTACCATAAAAAACTTTCTACAATGTCGTCTTTGCTTTATTTCCGACAACAATTCTAGCAACAGGTTTGGTTGATTTACTTAAAAAAAAAAGGTTAGGTATACCAGTTTTTTCTTTTTAATTGATGATATTGGAATAGTGTTACTCCTTGGATTCGAGGATATGCCTCTGACAGTGTACCCGTGAAGGATGATAAGATGAATATGAAGTCAAATCTGTAGCCCATCATAGTACAAGAAGTTTCAAGTGGAGACCTAGTGGAGGTCGACCTGTAATAAAAATTGCTAGGGATAGAGTCACTATACTCTATTACTTGGTACAATGTCTGACAACGTGTTACTACGGGGTTCACAATTTATCTTGGGTCGAAACTATATATACATATTTTTACTTTTCCGTAAAATGAAATTTGAACACGTAGTAAATTACAGTAAACTAATAATTTTATTATTTTTACATATTATAAATACCTTATAGACATACATAGGAATTAATATTATAATACTAATATATTGAAATTGTCACTGTGGTCACGGCACTGACTACAGCAATCTGCTGTAGCGCCAGTGAACCACCCCCTTCAGCCAGTACCTAATCCTTCTTCATGAAGGTGGATAGCATGTTGGTGAGAAACCAAACGCCTTCAAACTCGCGTTGTGATTCGACTCCAGGTCCGTCACCCTCAGTGTCAGGTTATTTCTGGTCCGTATATAGTCGACAATGTCCTGCTCCTACCTCACACTAGGCGACACCTAGTGTGAAGTAGCTAAACTTAATACGAAGTAGCGACATCTATAGTCTCATAGTTATACTAAACGCTTAACGCCATCTGTCGTAGAATGGATACTCGTATGATAAACTTTATGAATACCATAAATTACGAAATACGAAGTTTATACTTTTATTTTGTCTTAGATTAATATAAAATTACAAAATACATTATTATTTTAATGCATATGTAAACTTTTTAACATTACATTTCCTCTCACCTGTGATACTGGCATATAATATTCTAATTTAATAAAAAAACTTAATAAATTGATTTTGTGACGTTTTTAGATTTTTATATGATGTAGTATATTCAACAATTGTTATACATTATAATGATTAAACGAAGATTAATACGATTTGTAAGCGTTCAAACATTTTATTTATACAAATATAAATATCCCAACTAACGTTGTTCTCTCTGCCGGACTAGGCATTGCTTGCTTATTAATCAAAAATATATAAATTAATTAATATAATATAATGTCATACGAGAAATGACCCATTCATTGCCGGCCTCGATGGTCCAGCGGTTTAGCACACCGGTTTTCTTCCGATGGTCACCGGATCAATTCCTTGCATGGCACAAACATGAGTATGTTTGTTTGTATCGGTGTGGATATTTTCTATGTATATTATGTATGTATTCACAAAAAAATCTAATCTATTTATATCAGATGTCTAGTACCCATAACACAAGCTCTGCTTATCGTGGGACAAGATACCGTAATATTCACCTATTTATTCTACCTCGTAAGTAAATAACTATAATATATAATTTTGCCTAATTTACATAATATTTACATAATACATTACCCCTTTGTTTTAGATATCACTAAGCAAATTACTGACGTCACAACAACCGAATAGCATTCCACGAAGTTGTACAATAACATCGGTTAAAAATGTAACGTAAGTTTCCGTAACGTTAAAATCAACATCATTTTTCCATACCACAGATAATTACATAATACTACAGACATAATATTACATAATAAAATGTTATCTGTGTCCATACTAATAAATAAAACGGCTTCGGTGGTGTAGCGGTTTAACACACCGCCTTACTTCGCGATGGTCGCGGGTTCGATCTCGCACACGGTACCAATATTTTTATTCATATGTTTGTATTGGTATGGACGTTCTCTATTTGCATACTAGATGATAATAGAATGGTGCACTTGCCTGTGCTTACAGTATATATTGGCAGGGTACGAGTGGAGGATGATGAGTATGAGTTTAGGTCAATTAAACCATCCTAGCAATTTCACCAGAAACTTATCACGAAGGTTTCCAGGGGAAACCGCGTATATTGGATTTATATACTGAACTGGACGGTGGGAAAAAATTAAAAGTATAATGTAAATAAATTTACGTTCATAAGCGGCTAATATGTCCTACATGAATAAATTATTTTTGAATTTTGAATCTTTTTGAATTTTATAACCCTGTCATGTCAATATACCATACATTGCCAACTATGGGTCCCTTTCCCCCAAATTAATTAATATAGTTCAATGATTGAAACATTTAGTATAGGTACTTTTATTAGTTACGATTTTCAGATGTGTACGAGGATACCATTTGCCGTACCAAAAATACCTTCTGAAACACGCCATTCACACTAACATTCGATTGCAAGCTGTGGAGACTGTGAAGGCGCCCACATTTCCAGATTCGGTCACAACCGGCGATGTGAAGTAAGTTCTTAATTTCATTTCCATCAGGTGAAATATAAATAGGGTTACCATTCCACTTAAATAAAAAAAAATTAATACGTCTTTCTATCTTCTAGATTAATAAAAAAACAAGGCGACGCCGTGACTATGGACGAAGTTGTATTAGAAATAGAAACAGACAAGACCGCACTTCCGGTGATGTCGCCAGGCAGTGGAACAATAGTCAAGATGCTTGTAAAAGATGGAGATGCAGTTAAATCACAACAAGTACTTTTTGAGGTATTTAAAGTGTTTTCAATGAAATTGAAATTATATTTTGTCCTTGTGAATTAAATGACTATCAAAAACATAGTATGTGATCGTCCATAGTCTTGCTTTTATCTTACGCCACTACCCACCAACAGACCCAAATCTTCTGATCATCACCCATACAATTCTTTTAACAGAATGACGGGGCAAAGGGCCTGATTTCAACCTTACTAAAAGGATTGTTAGTAATGTGAACTAATTACTCTATCGCAAGCAATATACCAAATAAGGTTGACCTCCACGCGGTTTAACCTGGAATCCATCGTGATCGATTCCTGTTCAGTTTGTCACGATGGGACAACTGACCAGACCTCGTCCTCATCATATCGTTCTCCACTGGTGCACTGCCAGCGTAAACCATAAAAAAAAATCTCATGCTAGCAAATCCACTGGATATTTCTGGTATGTCTTATGGTAAATTTGGCAAGAAATATATCGCAACTTTAATTATAAAGTGCATTAACTATAAAAAAATATACGTGATATCAACTCTAAAGCTATAACTTTAAAGTTGATAACCCATAATTTTGTTCCGGTATTAGTGCAGTTTATTATTAAGCATGTGATATAATATACCTAAAGAATCATATACCAACGACTAGGTACAAAGTCAAATAAGTGTATGATTACTAACTGATATGAGTAGGACCCTAAGCTTAACGAATAGAATAGAATAGAATAGAAAATCATTTATTCAAATAAACTTAATTTAAGCACTTTTGAATAGTCATAACAATTTGTTTTTTATCTACCACTCGTTCGGAAAGCTGTCTCATCACAAGAAGAACGAGCAAGAAACTTGTGTGTTGCTCTTTTAAATAATCCTTGTAAGTTTACATTTACAAGTCGAAACGTGTGAATACAAACTACCAACAAGCACTAATTTTTGGGTCAAATATAAATATGCAATAAGATTAAATCAGTCGTAGTGATAAGAGCAGACCAGTCCCTACAAGCAGCACTCGTTCACGAGTATGACGGATGAGCCAGCCATCACTGCGCTCGACCATATTTTAGGGAGCCCATTGACCCGGCCCACCACGCCGCCACATGTCTGGACATTTTAGTGAGCATGACTACTCATTCCACACGACCACGTCACAGCTATAAAAATTACTATATGGTAGTTACAGTATTCGCACTTTACATAAGGATGCATGCGGCAATCAATACAAAAGCCGCTACGCTATCATATATCAAGAAAGCAGTATGAAAATTAAAATTATAACGTTGTCCGCAAATAAACTTATTCTTGCTATATATTGCTATCATCTATAAATTCATCTATCTTATAATAGGCTTTTTTACATAACATTTGTTTAATATAAGATTTGAATTGCCTCTCTGTAAGATTTAGCGTAGACTCTGGCAGTTTATTATAGAATCTTACGCAATTACCATAAAATGAATTACTAACTTTGTGTAGACGGCATTTAGGTAAAATTAGCTTATTTTTATTGCGTAAGTTTCTACTTGTACAGTCTTTAAGTTTCTTGAAACTATCTAAGTTTTCCTTGTATACATAATATTTTCATAAATGTACTGTGAGGCAACGGTGAGGATATTTGATTGTTTAAAGCATTGACGTAATGACTCTCTAGAACCCATACCATAAATAGAACGTTATCTCTCTTTTGTAAAATAAATATAGTATTTATATCAGTGATGTTTACCCCATAGCAGTATGCCATATGACATAATGCTATGGAAATAACTAAAATATACAAGTGCATCCCACGTCTGTTAATTGCCTTAGAGAGTAATTGCTAGCAGCAGAACTAAGTCTGCTGGCTAATTTTGAAATATGGGAACCCCATTGTAACTAGTCCACTGTTATTCCTAAAAAAACTGTATCATTAACAAAATTTACTATTTCATCATTAAGCAATAGCTGCGTATTTACTTGTTTTACATTAGGCAGCGTGAATTTAATGCACTTAGTTTTGTTGGAGTTCAATAATAGATTATTACATGTGAACCAATTTAGTATAGCAGAGATAGCATATTTACATCGTCTAATTGATTACATTGGCGACCAATTTTAAACACTAACGAAGTATCATCCGCAAATAACACTATATCTGCAACTTTCTCCACCATGTAGGGAAGGTCATTTATATAAAGTAAAAAGAGAAACGGGCCTAATATTGAACCTTGAGGAACGCCCATTTTTATATTAGTTCCCTTAGACTTTACACCATCAATATCTTCAGTTTGCACCCTGTCCTCTAGATAAGTTTTCATTAGACTTAGGTCATTATCTCTAATACCATAATGTTTGAGCTTACAAAAGTGTTTCATGATCTACGCAATCAAACGCCTTCGACAAGTCACAAAAAACGCCGAGAGCATCCGTGAGTTTTCCCATGATTCGAATATATGTGTAATAAGCGCTACGCCTGCATCAGTAGTAGACTTGCCGGCAGTGAAACCATATTGCTGACTGTGAAGCAGTCCGTTATCCCTGAAGTATTTTAACATTTGGTTAAACATATCTTTTCAAATACTTTACTTAGAACTGGCAAAATAGAAATTGGTCTATAGTTGCTAGCTCAAATCTATCTCCAGATTTAAAGAGGAATTAATTTGCTAAATTTCATTACACACAGCTTATCAACTGGGAAAATAGTAGCTAGATAAGGAGCAACGATCTATGAATGTACTAACTACTTTAACTGACATGTCCCAGAGATCGCTCAACTTTTGAATTTAACTGTTTGAATATTTTTACACACCGAAAAGGGCTGACATGCCATCGAAAATTTAAATGTTAAAGGTGAGGGCTGACATTAGCAGTAATGTTTTTGCTCGAATTGACATGGCGAAGATGTAATATCAATCGGAATATTAGCAAAAAAATCTTGAAAAATATGAACTATATCTTTTGTACGGTTATTAACATTGTCATAATTTAATGAGAATTGATTGGGTTTTTCAGACCGTCCAGTTTTTTGTTTATAATTCAGATGGTCTTAATTTTGTCAAAACTGATTAATTTGTTTATTTATAAAATTAGATTTAGCTGCAATACAAACTTGTTTGAAAATTTTAAGCTTTCTCACATAAGTTGTAAATTTGTCATCAAATCTATATTTTTTTTGATCATATAAATCAAATAAAATGTTTCTACTTTTAAGTATTCCTACTGTTGCCCATTCTGTAAATTTAGATTTAACACAATATTCTCTTTTCTTGAAAATATTCTGGTATTCTTTTGAAAAAAGACTAATTAACTTGGTGTAAAGAATATCAGGATTATTAAGACTGACAGATTGTAACTCTAAGTCTAATTTATATTTAACTGTGCTTTTGTATTTATTAATATTGTAAGCATTTATTTGTCTTTTTGATCTTTTATTATTGGTATTTTTTTTAGTCTGATTACTAAACTCCAACTTGACCACAGTGATCCGAAGGAAGTTTATTTATTATTAATTTTTCAATATACTCACAGTTACAAAAAACATTGTCAAGACAAGTAGCATCTCGTAGCGGTTACACGAGTTGGTTCCTGAAAGACATTACTCAAATTAAAAGACTGAAATAAACTAATAATTTTTGTACATGTGGGTGTATCACAAAGAATATCAACGTTAAAATCACCACACACAATGATTTTTTTACTGCTATTAAATACTTTTTTTAATATATCCAGATCACCTCTTCAAATATTATAATCACTATTAGGGCCTATAAACACATATAAGTATATAATTATCTAGTTCTATACATGAGATTTCTGTACAACACTCAATAGAAAGTCTAACAATGTCAGCACGTTCTTTTACTTTTCATATTATTTCTTGCAATTATCAGACCCACCTCTGTTAATGATCTTCTCTTGAAGGTATCGAGCAACATTATAATTATTTAAACTGAACATCATATTGCTTTGTGTGTTCTACCGATTATACAACGGACTGTGTCAATATTGTATTTTTCCAAAAATAATTGATAATTAATTCACTACGGCCAACTTTGTATGTTCTGATGAACAATTATCGACATTCTAATTGCTTTCCCACACGTCTTTGGAACTGCAGTCAAATTACTTATATCACTATTTAAACAAAAATTTCATAGAATTATTTGTTATGTCACAGATTGTTATATTGAACTTTACCGAGGTTTTCTCACGATATTATACAGCTTGGGGTTTTTATTCAAGAAGATTTAGAAAGATACATTGTATCTTTTGTCAAATAAAAATCACTAATAAAACTATTGGTGTCAAAAAATTCAAAACGTCCATAGGCTACATGTCAATGTATTTAATAAATCATCAGATGGGCCGTGTGCTTGTTTGCCACCATAGTAGTATAAAAAAAAACAATCTTATATACATTCAATTGTAACAAACATTGAACTACCTTTAATTATATCCTGTCAATTTAATTAATATAATTCAAAAATTGAAACAACTTGATTATACTTTTATTAGATTTAATTTTGTTATTTTCAGATGTGTACGAGGAATTTAATACATTTGATGTACCAAAAACCCAAAATTACAGCCTTTCTGTCAAAAACACCATTGTGCCATTCACAAATCTAACATTTATTGCAAGCTGAATTATTATTTGGAGTTGAATGATGACAATGTTTAGTTAATGACCTACATTTCAGCATTGTATTTACTGTCACAAATCATCCATTGCTAAAATATGCGATTTGTTTTTGTGAGATAGTAAGTTCTTTAAATCATGAAGCATTTCCATCATTTGAAATATAAACATGTCATATAACTTTTGGCATTCCACTTAATTATTAAAAAAAATCATGCAATTTTAAATAAACGTCTTTCTATATTTTTGATTAATATAAAAACAAGGTCTTAGTCATAAACTTTTTTAATTTTAAATATTTTTTTTAATTTATGGACTCAACATACATATGTTATTATTAATAGAAACAATCAAGACTGGCTGGCTGCATGGAACTGATGTCGCCAGGCAACGGAACAATAGTCAAGATGCTTATAAAAGATGGAGATGCAGTTAAATCACAACAAGTACTTTTTGAGGTATTTAAAGTGTTTTCAATGAAATTGAAATGAAATTTTGTCCTTGTGAATTAAATGACTATCAAAAACATTCAGATTTTAATTGTGTATTTTTATTTATCGTCTTGCTTTCATCTTACTCTCTTCTACTCCACCACTAGAACTTGCCAGATCTTTGATGCAAGTTCTTGTACCCATGCATCTCTTTTAACAGAATAACGGGTAGATAGTGACATTATTTCAATATAAATGTTAAAAGGATTGTTAGTAATGTGAACTATTTACTCTATCGCAAGCAATATACCAAATACAGCAGCTGAACCTCCATACAGGTTTAAAATGTGAATAAATCGTGATAGATATTATTCAGTTATATTTGATGGGATAATCTAAATAAACGTTTTAACTCAATCGAAATAAATGTAGATAAACTGGTGCACTGCCAGCGTAAATTATAAAAAAAAGTCTAAAAAGCTAGCAAAAATCCACTGGATATTTCTGGTATGTCTTATGATAAATTTCAATATAATATATTAACTTTAATTATAAATATTAACTATGAAAAAAATTATGAGTTTCGTGATATCAACTCTAAAGCAAAATAAGTTTGAATAAAAATTTTGTTCCGGTATTACAGTGCAGTTTCTTATTAAGCATTTTTGATATGATATACACTAAAACAATCATATACCAACGACTAATAACAATATTGAAATTATAATATTTGTATGATAAACAATTAAAATTTATTTATTATTACGGCCAGCTGAAAATGACAATTGTCGTCGGTGTTGCCAGTCGAAGAAAAAAACGTGTCTTGTTATTAAAGATCTTGTTTCATTTTACGCCCAATCTATTAGGTGGATGTAACAGGTGTGGCGCCTGCCATGGCTGCTACACCTGCAGCAACACCAGCACTCTCCAAGCCAGCGACTGCTACTCCTGCCCCCGCAATTGCCGCAGCCAAAACAACCCCCGCCGCTAAACCCACCCCAGTTGCAGCAAAACCCGCTGCTAAAGCTGCTGCTAAAAAACCAACTGGACCCACTGTAAGCTTCATTCATTGGCGTTTCTAATTTTTTCTTTGTCTGTCTTAATATTATTATTATTTGTTATATTTTAAAGGTATGTATGAAATACTAGCGGATCAACGTATTTTCACTCCATTAAAATCAGTCTTAATGTTAGAAATTCAGAATTATGCCTGTCTGTTATTTGCTTTGAATAACTAAACGGCTAAACGGATTTTCAGCCGTTTAGTTATGCAAAGTAGAAAAGACATAAACATTCAATCAATCAGGCCTTTGACTGCCGTTTAGGTCTTTCTAATAAAATTTAATGTAATGAAAAGGAGGTCTCACAGGCAATCTATATATAAACACCACTTACCATAAGCTGAGGCACATTAGGATCTTACAAAACACTTCGAAGAAGAATACATGGTGTCCTCAAATTATAATGAAACGGCGGTCTTAATTTAAATACATACAAAGGATACCTTACTAATATTAGAAACGCGAAAGTTTATAAGAATGGACCATGAAGTGATGGATATTTGTTACTCTTTAACGCAAAAACTACTGAACGGATTTTGATGAAACTTTATAGTAATATAGCTTATACATCAGCATAACACGTAAAATATAAATTTCATGCGGGTGAAGATAATTTATCATATAGCTAACTATTAGTGTTAGCACTTGATTGAGTAAATTTATAATATTTACTGGAAAGAGACTGAAAGATTAAAAATACTTATATTTTTTATTATTTAGCTCGCTGCAGAAAAAATCGGTGATCCAACAAAGACAATTTCTGGTACTCGCACTCAACATCCTGTGCCCATGAACAAAATGAGGAAACGTATCTCAGAACGATTGAAGGAGGCTCAGAACACCACAGCAATGTTGACCACGTTCAACGAATGTGATATGACGTAAGTTCTTTACGATACTCAATCAATTATTGTCACTTAAAGTGAATAATGTAATACCTTTAAATCTTTAACAGATTTTATTCTAGTTGGTAGTTTGTTTTCATCTAAAGTTATTTGAGTTAGTTAGGCTGGCCAACTTTTTTCTCTCTTCTTCTTAGATGAATCAACATTCAAATGTAGTAGTAGGATCATGAAACGATTACTATTAATGACTGATTAAGTTTAATAATACTCATTATTTCTTAAATGTTACCTACAATACAAAAATAAACAAACATATACTATACCTTGAATAAAAAATTAAACAGGAGTCTATTATTCGTCATTAAGAATTTAATAGGTATTTAAGAAAACTGTAATTCATCAACTAAAGAGCACTACATATTTTTTATCTTGTAGTAAAGTATGTTGAACATAATTTCATGGCAATTTTTTTATTTAATGCTATTACATAATCAATATTCTTGATAAACAGAAAACTAATAGCATTCCGGAAAGCGAATTTGGAAACTTTCACGAAGAAATACGGAGTGAAATTGTCATTCATGTCACCGTTCCTGAAAGCGGCTGCCAACGCTCTGATGGACCAGCCCGTAATTAACGGCGTCATCATCGGAGACGATATTATTTACAGGCAAATCTTACTAATATTACAAACGCGGACGTTTGTGAGTGTCGATGATTGATGATACGTGATGATTTGAATGGGATCCTCAAGATATATATATATATAATAAAACGAGGCTCTTGATTGAAATACAAAGGATATCTTTATAATATTATAAACGCGAAAGTTTGTAAGAGTGGTTTCACGCGTTTCTCTTCTTTTCGCGGATGGATGGTGATAATAGTTGTTAGTCTTTCATGCAAAAACTACTGAATGAATATTAATGAAAGTATACAATAATATAACTTATACATCAGAATAATACATAGGCTATAAATTTCACGCGGGTGAGATCGCGAGCACAGCTAATATCTCAATATGTACATATAGTACATAAAGACGTTTTACGGTCTCGGTGGTCCAGCAGTTTATAAATCTGAAGTTATCTTCCGATAGTCGCGAGTAAATTCTCGCACGCTACACGTTTTATATTCTTGGTTATGATAGTTTAGATGAAACTAAAGTATATTGCATAGTCTACCTCAGGTGAATATCGAACTATATATCAAATCGAACGAATATCGATCAAAATTGAACTCGTAATCTTTCATTTTAATTCGGGTTAGTAAACCACTAGGCCTATAATGAATGAGCATATGAATAATGTTGACAGAGATTACGTGGACATCTCAGTGGCAGTGGCAACTCCTAAAGGACTGGTGGTGCCCGTTGTGAGGAACGTCGAGTCAATGGATTATCCGCGAATAGAACTGGCGTTGAGTTTGCTTGCCGAGAAAGCGAAAAGCGGTAAGAAGTGGTAGTAACTTCAACTGTACCTAAGACCATATGTAAAATACGATTACATACCTATTTTATATTATATATCTACTGTACTTTTTTATGTTACTGAAATAGCAAACAAGCTGACGATTCGGATAATGGTAAGTGGTAACTATGCCTATATTCATAAACAGCACCAGAGTCATCGCGTCAGCATGTGTGTAGTATTATTTACTGGTACATTATTTTTACTTGCTCATTCTTCTTTTGGTGAGACAGATTTCTAAATAAGTGGTCTATTGAAAAATGCTCAAATTTAAGTTTATTTGAATAAAGAATTTCTATTCTGTTCTACTCTTTTATATGGTAGTTTAGGAATAAGATACTTCAGAAGAGTATTTCCAAAGATGTACTACATGAATTAGTTTGCAGGTTCTTTGTTCATGAATTCATGTGATAAAAGAACTCTTGCTAAAGAGAATCAAAAAAATGTTTGGTTTAAAAATAAAAACATATCTACGTATATATATGTGATCCTAGAGCCTTTGTCTGACTAGAGTCAGAAGGGAATGAATTAGTTTATAAGGAAGATTAGAACTAAGTACGGAGACTACCTCTGTAATATGATGTTAGTTATAAGGAATTTAGGATAAATTCGTATTTATTGTCCAATATGCAGGTAAATTGACACCAGCAGATATGCAAGGTGGTACGTTCACCATCAGCAACGGAGGAGTCTTCGGCTCGCTACTCTCAATGCCCATCATCAATCTGCCACAGTCCGCCATTTTGGGAATGCACGCCATATTCCAAAGGCCAGTTGCTATACAGGGCAAGGTTAATAAATTTATGGTCTTTACTATATTTTTTTAAACGTCTTTCGGAGTTTTCAGGTCCTATGTGGACCTGAAAACTTCTTTTAACCTAAAGTTGTCGTTATATTTAACACTAATGTCCGCACATTCACTTACTTCTTCTGCAGTGACGAACTATTTTCATTATCAATTTAGATATTTATAACAGAAGGTTTATAATATACTGTTATCCCAGATGGGAAGTTGTTAGAAATATCGATGTCATGCTGGACGCATGACAAACACATTTCGTAGGTGTAGGTGAATGCAACTTGCTCTACCGCCGTCTCTCTGACTATTTATTGTTTGGTTTGTTATAAATACTTCATTCAATTGAAGAGTCATTCAAAAATATAAATCGTCATTATTTTTTAATTGTTGGCCATACTTGAACTTACCTCTTAAGGGTTTACTTTGCCTTTTCAGTTCTATTTTCAAACCACTCAGGAACCATTGAAAGATACACAGAAAATTTAGTAATTTGCATTTGTTTCAGGTGGAAATTAGGCCGATGATGTATCTGGCTTTGTCGTACGACCACAGACTGATCGACGGTCGTGAAGCTGTGTTCTTCTTGAAGAAAATCAAGTCAGGCGTAGAAGACCCGACTTCAATACTGGCTGGTGTATAAAGAGATAGACAACTCGCAGAGACATCGAAGTGTACGAACGAACTGATCAATGGACTGGGTCCATATATGGAGTTTTTTAAAAGAAAAGTAGATAGAGAAATTATAGGATTAACTTCTACCTTTATCTTTGTAATATGGGTTATATTCTACATATAAAGTACATATAGTTACACATATAGTTTAGTAAATACCAACAGACAGGATATTTTTTTATAAACTATTAAACTTTTGGCCACGCACAACCACATTGTGGAATCACCTTCCAGCAGTGTTATTTCCGAACCAATACGATTTTGTAACCTTGAAAGAATAAGTTTATTCCTTACTAAAAGGCCGACAACGCACTTGCCATCACCCTGGTTTTGCGGGTGTTCATTGGTGGCGGTAATCGCTTACCATCAAGTGAGCCGCAAGCTCGTTTGTTCCATATGCTATATTTAATTAAATAAATGTATAAGCTGTTTCACCTAAGAATTGGTACCAACAGCATTATGTAATTAATTAACCTATCTATTCACGCATGTAACGCTGTTTAGTAGGAATTCTCTATTACAACGCATTAAGATCAATATGAAATTTCCTATAAAATATTTTAGCATTAAAATCAATGAGTTTGGAAATTTCTATGAACCATTACAAAGTTCTACTTACAAGCTAAATGATAACCTACATAGTTCGCAATTAGGAAACGAACCCTGCATAATTGCGATCATAACTTTTCATCACTTTATAATGAGAATTATTAATAACTACGGTAGGTATATGTATGAATTACAATTACGTAACTTGTGTCAGCAGAAAGCATTAGCTACAAAGTAAACGGAAACATGAACCGATGTGTCCATATAAAACCTGCTTACAAATCAAATATGCCGCATAGATACTTCCCACGTCGAAAAAATACGTTTGTACATTTATTGTTACAGCCATAATTATAAACATATTGTAATGTAAATGTATCTATTTATTTTTATAAATATAAAAAAATATGATAATTGTTTTTATTTAAAGTAGTATATCTTAATTAATATGTGACATCCTTTACATTCACGTACCTATATAATGTATAAAAAAAGCATATCGGCCACGGTTATTGCTCGTGAACTTGTTCGCCATTCCAAGTATACCTCAATATGAGTCATGTCTTTTTTAAGTATCCATAAAAAAGAAATGACTCATCAAGAAATAATGTAAACAGATTATACATATAAATAGAATAATGGAATCGCGAAACCACCTATACCGCGATATCCTAAAACATCAAACAATACAAAAACGCGTTATACCTAGTTCTATAAATATATGCTAAACTTAGAGTTGTAAAAAGCCAGCAGCTAAGTCTTCAAGCTTTTTCAGTTAAAAAGTGGCGGTAAATTACAATTTACAGACACAATACCTATTTATTGATTCGCACTAACGATACGCTATTAAAAAAATAATTAACATAGTAGGTACGTAACATCGACACTATGCTACTAATGATTTTGAAGATGCTTATGTTTAAGAAAATAAAAATAATAGACACAAAACAATGAAATAACATATTTTGTCGTTTATATAATGTCTTATATTTTTATAATCGGTATACGATACGAAATAGAATCATAGCGTATTCAATAGGTTTTGTTAATATTGCTATATTAAGAAAATAGATAAAAAACGGCAACACTGACTAAACTATAAAACAAAATTCTCAAAAAATTGGTCACTTAGCTATCTATTAAAAAAAATATATTTAATAATTATTATTTACTTTATTTCTGCAAATATTATATTCATTTCCATTAATTTATTTAAAATGACAAATTCATTGTTTTTTTAATCTAGTAATTATGTGGTACCATTTAAGTTAATAATCATTAAGATTAATCTCGTATCTTTAATTTGTTGCAATTAATAATTACTACACTAACAACAGTTACCTACTACATAGTAATAAAATTAACTACCTATATGAAATTGTAAATACAACGGAACGCAGCCGTATAATATTTTATATTTTTGTTACATAGCAACCCAAACAAAGTTAATGTCAAAAATTGTCAAACAAATTATGTATATTTTTGTTCGCCTTGGATAACGCGACATTAAGTAAATACAAAAATATTATTGTATATTTTCAGTCTGAACTGATGTGCATTGCATAAGAATATCACTGTGAATATTTAATAAACGTTAATTCTCGTATATTATGTGCTAATATTGCTACAATGAGACGAGGTCATCCAGGCATTGGTGGATGGCGGAATGAAAATACAAGGCATTTCAGACCCAGAAGCGGCGGGACACCGCATTATAGGCCCCCTGCGACTTATGGCCTACTAGATTTGCCTAGGTAACTACTTTTATAATTATCTTCCATGTGATATGTATCCAATACACAGTTCGCGCCTAATTCGTTGATGAAAATAAAATGTTTTAAAAGCAATTAAACCTAGTTATTAGTTATTATCAAAGTTGTAAATAATTATAATCGTAGTTATTAGTAAATATATTTTAATTATTGTCTATGATATTTTAACTCTTTATTGTTTTTATTAATATATATATATATATATATATATATATATATATATATATATATGTTTTTATTTATTTCCACAACAACAACCTTAAATATCATTATAAAATACCGTTGAGACTTTGTCGCTGCAGTTATTACAAGTATATAAAGTAAATAATGTATTTTATAACATTTGTACATTTTTTAAGTTCTCAAGTATATCTCATGAATCCATATTATAAATTAAATCTAGATAAGACATTTAGGTTAAGTTTTTTAAAAACTTTTTTTGTGTTGATATGTCAGTATTAATAAATACTTATATTTTAATTGTAAATGATTGTATTGTATACTTTAATAATATTGATTCATAATTATTTTAGAAAAATTGTATATTCAAAAGTGCTCGTATTAAGTTTCTTTGAATAGAGATTATTTATTTTTCATATTTAAATGATTTCATATTGTCATTTCATGACTAAATTAGTACAAGTACTGTATGACAATGTTACAAATATTAAAAATTATATATTTTTAGATGTTTGTAATTTATAAAATCTACTTGACCTAAGTAAGTAGAAGAACCATACATTAGAAGTAATTTGATTACCATAGATTAAATTATTTATTTGTAAGAATGCAGCTAATATAAAAGTAATGTGTGTGATGTGTGTATTTTGTTTAACTTAAAATATCTTCTATAATCAAAGTAACTATAAAAAAAAATCTAATAATTTCAGGTTCCCACCACCCACGCCCAGACCACATAGATCTGTTACACCTTTTAGCATTCAACCTGGATCATTAAATAACCAATATAGATATGATATTCATAAGAGAAATAAATATAAAGATAATCGTCAAAATAATCAAAGGGATAATGTTCAACTTGATCAAAGGTCTAACCACCCTCATCATCAACAACATATGAGACACAATGATAGCTCAACCCTTTCAACACCTTATGAATTTAATAATCTCTATGAGAATCAACCAATTAATAACTATGTTAATAATAGGGGAGATGTAGACCACAGACAATATGGAATTAACCATACTTGTCAAGATCCTTATAAACAGAACAGAGTTTTCCCTTGGACTAACCCTTCTAATAACATCAATGTGAATTATGATGATAACAGAGGTCAATATAACAATAGACAATTGGTAAGGCAGGAAAGTATTGATGGAAATAAGTTACCTTTGTCAGAATATACAGGCCATAGACCACCAGCTTCAGACCATTATGATGGAAAACCTAGTTCTGATATAGATAACTCAAACAGTTTTAGCCATTCTGTTGATGACACTATAGACATTGTAAGGAAACGACTCATGAATCGTAATGAACCTCATCAAGAAAATCCAATAAAACCAAATAACCAGACACCTCAAAGTACACAGCTTGGAGATAATACCACTCTTGATTATCATACTGAACAAGATCCACCTGCAAAGAAAAGAATACAAAGGCAACGATCAACAGATTCTAGGAAATGTGAAAAAATAAAAGATAAAATTGTTCATCAACTTTTTAAAATGGATAAAGATAGAATACATAAACTAATGGATGACCCAAGTTCATCAACAAAATTTGAATATGCTATAAGCAGCCTAATAACTGAATCACAGATCAGTTTAAATCGCCACATGAGGTCTGTTGCTGAACAGTCACTTTGTAGTTCCAGTGATTTCATTAACAATGACACTGTATATGAAGACACTTTCATGAAACAGATGCAATGTATATTAGAGCCTCAAGACACAATTTTTCTTGAAGATATTAAGCCATTAGTAATGGCAGAGTTAAGTAAAGTACTTCAATTAGATAACGAAGATCAGAGATTTGATATTTCGGCAGATCAAGGCAATTATCCATCTCAGGATTTCAATCCAAATTGTGAACAATATTATAATAATTCACTTACATATGATAACATGTATCAGGATAATAATTATGAAAAGAGAAATCAACAGTCTACTTTCGATAAGTTGCCAGATACAAAAATTAAGATTGACACAGATACCAGCAATGACTACAATCAAATTAGAGCTAATTCATCCAACCCTCTTTTCGAAAGAAGACGTCACAGAAGGAGTAATGACCATGAGAAAAATAAATTAAATATTGTTAATCAAAGGTCATCTAGAAGAAGTATGGATGAAAAAGGGTCTAATGAAAATATCCTAACTAATGATGCACCTGTACCAAATAATACTAGAAGAAGTATTGACAGCAAGCCATGTAATGACAATCATATTAAAAGTGAATTTCCAATTTTTCAAACAAACACTGAACTATTTTCAGGTGATGATGATACATTTGCTGAATTAGATCAACAGTATCATGTTGCTGTTGATCCAAATTTTATTGAAAGTTATGATAACCTAAGTCCGCCTCGATCACATGAGCCTAATGTGTCATCTGAAATTAACTGTCAAACTCCAGACAAAAGTATAAAAGAAAAAATTGATAGTCCGTCACAAAGTATTGAAAGTACACCAATAAAACAACCATCCTGTATAAAGAAGGATTTTAAGACAGAATGTCAAATTAAAAAAGAGATAATGACTACACCTATTAAAACCACTGATACCAATGAAAATATAGCAGTACAAAATGATAATTTAAAACAAGAACATACACCGCAACAAAAAAAATTGGAAGGGGAACTTGGAAAATCAGAAAACACAGGTACATTGATTAAATCATCTACTCCAACAACATCAAGGAAAAGATCATTGGATCAGAAACCTTCTCATCGTAAAGAAAAACGTAAAAAAAGTGATTCCAGTCTCCTTGATGCCAACAAACAGATTTTGAATAAAAACATAATCATAAATGTAAATGATTGTGCTGCTAAGAAAACAGAAAAATGTAAAGAAGCCAAGTCTATTTTTAATTTATTTTTCTCTAAAGATGAACACAATAAAGAGTCATTAAAGGAATCTAAAAAATCTGAATCCATAGATAAACATTATTCTGATAAATATGTAAAAAGAAAGGAAGAGCCTAAAACGTCAAAATCAATACAAAATGAAAATAAGAAAAAACATCATACTAATTCATCCAACTCTTCTAACATAAGTCCAAAATCAGTTACTGATACAACAAATACCAAACACACAAGCCAAACCACAAAATCTGATTCTAAGGTTAAATTAAAACATATTGATATGTTTGTTGAACAACCACGAAAAATTAGTGTACACCAAGCACATAGAAATACAACTACATTACCACCTACAACTGTACCTGAAAAATCTATAGAGACAAATAAAATAAAAGTTCATACAAATAATAAAGTTACAAAATCTGCATCTGCAAAAGCACATGGATTAAAAAAACTAGTCTCAAAAGAGACGCAAACTGTTGTTAGTAAAGCTTGCACTACCAGGTTTTGTCAAACAGAAAGAAAGAAAACGTTTGCAAAAGCAATACAAACTGAGCCTGTTATTTTTGATAAATCCAGACCCAAAGCAACTGATGCTTTTGAAAGAATGAAGGAAATTGATTTAGAAATACAAGTTTTGTTACAAGAAAAGTTCAAGTTATATAACTCATTGGAATCTAGAGATCCATCACAGAATGTTATGCAGACACTAGGTATGACTGTCGTAAACATGAGTCCTTCGGAAGAAGACAAAGATACTGACGCACATGACAATGCTAGTCTTTCTGAGGACACCATTGTCGATGATTTTACTAACATACCAGTAGAGGAGTTAGAACAAATTGCCTTAGAATCTGTTCGGGTAGCTCAGATTGAACCAATAAAAGTTGGGAAAAGAAGTCGACGTCAAAAAAAATTAGCACCAGATATAATATCAACAAGTAATAAGAGGTATGTCAAAAAAATAAAAACACCAAACATATCATTGATAGAACAGATTATCACAGATGATAGACCTTTGGAAGATATAATATCATTGGATGACTTAGAGAGTGTACCTTCCAAGTCTAGAAAAAAAACATTAAAACAAAGAAATTGCAATGTGCCTAAGAAAAAAGTGACAAAAAAAGTTGGAACTTCAAAATCAGCATGCAATACTCAATTGAAGTTAAAAGAATGTTCTGTGGTCTTAGTTAATGTTGATGTTAGTAAGTATTTAAGTAATATGATAGAAGAACCTAACCATAATGGAGAGTTAGTGCATAAGGTGGATCTCTCTGATGTTGAATCCATTGTTGTAAAAGATGAGGTGAAGATTGAGGTTGACAATAAAGAAAAAACCAATATTATTGAAGATATTAATGACGACTTACACTTTGATATGTTGGATGTGTCAGAAGATATAGTCATTGGCGATAATTGTGAATTCAAGTCAACTGAGGGTAAAGATACAACTAACAGGATAGTTGACGCAATAAATGAAGAGATAATACTGGACAACAGTCAGTCCTCAATGGAAGAAGCTACTAACCCCGATGGTGCACAGGAAGAGAATGAATGCAAAATGTATGATTACTCTACAGATGAGAATTTGCAACGTGACTCTTTACTAGTTACTGGAAATGCAGATGCCATATTGGCAATAGAAGTAAGTATATTGTTTTGTAACCTCTTAGCGCCACATGTATATTTTGTTTGCCTCAAAACAGCTAACTGCAACTATAAAAAATGTAGATACTAGATGCTCTGAATCACGAAAATATCATCAATTTCAATATCATGCATGTAGTAAAAAACGGTTATTTCAATATTACAAACAGACTCTATTTTCTATTTTATTTATACATATAGATAATTGTTTGCATTTGTCTGGCTGTTTTCTATGTATATTATGTGTGTATTTAAAAAAAAGTACCTTAGTAACAGTTGTCTAGAACCCATATCACAAATTGCATAGCCTGGGACTACAAGGCATGTTAATTGCCCAGAGATATTATTATTATTGATATGTACTCATGTATTTACTTTTTGCTAAAAATTATCCAAATCTAACCTAACTTTTGTTTCAACAGTGCATCGACAAAAACTTTTTGGCAGCTGGACTGGATGGCAATGTGTACTACTTCGGTGGTGATGGACAGCTCATCTCCACACTACGAGGGTCCAATTTAGCAGTCACGTGTCTCACGATTGTCAAAGATAAATATGAGACCACAGTATATACTGGATCGTTGGATTCTAGAATACGTTATTATGATTTGGAGGTAATAAAAACTATTTTATTAAATTTACAAACAATTTTAACATCTTTTGTGATTAAATAATTCATTTTATACAACACCAAAACTGTATCCAAACTTTTTTTAATGTACAAATTATTTAAATCTCTTCTGTTATTAAAAAATTAATGTGACAACAAAACTAATTAAATTTAATAACAAACATGGTTACTTTACGTTCTGATTCTCAAGTTCTGATTTCATCATCTGATGAGAAAGACAGAAATTAGGCAGTTCGTTGGGACTGATCTCGTTATTTTTTTATGGCTCACTAGCTGCACCCGCGACTTCGTCCGTGTTGAATTTAACTTTATTTTTCTAAAATAAAAGTAACCCAACTTACTCCTTACTACATTAGATACCTGCCAATAAAAGTCCCGTCAAAATCAGCCATTTCAGAGATTAGCCGGAAAAAACAGACAAAAATTCTAAAAAAAGTTATTTTGGTGTATGTACCGTATTTATATTCATATGCAAGTAGTAACGGTTATTTCAATATTACAAACAGATACTCCAATTTTATTTATATGTATAGATTGTGTTTTTAATGGATAATAATGGAATGGTGCACATGACTGCGCTAACGGTTTATGCTAGGCACCAGAAAATAAGGTTAGTCAGCCCATTGTGGCAAATACACAATCAATTGGTTTTATCAGGATAGATTCCAGTGGGAACCGCGTGGATGTCACCCTGACATAGCACATTGCTAATTATGCTGTTATTAGTCTACATTACTAACATTTCCCTTCCCCTATGGTTTCCCCGGTTATGGAATGGTATACCCACTCCATGTAACAGGGTACATTTTTGAGATTTGAATAGCCACTAGTCACCATTACTATAACAATCTCCTTTTACAATTTCTACTATTATAATAATCTTTGTCCAACACAATAAATGTTTTTAACAATTGAAACATGACCTATGAATTTTTTATTGATTTAAAACCAGTAGCTTTTGAGTTATCCCTACTAATGCGATTTATACATTGTTTTCATGGCATGAACGCTATATTATTTATTTTTCAGACTGGTCTAGAGAAGGGACCGGAATGTAATGTACTTAGTCCTATACAAACAATGGACAGAGCGTGGGACACTATATTCGTTGGGACAAGAACAGGATTTGTTCTACAATTTGAGTGTAAGGTTAGTTGAAATCTTCTTAATCATTTCATTACAAATGTATTCTTGTTTATATTCTTTGCTAGCTACTCGCCCCGGCTTCACCAAAGTGTACATGTATTATACATATAAACCTTCCCCTTGAATCACTCTATCCATTACAAAAAACTGCTTCAAAATCCGTTGCATAGTTTTAAAGATTTAAGTATACATAGAGATGGACAGACAGCGAGAGCGACTTTGTTTTGTACATTGTAACGATGATTACAAGTAAAAAATTATTACTTTTTACAATATAATTGTAATGTATATATTATATGTAAATAGTAATGTACATAATATTTAGCAAATACATTTAGTACCTGATTTTACTAATAATAATATAGGAAAATCAGAATGAAGTTAAATCTGTCAATTTGTGTGTTAAGATTACATATGAAATAGATTTATTTAGCTTACAGTGCTACAGGTCTAAAGTATCTGACAATAATTCAAACCACTCTATAAAAAAAGAAATATTACATATGAAATTTTTATAAGCTAAGGAAAACTAAGAATAATTTTATTTATGTCTATTTTTCAATATCACAGTTACTATTTAAAGATTTATTTATTAATAAAATAATAAATAGAATCTACAAAAAAACGCGCACAATATAACTTCTTAGCTTCTTCCAATGACCGTCTTCCGTTGGCCGTCATACCTGAGCTTACTCTCCATTTGTGCATAATATTGCACTTGCACGCAATCCATTCATATTTTTATTAGGCAGCTCTCACTTTACATTAAAGTTCTTATTATGGATATTCGTCAATACATAATCCACGCTTTTTTTACATTATTAGATAATTAAATACATTTACATAAAATGTATCCTCAAATGGACACAAAAATTAATTAAAATAAATTAACATCCTATTTATAATACAAGAATACATGTACATTTTTATTGAATATAATATTATTGCTTAGGTCATGTAAGATTTTATTATATGTAATATACCTATATGTTAAATGATGATTTATATTTCAGAACAATATGTTGATACCAGTGAGTACAGTGAAATTCTCAGAGCAATCGATTCTCGCATTGAGGGCGATGAAGGAAGGCCCCCGGAAGGTACTGTTAGTGGCGGCTCGGTCTGAAGACGTAACGATAAAAGATGCACAGACTGGACTACTGCTGCGTACTCTGGTTGGACCCAAGATGACAGTGTACACACTGCTTTATGAAGATGGAAAAGTTTACTGTGGAACGAGCAGTCATCAGATACATGTGTTTGATTATGCTGTAAGTATTTTATTGAATTGGGTGATATTTTGCGGATTGTCATTTCGTTACTTAATGATTTAATACTACTTTGTTTCATTACACTACCTAACCATCATTAGCATGTGCTAATGTGAAATGAATAAGACCCATGTGAGATCAGAACCTTACTTACCTTACCTACCCTATTAGTGATCAAATTCCGACCATTATTAGATCTACACCCATATCGTCATCAGGCAATGAATAGTATTTGGATATAGTTGGGAAGCCTAGTGGTGACTAGTCGCCGCTAGTCATGTCGTTAATCGTTTTATTTCAATTGTAAATTCATTTGAATAAGTAAAAAACGAACAAAACATTTGTACAGACGCGAAGTTATTATGCGATTATTACTCGAAGGGTCAACTAGTATGTAACACATTTAAACGTAACGATACATCTATTCCTGATTTTTATATTTTATCATAATTTCAGAGTGGAACACACGCGAGCGTCCACGAAGGTGGTAAGGGCGCGGTCTGTCTGCGCGCGAGCGGCGGGCTACTGTTCGCGGGGTGCTACGACGGTTGCGTGTATGTTTATCGCGAGGGCGAACCACAGCCCCTCGCACAACTCCGCGGACCCAGCCTTATGCTGCTCTCTCTGGCGGTCGTCGATACCAAGGTTAGATTTCTGAATATTTTTTTTTTATTTAATTTAAAACTTCAAGGACAATTTACACATGGCATCTAGTACCGAGCTAAGTAGAGATTGTATTATGTCTACTGGAAAGCTGATAAAATTACTTAAATACAAGTATATTGTACATAGAATTGTAACGTATTTTTATACGTATTTAAATATTGTAAACATAAGGTATATTTACATATATTTAAATATTAAGATTTACCTGCTCTAGTAAAGCTGAAGTGACTTCCACTCAGCTTACACACTGCATCATATATAATTATAAATACATAAAGAAACTCACAGCACTGATTTTCAGTGGGTCCATTATAAGACTTCTTATGTATCTTCATATCATTTTTTATAAAGTCCCATTCAACCATTTAGTCATGAAATAGTTATAAACGAACACACTTTTAAGTTTATTATATTAGTATGAATTGAGTCTAATAAAATATGTATTGTTTTACAGATCATCGCTGGATACAAAGACAGAAGTTTGTACATATGGAAAATTCCACTCAGCATCGTGCAAGAAATGATTTTATAAATGTCTACCTTTTTTGTAGATTAAATCTCACCATATATTAACTACTAATAATATAAACCCACTTATTTTTTAGTTTTTATTATGTACATAATAAAATATTTTAGATGTTGTATACTTTTATTATTGTATACCTTTTGTTTTTGTTTGTGTGTATGGAATTTTATACAACATACGCCATTGTTAATTTTATATATTGCTTGCTGTTTTACTGAATACGCTGTTCACGCTAGCAAAGCACCAATGGAGAATGTTTGAAAGAGTCGAGTCAATTAGTCTGACATGAGTTTTTTTTTAAGGATGATAATGGAATGGTGCACCCGCCTGCGCTAACGGTTTACGCTGGCCCCGCCAGCGTAAACCGAACCAGTGGAAGATGATAAGATGAACATGAGGTCAGGTCTGTTAGCCCATCGTGACAAATTCACTAAGAATTTATCACGATGGTTTCCAGGGGGAACCGCGTGGACATGGTACATTGCTAGTAATGGGTTATTAAGTCCACATTACTAACAATCCCCTTTCCCAACAATCTGACATGAGTACATTACTAGTAAAACTACTATTCTCAATAGCTCACATATTTCTGGTAAAGGAAACACGATTAATTATTCTTAACCCAAAGACAGCTGTGACAAGATATTCTCATCGAAGAGTTGTAAATTTAAATTCATGTTAGTAGTATCGTTAATAATACGCCTATAGTCAACCTACTAGCTGCCTCAGGAAAGTCGTGAAAATAATATACGGTATTGTATCCTATAAGAAAAATTATTGTCACAGAATAAATATTAATAATACTTTTAAATATTTATTCTGGTACTATTCACAACGTAAATAAGCGTCTAAAATCAAAACGCAATAAATTGTTACAGTTATCGAAGACTACTAGCTACAACAGTTATGTGCTGCAGTGTGTTCAAAGAGAAAAGTTAAATATATAATGAATCTACTCTAAGAAATAATTAAAAAATATTTTGTGGAAGAACGCATCAAATTTCTGCCAAGTGGCACTCCTATCGTAGAACAGTTTTCACCTGGGTTACCAGATTGTAAAATAAGATACAGAAACTGTATAATTTCGGAGCCATTGGTATTCCTTTTATATCATAAATTTTTGTGTATAATTATACACAAAACCAAAATAGATCCTCATAATTTCATAAATCAGTAGATATTTAAATTTTGTTAAATTGAAAATTTATTTCTGGAACACGTAGCTAAAACTAATCAAAATATAGTTATTATATTTGTTTAGATTTTATTTTTATATTATGGCTAATTTTTATCAAAACCTAAGAGTAAAAAAACAATTAATTATAAATAACGCTTATAGACATCACTTTTTGAAGGACTAAAAAGTAGTTAGCAGCTGGCAGCCCAGGTTTTGACATATCAAAACTACTACGTCAGTGTGGGTGTTTCGTTCGGCGGCCATTATTCTACGTATAATTAAAATTTACCTATTTATTGCTAAACGAAACAAAGACCTTAACTATTTCTAATACATTCTGTAAATTTATAGTTTTGGTACAGTTACAATTATAGTACAAAATGAATCCTGAATAGTGAGTATATTTTGTTTTGTGTGGTGATTTTTATGAAACAGGAACAATATCCTTTCTTTTTTGTTCGTTCATTAACTTCGGTTTAGATAATCTCTATGTAGACTTAATTAAGATTACCTATTTAATATTATAGAATTTGGGCAATAATGAATTAACGAAGAGGAATGTGTGACTCATTTTTGCACGGTACTAACCAAACGTTAGGGCAGGATTGAAAACGTAATCGTACGCACTACGATTGGCGCATAATTGTACCGTGATTGTATCACAGGTGTTGCTCATACTTCCTAGTTTGCGAACTCTGAAGACAGTACATTAGCGTCGTCCTTATTTACGATGATACGCCTACTTCCACTGATATACCTACCTTTTTATTATTTACACGTGTTATTATATGTATATACATAGTTACATTGTACATATTTTATTGTCCCTTTCCAAATGTTCACTTATTGTTCAATAATTGTTTGTTTCACTTTTCTAGCGACTATTTGTTTAAACTGCTCCTTATTGGAGACTCTGGTGTTGGCAAGTCATGTCTCCTGCTCCGATTCGCTGATGACACTTACACAGAGAGCTACATAAGTACCATTGGTGTGGATTTTAAAATTAGAACAGTAGAATTAGATGGCAAGACAATAAAATTACAAATATGGGACACAGCAGGCCAGGAGCGGTTTAGAACAATAACCTCATCATACTACAGAGGAGCACACGGAATTATCATTGTTTATGATTGCACAGACCAGGTTAGTACCTACAACCAATATAAGGATAGAAATACAAAGGAATTTTATACTTCTTCCTGCTTTATTTACTTTATTATTGTTAAGTGTACATATAATGAAGGCTTTTTTTGTAGACTAACAACAATTATAAACGAGTAACTTGTTAGTTAACAAGTTAGCTGTCACCTGTGACCTGTGTTACTTTTTTAGATATAATTGGTCTATGTAAGTCCTCATGAAACAATCTATTTTTATGTCAAATTTCATCAAGATTGATCAATCATGAACATGTAACAGACAAACAGACACATTCATATTTAAAATAAATAACCCTGTATAATTCACACAGTGCTATTTAGTGCCAAGCTAAGGAGAGCTTGTGTTATGGTTGCTAGACAACTGATATTACTTAAATACATACATAATGCATTGTTGACTTGGGTACCTCAGTCTCATATATTTCAGCCGCCAAAAAGCTTGCCTTTTAAGCTGTGCTTTGGTTGAAACAGGAATAATGCAGTTATATTATAGTAAATATATATACATACATATTACCACTTACTATCAGATAGGTCATTAGTTTGATTGCCAACCATGTTATATATATTAGTGATCCTGTGGTTGAATTTTGACCATAATTAATTTAAATTAGTAAACTTCTATTGTCAAAGACTATGTACAAATATTATTAAAGAATACAATAATAATCTAATCACAATTTGACCACAGACTTTAAAAATAAACAAAATAGTATGTATATATATGTATGTGTCAAATACATACATGTGTATATACATACGTTATAATTAACATTGTGACACGAGAATTTTGTATATAGGTAATACATACTCCTCTGAATTGATCTTGAAATGATTTTTTTTATACATATTCAATAGGTCTGAGAATCGGCTACTATGTTTAATTAGCATTATATCCAACCCTAAATTTTCACCCTTCTAGCAACCTATTTTACATAACGATTTTAATTTATATAGCAAAACTACGTTTGCAGTGACAGCTAGTTAATATATAAACATCCGTCATGACTGTAATCCCAGAAGCTTTGTCAACTGTCTATTTTGTAATGAACGTGAACACTCAACATGTCCACATTTCGCTGAGTATATTTGACTTCAATGTGGCAGAAGAGTAGCACACCGCCGTATCTCGTAGTATACTTTGTGAATGGAGAATTCAGTCTATTATCTTTTATCAGATATTTATAGCTTTACTGTTATGAAAACAGCTAACGTAAAATTTTGAATTCAGCTGTCTTTAGTGGACTGTATTTACGACAATTGGATTTGAGCAAGATTGATAATTTGGAAGGCACACACCTTGTACTGCGAGGATTGCCGGTTCGGTTTCAGCAAGGCTTCCCAGAACTCCGGGCTTGTCCGAACTTACCTTTGAACGGGTTACCTGTTTACCGCCAAAACCGACAATAGGTGCTTTCCAGTATCAACTTGCGTTCCTTTATTATTTCGTTAAGAATATTTAGTTAAGAAATCTATATAAAATAATTTAGTTAAGAAATCTATATAAAATATCGACAATTACGACAATTACGACAGCGATCATCAGAACACTTTTTTCGACAACGACAAAAGGCGAAACGACTCCCACCCTCGTATATCTCTTTTTATTTTTTTACTTTTTTTTATTATTTACGGCATTGGATATCGCGATAATGTTGCCGTGCGTATTATTGTGAATAGTGAACATTCCGCCCACCTAAATGCAACGTATTTAAAGCGACATAAACAAAAATTAAATGTGACAACAAAATAAAAACTATGGATCCTAATATTGATTGACATATTTTTAAACTAATTTTAACTAACTAGTGCGGGAAAAGAAAAACAATAATAACAAACAAAAAAAAGAATTACACATTTTAATTAGCCATAGGTAAAGGACAAATTTTAACAACTGGTCGTTTGTATTGACCAGTCGCAGTTTTAACTGTCACTATACAAACACCATCAATTCCTTGTAAAGCGACAATGCGACCCATATTCCATTTTAAACCCACTCGATTGTTCATTTATGATTAGTACTAATGTGCCAATAGTTATATTAGATGTAATTTTTTATTATTGTTCCATTTAGTTCTTTGATTAAGTGTATGAATATATTCATTGATAACGGCGCCAAATTTCCTATATTTTCTGAACTAACTTCCATCGCTGGAGAACGCTAATAGATTGATTAGTAATATTCTCTTCTGGAAGGGACGACAAGGGTTCTAATGTCAGAAAGTGACCTGGTGTCAAAACCGACAGATCATTAGCGTCACAGCTAATAGGCGATAGAAGATGAGAATTCAACATAGATTCTATTTGTGTTAAAACTGTACAAATTCTTCAAAGGTTAATCTTTGAAGACCAATAACTCGAGCTAGATGAGTTTTCACCGATTTTATACCCGCTTTGCTAACCCATTAAAGTGTGGACTACAGGAGGGCATTAACGAGAAAACTTCTATTTCTGTTACCTTTTTCATAAAGGAAACAAGATAATTGCTAACCCCAACGACAAGATTTCTCCCCTGATCCGACACAATATGGCTACAACGATGTTCGCGCGATAAACCGCTTCAACACAGCTAAAAAGTTCAGAAAAAATTCCGACGCCAACTCGATGTGGATAGCTTTTGTGGCAGAATAAATAAAAAACAAATGTAACCTTTATACGTTTTTACGCCACGACCTAAACCTAATGCAATATCAAAAATTGTAATCAACCACAACGTTCGAAAAGGGTTTTATCTGATTAACACGATATGTAGCAGATTTTCCATAAGAGAGTTGGAGCTGATTGAGTCTACACTAAAACAATTTACACAATTAGCGATCACAGAACGAATCGCTCTCTTCGGCGACAAAATCCAAAAACTTTGCGCGAGAATATTAAGGAAGTAAGATACACCAGGGTATAAATCTCTGGTGACAATCTTCAATTATAAGTTGTGTGAGACGATGATTGCGAGGTAATAGAAGGGATGTTTGATTTTATATAATCTACTTTTAATTTTGTTAAATTGTCCGCCCATACGAAACCCGCATCATCCAGAAATGGCGACAACTTACGAATTATTATATTTGGGTAGATTTTATTTTCCTAATCATATCAATTTCCTTAGAAAATGTATGTAACTGCAATTAATTAATCAAAAACATTAAAGATTTGTTTATTTCTAAAAAGACAATAAAGGACCAACAAAAATTTTATCAAAATTGTTTTTCGAGCGGCCATTATGAAGGAATCGAAAATTGTAAACGACAATACACGTTTCAACTTTGATAACGACGAGAATCTATTTATTAAGCAGTCAATAAAATGGACTTCAGAAGAAGTCCTGAAGTGAGTAATCTTCTGCTCTGTTTGCACATCAGCAGAAGATGGAATTAATGTAGACTCCGGCCAGTTTTCGTCTGGTTCCGAAAGCCATTTAGGTCCATTCCACCAATTCCCATTTTTATAGCTCAGCTTGGATAAATGCCATTGATCCGACATCCGCAGGATGTAAAATAGGTTTGACATGTCGCCAACAATCAGGAGAGATAAGTTCCTGAATGTGACTAACTCTATTAGCAACAAATGTATGCCATCTGGACGGGCAGGATTTTATCCACGACAAAGCAACACTAGAGTCAGACCAAGCAACGATATCTTTTATTTCACACAGAGGTTTTAAAGCATTTAACACCGAACTCATTAAATCTGCTAACAAAACTATTCTATGATAACGATAATTTACGAAGTGGTGCGACCTTAGTTTTTGCACAACAAAATTCAACAGAATAATGACCATTTGTATCGACAGACCGACAGTAAAAACAGCACAATATCCACGTTCTGAAGCATCACAGAATCCATGGAGTTGTACGGAGACGAAAGAACCTATCATACGACGGGTAATTGAAATAGACGACAAAGACGAAAGTTGTGATTTAAATTTCGACCACTGCTTAGCTATTTCCAGGGGTACATCGCTGTCCCAAGAAACACCTGAAGTCCAGAGTAATTGCATAAGAAACTTAGCATAAAATGTTACAGGACCGAGAAACCCAACGGATCATAAATACGCGCAATATCTGATAGTATGACACGTTTCGTGAGCCGCCTTCTTCAAATTCAGCAACCCTAAAAGTAAAACAATCTACATTTGGTATCCACAAAAGCCCTAAAATTTTAAGTGTGATATCCGAAGTCTCTTCGAAGCTCTTAAATTCCTCTGAATACAAATCAGATGAATCGAGATCATTCAAGAAAGCTTTATAATTCACACAGTGCTATTTAGTGCCAAGCTAAGGAGAGCTTGTGTTATGGTTGCTAGACAACTGATATTACTTAAATACATACATAATGCATTGTTGACTTGGGTACCTCAGTCTCATATATTTCAGCCGCCAAAAAGCTTGCCTTTTAAGCTGTGCTTTGGTTGAAACAGGAATAATGCAGTTATATTATAGTAAATATATATACATACATATTACCACTTACTATCAGATAGGTCATTAGTTTGATTGCCAACCATGTTATATATATTAGTGATCCTGTGGTTGAATTTTGACCATAATTAATTTAAATTAGTAAACTTCTATTGTCAAAGACTATGTACAAATATTATTAAAGAATACAATAATAATCTAATCACAATTTGACCACAGACTTTAAAAATAAACAAAATAGTATGTATATATATGTATGTGTCAAATACATACATGTGTATATACATACATACATAGTGTGTGATGTTTTTTGTATTGATTTAGTGTATATTTTATTAATATTTTTTTTTCACATTAGCATTCTGCACTCATCTCAATAAACTATAAGTATTATAAATTTCTTATGTCTTAAAGCTAACCTCATCATTTTTATTAATAATTCATTATGTCTAAGATCGTCAGACATAACATGACGTTGTAATGACTCATCAACGCTACAAGGAATCAATTTTTATCCATATCACTAAGTTTTTTTTGTTATTTATTAGCATCCATTCCCTCGTTACTCACTGACACACATAGCTTAATTTTCAATTTTGGTTTTATCAAAAATGCTACTTCATTCTTCCTTTATTTATCCAAGTATCCTTCAATACGTCACAATGTTATAATTAACATTGTGACACGAGAATTTTGTATATAGGTAATACATACTCCTCTGAATTGATCTTGAAATGATTTTTTTTATACATATTCAATAGGTCTGAGAATCGGCTACTATGTTTAATTAGCATTATATCCAACCCTAAATTTTCACCCTTCTAGCAACCTATTTTACATAACGATTTTAATTTATATAGCAAAACTACGTTTGCAGTGACAGCTAGTTAATATATAAACATCCGTCATGACTGTAATCCCAGAAGCTTTGTCAACTGTCTATTTTGTAATGAACGTGAACACTCAACATGTCCACATTTCGCTGAGTATATTTGACTTCAATGTGGCAGAAGAGTAGCACACCGCCGTATCTCGTAGTATACTTTGTGAATGGAGAATTCAGTCTATTATCTTTTATCAGATATTTATAGCTTTACCAATTGGCAATATATATTTATTGTATACTATGTAAATTTGAAATTTATGACCCTACGAAGTTGAACTTATTTTTTCGTTGTTTTAAAATGTATTTAATATGGCAACAACAGGGGCATACAACTTATGAAAATGAATTGATAGTTATAGTTTCTAGCTTACAAACAATATACAAACGTAAACTTCAGTAAGAGACTTCAAAAATAATTAATTTCTAAATATTTTCCATTCCATTCCATCTAAACCTCATTGTTGGTCGCAGAACTTGTATTAGACAACTGATAGTTACGTAAGTAGTACGTAATATATAGAATAGAATACACGAACCCACGACAATCTGAAAGTGAAGCGGTGTGCTAAACCCCCAGACCAAAGAGGTCGTCATATTTATATAACTACCGATCCTCTCTAGCAAAACTTCAACATTCATTCAACAAATTATTTTTTGTCGCTAATAATGATTTGTTAATAAAGTATTTAAAAAAGTTAATTGTCTTTTGAGTTTATACGAATATATCCTGTTTGTAATATTAATTTAGATTGTGACAACATACGCGATATAATATAATTAAGAAAATTAATGTAAACCACACCAAACACCAAGTATTCATTTTTTTTACAAAGTTATGTCGCGAGATTTGTTGTGGCGAACAAAACCAAACAACGGAGACGATACGTTCTGTACAATATCTACACGTGCGTAAGCGTCACTACATCAGTCTTTGTTGTTTACAGTACTACCTCTTATTCGCGACTTCATACAACTTCTTTGTTTATAAACTGATTGGTACAAAACAAACACTAAACTTTAACTGAAGCTTACCATTATACATTCGGGAGAACCGCATTCAAATCGTTTAAGCAATTACAAGGAGATAAAAAATTTAACAATCATTGTTTTATGTACCATTGCTAGATAATATCTCCCAATATTTTCCATTTTCAGATGCGTTTGATTTTTATTGTGTTGTACTTGTAGCTGACTCGTCTAACGTTACGTCATATATTAATTAATTAATCTATTCATCTATACATATAAATAAAATTGGAGTGTCTTTTTGTAATATTGAAATATTTTTTATATAATTGAAATAACCGTCTTTTACTACATGCATATGAATATAAATACGGTACATACACCAAAATATCATTTTTTCCAATTTTTGTCTGTCTGTCTGTCGGTCTGTTTGTTGCGGCTAATCTCTGAAATAGTTGGTCCGATTTTGACGGGACTTTTTTTGGCAAATAGCTGATGTAATAAGGAGTAACTCAAGCTACTTTTATTTTAGAAAACATCTTTCATTTTAGAGAAATAAAATTACATTCCACGCGGACGAAGTCGCGGGATCAGCTAGTATTATTATATAAATCATTTCTGGTTAGGATCTGCTTTATCACCTAGTGGTTTTAAAAATAGCCTATGAATAATTTTCAAACCTACCAAATATACACAAATTACATATGAATCGGTCAAGCCGTTTCGGTAGAGATTGATAAGAAACACAGTAATACAGGATTTTATGCACGTGCATGCATTACAGTAACAAAGACGGATAACAACGTCTAGTTACGTGAAGCTATGATAATTAGGTAACGGTCATTAACTCTTAAGAGTTAAGGCTTTAATAATATGGTTAATTTTCAGATACGGTTTAACATTCCGATTATACGGTACTATATTCAGTATACATGCATTAGAGTTATTATAGCATATTCTAGTGTACATCAATACTAATTTTAGAAAGAGGTTATATAAGTTTGTATGTTTGTTTGTTCAGGGTAATCTCCGATTATGCTGATCATTTACCCATTTATTTATGGTCGGCGTAATATGCTTTTCTCTTGCATTCATCCCTGTTCGCAGTCATCTCGTTATTAACTTTTTATCATATCATCTTTCACACAGTCCATCCATCTCTTTTACGGCCTTCCTCTGCCCTTATAACTATACACATTAATATGTAACACCTTCCTTAAAATATTATCGTCATTCCTACACATTAGGAATTAGTACGGATTGTTACACCTACGAAGCTAAAATATGTGTCAGTGGAACAGAACGGCATCAATATCTCCCACTGATTGTCGCGATAAGCGCGCTCATACAAAATATTACAAATAGACAGACATGCATTTGCTATTTACTATTTATTTGAATAGAGAAAACTTAATGGTTAAAATTTTTGATAGAACCATAATAGTAAGATTAGTCATTTTTACTTTGTTTCCTTAACATTACTATTGCAAATTAAAAAAATTAAGTATAATTATAAATGTGCATACGCATTAATGATAATTATAATCAAATAATTCAGTGTAATTATATTGGTGTGTAGACACCTGTGGACCATCAAATTCTTTACCATTCCAATTACAAAATAAATTACTAGATCTCTATGACTGTATAGTAAAATATTGTTTGTTATATTTGTTCTTTATTGAACTGTAATAAAATCCATACAAATAGAAATAAATCTAGAATATTCAAGTATAATACTTAGCGTTACATATACACATACGCAAACATATTTATCAGTATTCCAATTTACATTACATTACATTACAATAGTATGAAAATTATATTACAATAAGTAGGAAGATCAATAATTAACTCTTTCAAAAATATTAATGTACTTTTTGATAAATATGCCTACATAATAAGTGATAATATTGCCTTTGCCTTTATTTCCAGGACTCGTTCAGCAACGTGAAGCAGTGGCTGGAGGAGATAGACCGCTACGCGTGCGACAACGTAAACAAGTTGCTGGTAGGCAACAAGTGCGATCTCACCACTAAGAAAGTGGTTGACTACACAACGGCCAATGTGAGTAGTATTCAAATATTTAGATCAGTGATTCTCAACCACTGCCCCATTGTACTTTTGTGTGTCGCGAAAGTAGCGCTAATTTTTATATCATAATTATTAACTTGTAAATAGTCCTTTAATAAACGTACTGTTTTTAATTTTTATAGTAGATATTATTTTATTTCACTCATTTAAAATTATTATCATAAACCTACCTACCCTGGTATCGGACTAAGGCCTAGGCAACCTAGACACGTTCCTAGGGCCCATAAGTTTAAAACTACCAAACTCAAAGTATGTGTTATGACTGAAAAACGGCTCCAGAATTACAATGTTGCCTAGATCCCGTTTTAGTTTTAGTCCGCCATTGCCTATAATTAATGAAATAGTAACTAAATAATATACGCCCAATTAATCGCACTTTAACACACGACCCATTCCAGCAATACGCCGAGCAACTGGGCATACCGTTCCTGGAGACGTCGGCGAAGAACTCGACGAACGTGGAGCAAGCGTTCATGACGATGGCGGCGGAGATCAAGGCGCGCGTGGGGCCGCCGTCGGCGGGGGCGGCGCCCGCGGGCGCGTCCGTGCGGATCGACCCCGGCCGCCCCATCGACACCGGCAAGTCCTCGTGCTGCTGAACGGCTCCCCGCGCCGCGCCGCCATCGGTACGTACACACACCACACCCAATGCAATAATGGATTACTCTAATTACAAATTTGGGAAAATCTACTCTAAATATTTATTATTAAAGTCTAATTCCTATTTTTTTTTTAATTTTGTTTTATTCCTGTATTGTACACTTGATGCTCCGATAACTACGTTACACTGTATTTTTTGGATGGGTACGCCTGTAGACCTATGTGTTTCAGCCGCCAAGCAGCTCTGTTTGTAAGGTTAAATCATATAAGGCAATGAAATTACAGGATTAGAGGCATAACATACTAGTTTTCCAGAATGGCAAAGAATTACGGGCGCCATGTGTTGCTATGGTAACAGTTACTTCTTACTGTTTTAAGGTATCCAGTATCTGGTATAGGTATCAGCCCTAAGTTTTCGAATTACCTTGTTTTAGATAGACTAATATCGCGTCCTAACTACTCGCATGTTCTAAAAAAGGTAATTCGAAACGAAAAGATGTTTCTAATTATCTTTTTTAGGTGATTAGGTCCAGGACCATGGTGATGAGTTTCTTTTTACACATTATATTTTTTGTACCCTATGAATCAGAAAAAAGGCATATAACTTTGTTGACGTTGTTTGTTGACACTTTGTTAAGAGGCGATGTAGCACACAAATCATACCTCCCTATTCTCGTCCTGAACGAAAGAAGAAAGACGTGTATAAATCCACAGAGTGTGACATAAAAGTAGATAATTTTTATGGAATCATATTTAGATTGTCGTTCACACGAGATAAAAAGATTTAATAATGTTATTATTATGTAAATATCGTTTTAACAGATTACAACACTAATTACAGGCCGGCGGCATCACGCAAGGGAAGTGGGCGTCCACCACACCCTCAACAAAATCGCAATTACCACAAAACGTTTCGAAACGCATCATTATAATAATATTAAAAGTAAATAGTACGATGGGGCGGACGCTCCGTCTCGTCGCTCGTAAGCTAACTTCTGTTAAGTTGCCACAGTCCGAACCATTGTTGGAACAAGGTGAAATGGATGGGTGTATGTTTATACATGTTTATATATAATGAATATCGTAGGTTAATTTTGTGCTGTTTCTATAAAACGTTAGCAAGTTACACCTTGACAACGGCATAGGTAATTGTATGAAAGGTAAATTCACACGTGTTTTTGTATCGTATATAACAACTCTGGAACGAGACATATAATCGTGCTCGTTGGAGTTTTTTAGCTAAACTATTATTGTTACGCTGGCACACTCCTATACATTGTATTGTCTAATTTTATATTCTGTGTACGCATGAGGTTTTTATGGAATCCCCCTCGCTAAGAATCAAAACTTTGCACGTACAGTCATCAAGTATTATTGCTTTTAACTACTATAATATGTATTCGATAACTTAGAAAAGGATTTAATACAAATTAAAATTAATATATGTACTGACATTTTACTTTCAATGTTATTATTCCAAAATTGTTCAATAATTGTGTACAGTGTGTGTGTAAATAAGAAATTCTTGTATTTGAATCAAGTGCTCTTAATTTCGAGTACTTGGAATATGCTATCTGCATACTGTGGCTAATACCCACATGGAAATATGTAATTTAATTTTATAATTTTTTTGTGGGCAACATGTTACTATATGCCCATAATTTTGATGTAAATTATATCATTACCAATACTGTATTTTTCGACGTTATGATTCTTAGCCACGCGGTATTTAAATATAAATAGAGTATCAATTCTAGAGTCAGAACTAGGACATAAATAATTGTAAAAATCGTACAAGTAAACCTTCCATGGAGTTTAGTTTTTAGTTAATCAATGAATGACTTGTGACGACGTATATGAGATTAAAAAGCAATGCACTAAATGTAATAAATATCGTGGGATGTTACACTATGTGACGCGGTGTAGAGTAGTGTGCTAGCACTCACGTTAAGATAGAATTTACCGTTCTAGGAATATTTTTATCCGTTCCATCTCGTAGGCTATTATTTTTATTCCAGCTTATGTTATAATTTTCGTCACTTGAGGTACTAATTTCAATATGCACTGGGTGTTATTATTCTATACATATATTACTAGAATTAACGTGAAGCGAACTGGGGTTGTGCTGTGTTGAAAATTTTGTGTTAGAACTTTTTTATTTAATGACGCTCTTGTCGCAGTTTTTAACACAAAATTGTAGATATAGCAAATGGGCCTTAGAGAATTTAGACAGATATTATTATATTAACATATGTAGCCATTCGATTAAAAGCAAGCGGGAATATAGTATTAATTAAGGGTGTATTCACATCGAATGTACACTCGGCTGTCGGATTTGAGCAAGTGTTACACGTCACCGATATTCCATTATATATATATATATTAAACATCTCTTCCGTAAAAATCTGACTATTTTAAGTGCTCATATTCGATGGCTGACTCTACGTTTAGTGTGAACGCGGCCTAAAATAGATTCATATTATAACTATATCACAGCAATTATGTGATAATTTTATTTTTTAACAACGCTACAATATTACATATATCGTCGTATAAATTTAATTCTATTTTCAACTTAGACTAAAATTAATTGATATAAAATTTATCCACTTATATATTTCTTAACGGTATTTGTAATATTGAAGCTTTAGAATTATTTATAAATTGTCAAACTACAACTTATGTATGTCGTTATTTTTATACTATTACGTCAGAGTTAAGTTTACTTAAATCAATACCGCTAACCCACTGTAATTCTGTATTGAGGGTTTCTTAGAAATTAAAACAGTATGCTATACAAGGATGTTTCATTTTAAAAAACCTTACAATATTCTAAATAGCCCTTACATTCATATTTAAGGAAAAACAAATATAAAATTCCGAGGACGAGATGCTGTATACATATATTTAAATATATGTTATGTTAATGAAGGAGGACTGGTAGTAATAGGGTGTATAGTAGAATTAACGATGGTTTTTTGGGGACATAAACCATTGTGGTCAATTCCAAATGAATTAGCCACGCTGACTGTAACTGAAGTTTTGATACGATATTTTGACGCAATATCGTTTACTTTCCTGACTAAAGATGACGGTAATTGTAAACGATTATTAAGAGCAGACAGAACTATCTACCCACTTTCTTAGTAGTATGATAGAGACCAATTCACTTCACATTCATTCAAAGCTTATTTGTTTTTTCTAAAGAATTAAACTGCCATAAACAAGTATTTTCAAAATGGATTTGGCCGGACCTATAAGTACCTAAGTATCTTATATTTATTTTATTTCTGATGAAATTTATTATACTAAGAATATTTATACCACAAGTAAAAGTACAATGACGACAATGAATAATTTTAATATTATTTTCAAATTCAATCGAATTGACAAAGACAGTCAATTTGTTGTAATGTATAATAATATCTTAGGACAATTTACACAAACCTAAACTGAGCTCGCCTTAGCGTACTAGGTAACTAATATACATACATGGATACATTTTCTTTGTAAATGCGCACATATTATACATACAACACTGAGATCGTCATGTCATATCAATAATACTCATGAATGAAATGTTCGTACCGCGGATCGGCCCTGCTACCATCGGAAGTATGAATGAAATCAGAATGATGATCCATTATCAGCAACAACATCTCATCATATATTCATAATCGTGACAGAGTCCATGTAGATTTAGCGGGCATTGTAGAAATTCTGGACACAACACGGGCAACTTGTCTGCAATTATTAATAAGAGACATCTCATTATCACAATGTAAATCTCCATGAAATGATTGACGTTTACTGATTCTGTAACGTTAAAGTTTACAATAAGCTGTACCATATCGGTACTCCATGCGGTTTTTCTTGGTAACTATCGTGTTCAAAAAGACTACAATAAACCAACTGACCTTTTTTATGGGGGGGAAATGTTGAAAAAAAAGGTGAGGTGTGGGTGAATTCCATCCAACGTGATTTGTCGGCGGTGGTGCGAGAGCGCTTTCGCAATCGTCTGCGTTCTCCAATGACAGTGCCGTTTTGGTATGGCCGCGGGGACCGTTTCGCAGACGGTTCCGTTCCTCAGAGCACTTCCTGTGAACTTAGGATGCCCCCACATTCGCCGATCTGAGGGTACCTTCAAAAGAGTTGACTGACCTGACTTTCTGACATTCTCATGCTATAATGTTCCACCAGAGTACCACTAGTATATAGCTACTGTTAGTGTAGTCAAGATCACTGTTGCACTATTATCCTCAAAAAAAAAACATTTATTGTGCAGATGACATAAATAAGTACTTATGTATCTATACCTAAAACTTACCCATAGCATAAGCACAGCCACAGCAGTACCCGTGTATGATAGCTTCGTCGTCCTCGCAGCTCCTTGGTGGGCAGCCATTACACCAAATACCAACTCCTAGCCAGGGCAAGTTCCCTGTATCGAAAATTCGCAACATGATATTTTAACACCGCAGAACATGTGGTGAGTTCGAGTGTTTTATTTTAAGAGTACTTTTTAATTATTTTAAATAGAATATCATTGCATTTTGTAACACGCAGCGTAAAGACTTGATAAAAATTACTTAATTTATATAATAGAAAACCACCTCGACTCTTTTTAATTTTTTAGCATTTAGTTAATGTATAAAACATTGGGAGTAAGGAGAATTACTAGCAATTTAGGTTGATCTCTACGCGGTCGTCCCTGGAAACCGTCTTGATTGATTTCTAGTTAATTCGCACTGTGCGTTCAATAGTTTCGTACTTATCCTAGCATCTCGTCACTATACTATGTATTGACATTCGTTATTGAAAAAATTAAATAGATTTTATTATTGTAGGTACATAATATAGAAAACACCCAAACAAAAATATAATTAAAGATTGAACCCGCAAACCAAGGCCGTTTTCAAAGATTTGAAAATATCCTATAGAGAAAGGTTTGGTGAATAAGTTTAAATACTCACAACGAGATGCTTTTCTGACTCCATTCAATTCCGTATCCTTAAATGGTCCCAAAAACAAACCTGATGTGGTGCGATTTAAAACAATAAATAACAGTAAACTACCAAACAACCGTGTCATAGCGTACATTTTATGAAATGTCCCATGACTACACTGTCCATGGTTATTTATTATGTAGTCCCATTATCACTGACTAAACTTGAAACAATTTCAACTAATTGGATATAGGTCAGTGCCATTAGATAAAAATATATCCAGAAGAAAAGTACCTATGTTCATTAAACATAACCATCTTACTAATATTATAAACGCGGGAATTTTTTAGTGTGGATGGATAGATGGATGTTTGTTACTTTTACGCAAAAACTAATAAATAGATTTTCATAACAGTTTTTACATCAGAATAACACATAGGCTATGAATTTCGGCTAAAGTAATGAGATTAAGATTCCCACGCAGACGAATTTTCTATCTCTACCTCTGGTCTATGCTAATGTTCTCTGAATGGCAAAAAAATGGCTTCCAGTATAGATCTTTACACATTGATAAATGTTACTGGACAAAACACCTTATTTTAAGTGATAATTAGTAGGTAATTAATATAAAAACAAATACAGTTTTCCATAACATTTATTATTACATCAATACGGTACAACACCAATACAAATTGTATTAAATTACAAACGTAATTATTTCATTAAACAGTACTATATTTTTTTATTTCACAATTAACAAAATAGAGCAAACATCGTAACTTGCTAAATAAAATAAAATATAATAAATGTAAATTAATAAAGAGATCAAATTATATCACAGTTACATTAATTATGTTTATAACAAAAATATACCTGTATATAAGTTTTCCTGTGACTAGATTAATGCGATTAAATAAATATTAAACTACTAAATATTAACTTATCAAAGCGTTATGTAATTTGTTATATTATATAAGGTATTATTTGTTCACTTAATTTGATTTCTCAGATTCCCGCACTTATAATTATAACGTCACGAGATCTTACTGTTCACCGGACTACATCAAAGCAAAAAGAAAGAAAATTCTTTGGCCAAAGAATTTAAATTTAATTAAAAGGGCCTATAATTCACACCATACAACACTAAGATCCTCACGCCCATATTTTAAGTACTTAAAATATGGGCGTGATACATATTATTTTCCCTTTTGTTATTAATGAAAATCAAGCAAAAATCTAAAGAGTGTTACACAAAGAAGTAAATACATAAATAGTGAAAATACATAGTGCTTTTTATACCGTATTTTAGACTATTTGGTCACTATCAAACTAACGCAATAGACGAAAATTATAAATATAAATGTCCCTGGTCCGTGCAGGTTTGAGATATATTACGTTATAAAGGTTTGTATAAAATATTTGGCACTGGATACCTACCTAATGCACATTTTAAGAAGTGCCATTTAACTTTGGCAGACTTACACTATTTGTTTATGAATTTTAAACATCTTAATTACTCCGTAATACTTATTATAATCAGAGAGCCCTATTTGTACTTATCATTTTTTTTTGTGTAATTCGAATAAGTGACAGATGGTAATATTTTTTAACTACTCTAATGCTGTTGGGCGCAGCTGACCTTTACAGCTTCACTGGATTTTAGGAGGCGAGTGCAGATGGCACTCAGAGGGTATTTATGGAACAGCCGAAGGTCAACTTCTGCAGACTTTAGTCTGAGGGCATCGCTAAGGGTTCGAACCTCGGCTCAGGCCATCGTAATTTCTATCCCCGTGTGAATTTGATGGGGGATCGATCGGAAGGAACAGATGGTACTCTGCGCTTATATACATGAATAGTACTGCTGCGGATATCATATTATCAAGTGACGCCATAGCAGTGTTGCTATTCCTAATACCTCTCACTGTAATTTCATTGCCTGCTTTATCTCAACTTTCACCTGAAACACAGTTTAGAAAGCAACCTGGCTGCTGAAATAGGTGACTCTGAGGATGTTCCTCTTGATGATCCCAGATTAATATCAGATAGTACAACATTTTTAACACTAAATTTTAATTTTTCTTTGGCACTAAATTAACTCTCTTATTAATATTAATGTGATTAATATAGTGTACATTATTTTATTCTTTGGCACTATGTAAATTAAGTCTCTTATTATGATTAATCCGATTAATATTGTGTACATTGTCCGATTACTATGTGCATTTGTGTATACTTAACCTAATATCAATATACCTATTATATGTAAAATGAAAAATGAGCTGAGTATTTGCACTATATTTATATGTTATCACAATATGGGTACATACCCATACTATATTAACCCATTTTTACCACCCTCCCTCGGTGACCATGATAATATGTTAATTTGCATGTAGCAATTCATAAATACCACTTTATAAATTTAAAATTAACAAAAATTGTCTGTTTAATACAAAAAAGATTTCCCCATTTCCCCCTGCCTATTTTAAGGAAGATACCTATACTGTGAATGCAGTATGGGTAAGATTCTTTAAAATATTTTTCTAGGGTATCATATATTTGTTTTAATCAGTCAACTATCATTTGGCACATTTATACATTTTAAAATCAACAAATACTACTGTGGGCACACTTTAATATTACCCACTGAGGTATATAAAGGTGACACCAAACTGTCTGCTATTTTAATATAAGATATCGGGGGGGAAGGGAATTGTTAGTAATGTAGACTTTTGAGCCCATTGCTAGCAATGAACCACATCGGGTTGTCCTCCACGCGGTTCCCCCTGGAAACCATCGTCATAAATACCTGGTGAATATGTCGTGATGAGCTAACTGACCTGACCTCCATGCTCATCTTATCATTCTCCACTGGTGCCCCGTCAGCGTAAACCTTTAGCGTAGGCGGGTACACCATTCCATTGTCTTCCATAAAAAATAATATATTAATATATATATATATTTTTATATTGGATTCAATCCTGTCCAATTCGATATTCTTATGTACATAATATTGTTTCCTATACAACTTGAATATCGTAACAATGTAAAAATTAGGGTTGTGGGAACATAATCGGTTATTATTCAATAAAAAATATTTACCTATATTTTCATCTAAGTGAATTAAAAAACACATTTGTTTTAAAAAAAAAGAGCAAGTGGGAAATAAAGAATGAACACATCTATAGGCAAAACCTCTCAGTAATTGGATTTCTGAAAAATAATGGATTATAGAAATATTATCATTGAATAAAAATTTATAGAATATTACCAACAAAAATAAAAGAATAATTAAAAATATTTTTTTATACAGAATGTCACGTACCTAGTAGTAAAAATTGGGACAAATCGCTTAAAATTGGAATATTTGGCCACACTAATCATCATTCATAATTTAAGAGCCGCGCTCTAGTCGTTGGAGCTCTTGCCATTTTCCATGACTTTCCATCAATATCTTTAGTTGTTCTGTTATTGGTATACTGTAACTTGTGTGGAATGAAATAGGGATATCTACCTCGAACGCGATCTAATATTTTTATATGTTATTATCACCGTTCAACAGAAATTGATGTCAAATTATATGGAATAATATAATTAGTAAAATATATAGAATTGAAAATGAAAATTAGATAGGTTAAATATGTAATTATGTTACACTAAATCTGTTATTATATATTATTCGACATAAATTTCTCTTGAAAGTGATAATCTTTACATAGTACAAAACACAGTCGCCGCCGCTGTCTATTCGTTTATATCTTTTAAATTACGGTTTTAATGCTGTGCAGTAATACATGCGTGTATTATTATATGCAAGCATAACATGTTGAGAAATTCCAATATTTGTAATGCATCCATAAGAAGCCGAGGCGAGTCGATAATATAATAATATGGAGTGTCAGTTCTTACTTAGAGGTAAATAACTAAATTTCATTCTACACATGACAACTAATCATGATCCGTTGATGATATTACAAGTAGTTATAATAATTTTACACAGAAGCCCTCTCGATGAGATCCGGTGTGAGTGAAGCTCGGGACAGCAGACGATGGGGCCTCACAGGCGCCGCCAGCAGCGCTCCACCTTCGCATTGCTTGTTACCAAGACAGTTGCAGGAACACACCTGCAAAGTTACCTTAGTCAGACATCACATTTGAATTTATATATAGTACCTACCCGCACAACTTCGTCTGCGTATCTTTCTTTTAATACACATTTATTATTTATTCCACAGATTTTATTTTCAAAGACACATTTAGAAATTATGAAAAATTCTATAATTATGTCTTTATATTTTAGTCCGCCATTTTGCAATAAAATAGTTCTAAAGCACGCACGATTGAAGGACGAGGGAATACGCGAACTTGCGCCACGCAGTCTTTCTTGTTCTCTTTGTCTACATGTCTCTTTCCCGCTTTTCGGTCTCTACTCTACGGTACTCTGTTAGCTACTCTAATTCTGTTGGCCGCAGCTAGTCTTTACAGCTTCATCAGACGATAGGGGCGAATGCAGATAGCATTCCAAACCCACGAAAAGACTTATGGAGCGGCTAAATGCCAACAACTCCCGCCTGACGGATTCGACTTTAGTCTTAGGGCACCGCTAGGTTCGAACCTTGGCTCAAGCCGTCGTAATTTCGATTCCCGTTAGAATTAGACGGGATATCGATCCGAGAGTCGTCTCTTTCCCGCGTGAAAGCCCAAGTGGAAGAGCTCCACGCGCGATAGGGTAAGTCGTAAATACGAGTAAAGTCAACTAATTATATACGGTGAGGATATCCGTTTGCGGCAAGGATTAAGCCAGATTAAGATTAATTACAGTGGGACGAGGCTGAGAGGAGACGACGAGGCAGATACTCACAGATGCTTGGTCGTCGTGGTCGCGGCGCGCATCTAATGGCAGCAGCGTACGGGAGCCGTCTTTCTCTTCGTCGCGCGCGTTTTCCTCCGCTTGCCTACGCATTATTAAAAAAGATGAACACCTCTATAGGCAAAAGCGCTCAGTCAATATATTTTACAACATATTTTAGCAACGTACACTTTATATGTAAAATTAATAAAATCATCGTAAGTTTGTTCTTATAGGTAAGATCCAATAATTATTTAATTTTACGTGTAAATAACGGCCGCGTCAAATTATACAATCAAGGTACATTTACAATAATACAAAATTATCTGAGTGGACATATATAAAAATACTTGGGAATGAGAAATATATAAATGTGTTCTGTACCGAAATAATTATAAAAAGCGGACTTTCTCACTAACTTAGACGACTAAGCAGTTTTATTGTAAGCTATATTATTTTTGGTTTGGAATCATGACACTTTAGTTCTCAAGAGTGGCAACAAATGTGGGGAAGCCATAGACATCATCCAACGTCGTGATTCCCGCGGTTTATATATAGGCGAATGTCCCCACTTACCATCAAGTAAACAGTTTGCTTGTCACCATTTAATTATAATATACAAATTATTAGAAATAATATAATGAATATTCATAATATTAATAATGCGAAAAGTCCTCGTGAAATGTCTTATATGATAATATAATAGTGCACCCGGCTACGCTGGCGGGGCACCAGTGGAAGATTATAGGATGAGCATGAGGTCATGTCAGTTAGCCTAAATTCACTATAAATTTATTACGATAGTTTAAAGAGGTCAAACTAATATGGGACATTGCTAGCAATGGGGTTATTAGTCCATATTACTAATAATCCCCTCCCCCCCTCTCGAGAAGTTTTCATAAAATGAAATCAAATTGAAATTATAATGAAATCTACTTACATAGTCATGAACCTGAGTACAAGCAAGTTAATGCTAGCTGCTACCACTGCTAATCCGAAGAGGATGAACACTAGACTTAGTGCGACGTACCCCGGCTTACTGGTCAGTGCTTGATCATTCTGAAATCATTCAAAATATTAGACTTATTAACTTTTTTATCGAAACATACAAACATCTACATTTTAAATATGGAACATACTGAAGCGCTCTGTAGGAATTAAGGCACATTTTAACTAATATAGCCATGTTTCAACTAGCAATATGTTAGGTCGACCTACACGTGGTAAATCCTGGAAACCATCGTGGGTTTTACTGATCTAATTTCATCCTTATCTTACCATCCACCGCTAGTACCCCGCCAGCCTATACCTTTAAAGCACCCGTGAACAATCCTATATTCATCCATTTTTTTAAAATATGTTACAATAACTTCATAAATATTGGGTATCGAAAGTTCTACAAACGTAATTCTCATTTCAAATAAAGAGCAACTCTACAGACAACACAATAAAGTTTAATATAGCATTTTACTTATTTAAAAATGTGTTTGCGGAAAGTACCTGCAAAGCAACATAGTCACCAAATCCAATGGTAGTCAAAGTGACGAAGCAATAGTAGAAGCTGTCGAAATAACTCCAGCCCTCGTAACGAGAAAATACAGCTGCACCTGTAATATTTTATTAAAAACTGATTATTTTTATTTAAATGCTAAATGTTATCCGCGAAATCGTCCCCGTAGAATTATTAAAATCAATAAAATTTATAAACTAAAACTAACCTAAGACATTAACTAATCGCGAGTGAAAGTCCCGTCAAAATCGGTCCAGCCGTTTCAGTTTTTAGCAATAACAAACAGAGGAACAGAAAACATTCTTTTTTCATGAAAGTCAACTTAAAGCTATTTACATATAAGGTAGGATACTCTAGTTACTCCTCCTATTTGAATAAAATTAAATCAATCCCCTTTCCCCCTGTAAGTGACGGTTACCACTTACCATCAGGTGGGCTGTCAATTTGTTAGTTATTCCTATTAGAAAATAAATTACCAGTCGTTATAATGATAGAGGACAGCATTCCAGTTGCAAACATCAGGTTCATCTCAGTGGCTTCAGTAGTCTCACAACGGAGGTAACACTTGGCCCGTCGTATTACCACCGATGCGAACTTGTTCAATCGTTCACCTATACTTTGAAACATCACTAGACCCAAGGGGATGCCCACCTGCAATAATTATTGTACTTCAGTAAAAAAAATGGTTATAAAGTATAGAAGTTACGTAATTGTAATATAAATGATATTATAATATACTATCGAGTGATTTATGCTATGTATTATGTTAATAGCCTCTGTGGACTAACGGTTTAGCACACTGCTTTACTTCCGATTGACATGGGTTCAATAACTCGCATGGTTGTACCATGTGAGATATCGAACCCATGTCAATTTCTATTCATGAGTATGACTTTATGTATCAGTTCATATTAGTTTGCCATAGTTATATAATATTTATTTTCAGCACTTCTTTTCGTAATCAGTCATTAAAAAGTTGAGATTAATTAATACATATTTAATTTATAATTACCATTAATTATGTGTTTGTGTTTAGAAAATTCATCACTTGTTAAAACTTATCTAAAATTGTTTATAGATTGCTTACTAACATAATATGTAATTAATTTTTATACTCAAACAAAGATACTTACCATTGCGTATGCCATACAAAATGCTTTTCCTCCAACAGTGACTGGAGTAGAGTGTCCATAGCCAATCATGGCAAGGACAACAGTTGCAAAATAGAATGCTCCCGCAAACTTCCACTGAGGGCCAGCTTTATGTGGCTTGTTCTCTATTATAACGATCTCTATCATGTGGTAATCTTCTGGAGTTATATTGTACTTTCGAACGAGGCCATTTTTCATGTCTGAGGATTATATAATTTGCTATTTGTAATATTTATTTACAAAATTAATCATTACTATTCAATATAATTAATCATTACTATTAAAGATAATTGAAAAACTACTTTAATTAAACTTTATATAATAATATATTTATCTAAATCTGTGAGACAGGCCTATATTTTTTTATATCAAAGTAGTGTTTTCTTACTATAAAGCAAACAAAAAGAAAACTTTGTTTTTTGTTAAGTCATTAGAAAAGAGTGATATAATTCCATAATTGTTATTCCAAACACTCAGACAAAGGTGTAACATGGCTTGTAATTTATAGTTTAAAGGAATTCTAATGTGGGAACTATTTGAATATATTTAATTTATTTACTACTTGCCATCTCTACACCTATGCATGTTTTGAATTCAAATTACAATAGATTTTTTGTGTACTAATTAAAAACAAACCATATCTAAAAATTAAAGAAAGATTGCTGTAACACAGCTTAACTTTAATTTAGAGTAGTTAAAAATAAGCATTTAATTTATTGTAAATAATATCAACAGTGGTTTTAGGGTGCAATTTCAATTACCTGTTAAAACCTCCCATCTCTTACTCTCTGTGTCAGATTCTAAAGCATCAAACACTGCAGCCCCGATCAGCAAATATGTGAATGTACACACAACCAAAGAAAGAGTACGGACATTTTGTCGCTTCATCCCTGCAGCTCTTTACTAGTAATTTATAGGAAATTATAGTCTGTTTAACACATTTCAAATATGTGTTCTGTGGACAGACATTGAAATATATTTTCTGAAAAAAAAAAATATAATCTGAATGCTTACTATTTTCCTAAATATTTTATTATATTTATTACTATTGATGTTGTTATTGTTTTCCTAGTAGATTTCCATTTTCTTAATTATATTTACTAACACTTCCTGATAATTTTAAATAAAATGATGTCAGAATAGTATAAGTTATTTGTAAATAATAATACAGTAATAAATATACTCAATGAAGCATGTAATTATTCTATATATTATTTATAAAATATATTACTTTTTCATCTGTAATTGATCCATTTTATTGTTATATTATAATACACTATTTATTAAACAGCGCTTTCCACTATGTATATAAACAACAAATTTTTATACTTAAATAATTTAAACGCAAAGGTGTATATAAATTAAGCCATATTGTACACAAACAAACCGAAGCCTTTTCTAAAATTAAAAATATATACAGCCACAAATTTTGGGTTGTTTTATAGTTTTTGCGAATAGTTCAGTATGTAAACATTCATTTATGGATTTTTTAAATTTCACCTAGCTCTCGCTAGGGTTGTCAATAACATATCGATATATCTTCAATTTATTTTTTCATGAAGTCGATTTAAAAATATCAAATATTGACAACAATTTAAAAGTGTAATTTTAATTTATCTACCAAACTATTTCCCTTTATTAATAGATTATTGGTGGACCGACGATCTGGTCAAGATCGCTGGAAGGCATTGGATGCGAGCAGTAAAAAATATTTAGCAAAGTTTTGATTCCGATCGTCGTGGAGTAAATCTTATAGGGGATAAAACGGGTATATGATCAATATATAATTATTATTAATATATAATATTCATTCTAGCAAAATACATCTTCCCAAATTATAAAAAAAGGGCTGCGATGATGATGATGAATAGATTATTGTTTTTTATTATTAGAAATATTATATTAGACATGTGGCACAAAAGTCTGCATTACGGAATTTGCTTAATAATACCACAATAATACTATACATCACCGCTTAAGTCATTTTTCAGACATAAAGTATAGGTAATTGTTTGTTTATTATAATTATAGTAAAAAACATTTAGGAAAGTTTTGATTCACATATGATATGAATTTATTCATTAATACTAATCATTAGAATAATCCCTGATTTAATTGTAAATCAGTTATAGAATCGAATTACAATTTGATAAAACGGGTATAAATTGCAACATTGATCAATATATAATTATTATTAATATATAATATTCATTCTAGCAAAATATCTTCATCATCACCAAACTATAAAAAAAGAAATATTTTTTACATGTCGATATAGTTCACATATTCTTTTGGATAGACTAGTTGAACTAATTCATGCATGTTCTGAAATAAACGTAGCAAAAAATTGCATTCTTACTTTTAAATGTGCTATAAAATATTAGGAAACAAAACATTGTTACTATTTCCATTCTTTCATTTTACAAAACAAGAGTTTCCATGTGTATAGAATAGATATTTGAATAAAATACATTACATTTGATATTTCTGAACAGAAACAAGTGTAGCTAATGTCACATTGCAGACAGCTGACACGGTTGTCAAAATTGTAAAAAATTATATGTCAATTCTTAATAGTGGAATGTGTTCCATTATGTGGAATTTGCGCTTTGGATCGTAAATTCACACTGTTCGCAGATTTTTTTATTAAACCTGTTCACCTAGTAGTGACACTTCATAGAAGCTTTGTAGTCTACAACTTTCTGTAACTTGTTCAGATGCTAACCGGTTACACAAAATAATGGAATAAGACTAATTCAATTCGGGTTCAATAAGTTCTTTTTATACGTGTAATATCAATTAATAAATTAAAATAAAATAATTCAAGGACGTATCCATAAGTTCCTTCAGTGGTGTAACAATGAAAATCATTTGCAATAAAGCCAACCCACCTTTAGGTATAATATTTTGATTTCTACAGGTTATTTCACGTTGCATCAGGTTTCATGAAGGTGCTTAAAATAGCCGAATGTATTGTATTTTGCAGGTGGTTTGCTAGCTGTTAATTACTATCGATCTCTTGGAAATACCATCGAAATATCCTGGGGCAATGACTCGACTGTTACTCTGCCAAAATCATCTAAACCTGTGCCATATGGAACAAGCAATGACTTGATAAGAATACTAGAGAATGCCTTCAATAAATCTGCTGGTCTACTCCAGAAAGTGACAATGAATCATTGGCTGTCATTCAGTCTGATTCTAGATGATGAGATCTCTAAATCTGTGGACTATTTAGACAAAACTCTGGGCCCATTGACCTATTTAGTAGGGGAATCATTATCTGTGTCTGATTTGGCAGTATTTAGCATATTATATGGTGAGTGAAACATATATAGTAAATCACAAAACATTTAATTAACTATATTGGGATAATGAGGAAAGATTTGTATACATTATTTATTGTTTATATATAAATTAAACACAAAAAATAGATTAATAATAAAAAAAATCTTTTAACCTGTTTATAGTTCTAATATTATAGAGTCATATATACTATATTTCACAACCATGTCATGGGACATCTAAATATACATAGATTGAAGTTTTGCTTTATATTGTTTATCATTTGAGTTAAGTAATTCAAATTTACCCTTTAATATATAAATGTCTACATTTATATGTGAGGTATTTTAAATTAAATTAAATTTATTTATTACTTATATATTTATGCTAGTTTTGGTGGTCTAGTGGTTTAATACACCACTTTACTATCTGATGATTGCAGGTTCAATTCCTTGCATGGTACAAACATTTATGTTCTTGAGTTTATTGTTTGTATCAGTCTGAGTGTTTTCTATGTATAATATCTATTTATGTGCAAAAAGAAATGTATAATGTCTTCAATCAATTCAATCTTTAATGTATATTGTATTATATCAGTTGGTTAGTACCCATAACACAAGTTCTGCTTACATAGATTGCACTAGGGACTAGATGTCACTGTGTAAATTGTCTTGAGATATTATTATTATATTTATTTTCGATTATGTGAGTTATCTTTATTTACCTTAATCATATTTTACTTTACAGTATCTGCTAAATTTAAAGAACTTAGAAATACAAACCCCCCTAATAATATAATTCGTTGGATGAAATTAATCCAGGCGCAACCACCAATTGCTGAAGCATTAAAGGAGATACCATCTGAAGTTATTGAGAATTTATCTAAAGCTTCAACAAGGTTTGTCTCTATTTTTATTCAGTTGAAAAAATTAAGAATTTTTATTTTTTGTTTTGAAATACACCTTCATAACTCTAGCATTTATATATAGCGACCATGTGAAATATGATGTTTACAATTAAAGTCAGTTTATTATTGAATTAAAGTAGTAGTTTTTTATAGTATGTGGTAATTTATGAATAGTTTTTTTTTTAATAAATTTTACACTTTATGTTTAACCAGTATGCAGTAAGCCATCTAAGATGCTGTTTGTAATGATTTGTAAGTGTTGCCGTGTAATACTATGCAGAGCCAAGTAAAAATTGTATTACATAATATTATTTTAGGAGATCACCATCAGCTAATCCAGAAACTGGTGCTCGACAGGAGGGCAAGTTTGTTGAGCTGCCACATGCTGAGATGGGGAAGGTTGTTGTACGATTCCCACCTGAAGCATCTGGGTGAGCGGCTTTGATATCTTTAGCCAATTAAAAAAGATTTTATGGTATATAAATCACAGACAATGATCTCATTACCATGTCTATTACAACCTAGTTGAGATGTCGAATGAGGTAAATACCTTTATTTACCATAAAATGATTCCTGTTAAGCCTTAGTTAATAAAATTAATCATGCCTACTACATAAATATTTAACAATGCTCCTTTTTTTTTTTCTTTCTTTCTGATGATGCCGTCTTGTGGCAAGTAGAGTTAACTATGCAAATGAAGCTGTGAACGTAGCGTTAATAAATATTATTTCTGTGATAGGTATCTTCACATTGGGCATGCAAAGGCAGCTTTACTGAATCAATATTACCAGCAAGCATTCCAAGGAAAGCTTGTCATGAGATTTGATGACACTAATCCTGCTAAAGAGAATGCTGAATTTGAGAAGGTAAGCTTATTTTATTCATCATAATGTTATAACAATATACTTTCGCAATTGTTAGTCAAGCGGTAGATTAAAAAACATGTAATGACTATTCAAAAGTGCTTCAATATAAGTTTATTTGAATAAATGATTTCCTATTCTATTCTATTCTTGTTATCCTATGTGTGTACTCAATGTAAAATTTAAAGTATTTATTCCGATCTAAACTCATGATCTTTAAGGTGTAAGGGGGGCAACCCACTAAGTCATGACACTATTATAATATAACATGAATCTTATTCCCGTGGTAATCTGTATATCTAATATAAATGTTTAACTGATTCATATACCTGTTTTTGATATTGAAATTTTTTGACTTATTCTTTGGGGCTCTATTCTATATTTGAAAAAGGCAACAAGCGATGGTTACTGCTTAACATCAGGTGCGTCGTCAATTTGTATGCCATCCCAATTACTAAAAAAAATACAATAACTGCTGCAGGTAATTTTAGAAGATGTGGAAATGTTGGAGATCAAGCCAGACTTGTTCACACATACGTCACAATACTTCGACCTTATGCTGCAATACTGCGAGAAGTTGATCAAGGAAGGGAAAGCGTTCGTAGATGACACGCCCGCTGAGCAGATGAAGAATGAGAGAGAACAGAAGATAGACAGCAAAAATAAGAGCAATTGTATGTATAGTTTTTTTGTTACATGATATATTTAGTTAATAATAATGGCATGTATTATATAACCACCACACTGATATACATAACCATATTTAACAACATATTCCATGAAAATTTCAGGCTAATTCATACAGCCATTTTTATGTGAAACTTTTATACATATACAGATAAATGATTCTGTCGTCATCACGTATATACATATGGATTCCTCATTACCTGAATATTATCAAATTCGTTTCGGTACTCTAGTTTTTAAAACTAAATGCATGATGTTTATTAATTTTATCATCAGCTGATCAGCTGGCTAGCACGATGTCTTGTGTTTTCAAAGAGTTCCATTGAACTGTCTACCTTCAGTATTCATAATCGTATGTTGATTGATAATGATGACGAAACCGCAATAAAGCAATTTAACCCACCAACAATTCATTTCGGTTATTTCCGTGATACTAAAGAATTTATTATTAATATTGATAATTGTCAATTACTAGTTGTTCTTTAATTTTATTGTTAATATAATAATCTGTTATAAAGATAAAAGGGCATGCCAAAGCTGTTTACAAAGTGATCCAAACGTAAAATCAAATCTTACTAACTAACTTTATAATGTTTTACACAAGTACATAGTCATAATTTGCAATCAAATCACAGCGCGAGAATTGAACCCGAGACATTATTATATAGCAAGGCCATGTGTCATACAACCAAAGCACACTTATCGCATATTAAATCATAAATATTCGCATTGTGTCTATACATAAATATACAAAAAAAAAACTGGTTATCCACTTTGAATTTATGTTAACGAAGTTAAAAATATATTTTTCTCTTGTATGCAGTTTTTCATTGACAATAAAATGTTGATTTAAATCACCAGCGGTAGCTAAAAACCTGCAATTATGGGAGGAAATGAAGAAAGGCTCCGACATAGGCATACAGTGTTGTGTACGCGCTAAGATCGACATGCAGTCTGCAAATGGCTGCCTGCGAGACCCCACCATCTACAGATGCAAGCCTGAGACGCACCCGCGAACCGGCACACAGTACAAGTATGTATTATATATTATTTTATTTAACTGGAATGACATACAAGGTGGGTCACCTGACAGTAAGTTGCTGACACTGATACTGGTCTGCGCCTCCCAGGGGGTGAAGGTTTGAACCTCGGGGCTCCGATATCAATCCCGGGGTAAGTAGATTAAATAGCTCTCTTCGGGTGGGGTACTTAAAAAGTAACTTAAGCTAGGAAGATAAATTGATAAAAAATAGAAATAATTCTTTTTTTTGAGATTTTATACTTTTTGTTTTTAGGTCTATTTGTTTTTTTATTATTCTTTTTTAGTAAGCGGCAACTATAGCCTATATACACTATATAGGCAGCACTTCTGACATCATGTCGGTGTGTACCCTGTAACACGTTGTTATTCCGAAGGTCTAATATATCACGGTACAATATATTTTTTGTAATAATTTCATATACATACTTAATTACTACTGTTTTGGACATTCTAACTAGTACTATTAACTTGATATATATTTATAATATGTTTATATATTTATAATATATAAATATATATAATGTATATGATTGCATAAATAAATAATTTCACAGCTAAATCTATCCTTTTAAATTTTTCCGAAATAAAGACGTTAAAGAGCTCAGTCGTTATAGTTAGTAGTACATCCTACTAATATTATAAATGTAAAAGTTTGGCAGAATTATTATTCGTTACTTTTTCACCCAATAACTACTGGAACCGAAATGCAAATTGGTACAAAAATAGATTGTAATCTAGATTACATAGTATACTTTTTACCAGAATTCATGAGTTCCAACTGTTGCATAATAAAATTATTGTTTGGTACAGAGTATACCCGACGTACGACTTCGCATGTCCGATCGTAGACTCTGTGGAGGGCGTGACCCATGTTCTTCGCACCATGGAGTACCACGATCGTGATCCGCAGTTCTACTGGTTTATCGACGCGCTCGGATTACGGAAGCCTTACATTTGGGAGTACAGCAGGTATGTTCAAGAAATGTTATATTAAGAATTCTTAAGGGTCGACAACCTGACGACCCTAGTGTTTCAGAGACCCTAGTGTTATATACACATTGTAGCTATAAGTAATAATCCAATTTTTTATGTAACTGAAATGGTAAACACGCTGATGGCCAGCACCACAGATATCATATCATTATATCTGACTTCTACGCCATACGGCGAAAACGAATAACTTCCTGATTAGGTAGAGTGCGGACTAGTTACAACAGTATTCTAAAGAAATGTACTTTTTTATTATACAGTAAGGCATACACTTTCAGGAGAGAGTTGTTGCCCTCTACTGGCCCTTCCTCTGGGTTACCATGGATTCTGTTTATAACTATACCCTCTTTAGAATTCGAATCTTTGAAAACGTTAATTTTTAATTTTTGTTTTCAGATTGAGTATGACAAATACTGTATTATCCAAGAGAAAGTTGACTTGGTTCGTGGAGCAAGGTTTAGTCGATGGGTGGTAAGCGCTATATATATTTATGTTGATTCTAGCATTTAAATTTACTTTGTACCTCTTTTTACGAAAAATATACGAAAGGAGTATGAAATTTTATTATTCCAGTCCACCAACTCAAGTTGCTCAACGCGCTATGGCAAGGCTTTGCTCGGAGTTTCTCTAAGGTATCAAATCCGAAACGATGTAATTCGGCAGAGAACTAAGGTCAGGCTCTTCGTATTTGCAACTTGAAGTGTCACTAGACTGGTCATATCTGCCGCAGAACTGAGACTGCGAATTGGCAACCGTAGTGTAGGATGTTCCATAACTAGATGGAGCGACGCATGTTAAGGTTGCTTATAATAAGTGGTAGAGAAGGGCTGAAGATCGTGCCCAGTGACTTGCATTGGGAGAGGCCTATCTTCATATGCAGTGGACATCACTGGGCTGATGATATATGTGATTGGCATGAACCCTCTAATAACTCCATTTAGGATAATACTCGTTAAGGTGTATATACGTGCCTGATTATTGTGCAGGGACGACCCGCGCATGCCAACCGTGCGCGGTGTATTGCGGCGCGGGATGTCGGTGGAAGCGCTGCGGCAGTTCATCCGCGCGCAGGGCTCCAGCCGCTCCGTCGTCTTCATGGAGTGGGACAAGATCTGGGCCACCAACAAGAAGGTACGACCGAATAGTTCTTGCATCAGTCACACAGGTTGTTCCACCTTTGTGACTGGAGCGAGACCACACCTATTATTAAGAAACTGAATAATTGTGCTATATATACTGAACTGAACTGCACTGTATATGTTTATACAAGTACTGAATATGTTTATATTCACAAGAGGGCCCGCAAAAAGTAAAAAATAATACAATATTTATAAATAGAATGGTGGACTCCCGTTGGTTGCGAGTTCAATTCCTCGCATGATTTATTACACATAATTCAGTCTAATTTTCTGTATTACTAGTTTGATATACTATACTATAGAATTAAGTAGTCATAGATTATAATTTATACAATTCGTTCCCTTACGAGGGAAATCGCTGAATAAAACTAGTAACTAAAATAAATGCTTTTACCATTTTAGGTCATCGATCCCATCGCGCCTCGGTATACTGCCTTAGAGTCGAATCCAGTACCAGTGAATCTAAAAGGCGTATCATCAGACACTAGTCTCACAGTGGCCCTCCATCCTAAGAATCCTGAAGTAGGCTCCAAAAAAATATGGGTCTCGAAACGGCTGCTTATAGACCAAGCGGACGCTAAGACGCTAAAAGAAGGAGAAAACGCAACCTTTATTAATTACGGCAACATATTGATTGATAAAATACACAAGTGAGTGTAAATCTAATAATAATATTTTCTACAATAATTAAGAAATATTTTTTCTTTAGTAAATATGTAGGTGCTGATACTAAGCACAACATTAGGCTTTCGTTTTATCTTATTTTTCTTTTGGCAGAACACCAGATGGAACTGTAACTAGCATTGATGGAACCCCAAATCTCGATAATAAGGATTACAAGAAAACGCTGAAACTAACGTGGTTAGCGGAGACCTCAAATTCACCTACTGTTGAGGTGTACTGCGTTTATTTCGACCATATTATATCGAAGCCTTTACTGGGCAAGGATGAGGATTTCAAGCAGTTTATTGGACATCAGACTAGGGTAAGTTGTTTTGTTGTTTGGGCTATTCCTAGGATTGGTGATCTATTTTTATTAGTGCATGATAATGGAATGTTGCACCCGCCTTCGTTAAAGGTTTACGATGACGGGGCACAGGTCAGTTAGCCCATCGTGAGAAATTCACCAGGAAATTATGATGATTTCCAAGTGAGCCGCGTGGAAGTCAACATGGTAAATTGCTAGTGGTGGGGTACGGTGATCTATTGGGATCGCGATTTTAGAGTTCGCTACCTAAAGTCTTGAGGCATAAAGATATTCTTAAGAGCGATGTTTTACATCCTCGGGTTAGTGTATACTTTCCAAAGGAGTTATTTGCATGAGTATAGCCCACTCATTATGTGTAGTGGCGTTTCTTCTTCAACTTGGCAAAATTTGTAAATGTTTATTAATTATATGTTTAAGTTTTGTGTGTTTATTTAATTTGCAGTGTCCAGTCAAAATACATATATTGTTTTTACTCTATAGGACCAGTCTTAATGTATTGATTAGAGTACCCTGTTCCTAGGGATACAAATTAATAAAATTTAAATGTCTGTTTGTATTTTCAAATTATCAGCTTTTTATTAAATATGAAAGTATATAAAAAACAGTTGATACTGCATTAAAAAAATATTTATGAAATGAAATAATATATTCGTATTATCGAAAATTCAGTGGTTGTTCAAACATTTTTTAGTGGGAAATACCAATGTTGGGTGAGCCGGAACTCCTCAAGTTGAAGGTGGGCGACGTGATACAACTGCAGCGGCGCGGCTTCTTCCGCGTGGACGTGAGCCCCTCCCCCCCGTCGCCACACACCGCCCGCGCGGCCCCGCTCGTGTTGTTCCACATTCCTGATGGACACACCAAGGACATGCCCGGACAGGTTAGTGCATTTTTTGTGTCTACCCTTATATGTCAACACTCGGCACCCTTCCATTTGTTTACGTCTCCACATAACTTAGATTTAAGTGAAGTGTAAAATCCGCCCATGTTACGACACCGCGTAGCGTTATTAATGAGCCATGTTACTTGTCAATGTAGTTACTTGTTATTCCACCGGTATACCTACCTACATTCTGCAGGAAACAAATTAATAAATTAGCGACACCTCATCACATCATACACACTACAGTGGTTATGTGATAATATCACGTTACATATTGATAACACAGGAAATAAGGGAGGGGGGCATTGTTGTTAGTTATTTAGAAGTGGATTTTTCAATATTGAATTAATATTTAAATTTTTTAGTTAATCCAAAATTGTAAATAGTGTGCGATATAAATGACCGTGGTAAACCTCATGCGTTGCCTTTCCTAATGACTAATGTGTCATGGAGGGTATGGAGATGCTATGATTTTATTAAACTGCTACATCTCATCCTTCAAACTAAGACACAGCTTACAAAATAATCTGACTTTGTACAAAGTCTACTTTGGTTGGAATTCTGAAATGCTTTTTGCAGTAACTTCGGATACTTATTATCAGTTTTAATGTCATTTTGCAGCCCTTCAAAAGCCCCTTACTACTGTTACATTGATAGGGAAGTCGAGTCTAATTGAAATCAATTGTCAACATTTGTCTATGATTATTCTGTAAAATTGTAAAACTGACTGTTACATATCTTATATAAGATTCTGACACAGTTATCGGCTTCCCTATGAAGTTCTTAATGTTGCTATTTAAATATATTCTGCGACTGATTTCTACACTGAAGATAATAGTAATGTAAATAAAACAGTCGAAAATAAATTAACTAATTTTATTTTAACATAAAGAGTATTTTTATTTCTATACATAAAAAAACAAGATTGGCTATTTGCCAACAACTAATTATAACGAATTATAATATTTGAAAGTTTTAATACTTATTTATGTCAATCAATATTGTAAATAATAACATTTAAACTATGAAACTTAACACCCTATTAGGAACAATATTTTTAAAATAACAACATAAGCATAATTAAATGTATAGTAATAAAAATGGTAATTCCCAACAAAAATAGTGATACCGACGTAAATTACTAAGAAATAAAAAGGGGTTTGTAGAAATAGACCAACTCAATGGGCATTCTCTTGTAAGGGGTTCATATGTATTTTGTAAACTTCTGAAACAAGTGTTAGTAACATTTGTTCCAGAAGTTTACAGAATAAATTGAGCAATGTTAATTCTTTCTCTTTTTCGTCACAGTGATAGTGAATATTCCCAGTATCTTGTAAGTATGCTTTGTAAATAGAAGATTCTGCAATGCTGCTTTTTATAAATGTAAATATATGCTTTCTCTGAAAACTAAATACACCAAGAAATTGTATGTTTTGTTTATAAATTTTCATTAATATTACATTTAAATTCAGAAATAATTTATCGCGAACACCTAAACTGTGGAACAAGCAAATCAAGGTTTTCTCTACAGACTACAAGTGTGGGGTTTTTGTGTGAAATTACAGGCATAACATAATCCTCTGGAATAGCAACATATGAGTTGTACTATGGGTGTCATGTCATAACTTGATATTCTCTTTATAATATTAAAATAAAATAGGATCGCATTAATATATTAATAAGCTGATTATCACATCCACTTCGGACTTTAATATATTACCTTATCTAATATACATGTGTGCTCTGTAAAACATGTCACTAAAATGGTGATCTTAAAATACTGTATCATAATAATCAATAATGATCTCTCGATTAACATTCGTCGAGATAAAATTTTGTTATTATCTGAATCGAAAATACTCTATATTGAAGTTACATAATTTTAATATTTGTTTGAATGATCTAGATGTTCTGTAGGCTATGATCTTATATCTGAACTTACATTTATTATTGTCGTTAACATTATGCTGTTGGCTCTTGTTTAGCTTTGTTATTTTTTTAATTGTAAACACTGGACGGGATCTGTTTGCTTGTATGTTAATATATTAATTTGTAAATGTACAACATACATTAATATTTCATTTCCTTGTATAACTTGTTACGTATTTAAAATCTAGTTATCCAAATATACCATCAATATTTAGCCTGGAAATTTTCCCATCCGAATTTGTATGGTTTTTAATTTGTTTACATTTTGTATATGTTTTTGCAGATAACATCTCTTTTTCTGGACTATGCATTACTTAACAAATCATTGTCTGTAATACAAGTAGAAATATTTTCTTCTAGGTCTACTTATAATAATGTTGCATTAAGAGTATTAGTTGTGGCTGCAATAGTATTTTTATTATCGATTGTTTCATTTTCATTGACTACTAAATCCATTGCTTTAATTTTTAATGTCACATCTATAAAATCTGTCAGCTTTTTATTTACAATATATATAATTTAGTAAAAGCGACAGGTCGCTTTTACAACAACATTCGCTTCGCTTTTAATACAGGTATTAATATGATTTTGAACGTCGTACTTTACTTCTTTGCTCTTCGATTCATTTTCTAGATCCTGGACCTTGTTCAATAAAATAATGCTTCTAGAATTACAATCATTCCTATGTTCTTCAAAATATCTTCTGTCAGTAATAAGGCTGGTACCTTCTACGGACGTATTTTAGTTGATAATGGTTTCGTTAATCTCAATTTGTGCATAAATAGTATATTATTTCTGTTGGCATTATTTCCGTTTGTTCCGTTACAGTTTATATCTTATTTAAGTTGTCTATGTGCAGTTATGAGCAGATAGCATACTACACATCAATAGTGTCTCGTTTTTAATAGCTATTTCCTTTCTATCTATAATTTCTTCATTGACATTTTTTTTATAATTGGGTTATTTGAATATTTTTCTCTGGATATTAACTCTTCCAAAACTGGTCTGGTTTTTTTCAGTAATATTAACCGTCCGATTCTATATTTGATAATATATACGGTTCCCACTTGTTGTCTACTGTAAGATTTATAAAAATGGCATTGTTTACTTCTACAGTTGTTGCAGTTTTTGCTAATTTCTTATTGTAATTGTGTTGATTCTTATCTAATGTTTATGTCAAACTGTCATCACTTAAATCTATAATCTTGGTTTCTTTTTTCAAACTCATTTCATTAGTAATTCTGCTTCTTTTCTAACATATGGTATTGCCATTATAATAATACTTTTGCATATAATATTAGTATTCTTAGATGTAGAACGCTACTTGTGATCTTTGGTATCATTAACAATTAACATTATATCTTTATATTTTCCGAATTTACGAATTTTTAAATGTTGATCTGAAAAAAAAAATGCAGATTTTAGGCGTTATATTGTCAGATTATTTAAAATTCTCCCTCTTTTAAAGATAGATTTGTCTTAGAATAATAGACACTAGGATATTGTCACCTTCATCTTTTTCTCATAAATACTTAATAGATACCCTATCAATGGGACATAGTAACCAGATACTTCAATGTAACACTTGCATTTAAAGTCTAGTAGTCTAGTCTTGTCTACTAAGAAACTGCAGAAACTGTGTTACCCTTACATTTTACTATTGTTATTTAGTATATGTATAACATCGATATTTTAATGTACAAATGTCGGCTAACTAATGTTACACGATCAACAGTATCTTGTTCAGTTCTTACAAAAATGTTTTTTGTAACTACAATACGAATTTATATTATTTCGTGTCAACTTACCTATTTACAATCTCTATTATATCTTCGCATTGCACGTGAAGTCAAATTAGAACTAATGCTTAGTTTTAATTTTAATCAATCTTGTCTTTAGCATTACTTTGTGTTTTCTGAAATTCATTGTCACAACTATTTAAAGTATCAACAATTTCATCAACATTTATATCGTCTAGAAAGCTGAATTCATCCTTAATTGGTTCAGATTTTCTTTCAATGTCAGTTTCTTCAAGTTCTTTAACCATATCATTCGATGATTTATAGTATATATTTATTACAACATTTATTTTCTTACTTTCATCAGGTCTAAATTCCGGTTCAAAGTCCTTCACTTTTACTGAGACATTAATGTTATTATTGCCTTTTTTATATTTATCATTGTCGACTGTTACTAATAATTTTTCAAATTTATTCATAGATAATCTGTTTTTGCGCATTTCGTACATTTTTTTCCTACAACTTTTAAATATTTCATTTTTCTGATCGTATTTTGTTCTTAAATTGATATTATTATTACTCTTATTTTTCGCATTGTATACCTTAGCAACTTGAATTACACTTTTAGAAGACTTTATTTTAGTTTCATGTGTGTCTTCAATTGGTTTCTTTAAACTTGAAGTTGATCCTTTAAGCTTTGATTTTTGTTTACTATCTCTACATGTTTTATAGTCTTTTAAAACTCTTTCCTCTTTACACTTCGTCATATATTTAACGGATGACTTAACTAATGTGCTATTTTGTTTTATTTTATCTTCAATAATGGTATTCCTTCGACTTTTATTGATTGCTTTATCTTTATTTTTAATTTTTGTTTTGATTTCTGAATTATTTATGTCAGCCCGAGATTTACGGTTTAAGGTTTTATGAAGATTAATTTCACATTTTTTCCCACCATCATATTTTTTTTTTACCGATAATTTCTCTTTATATTTCAGTTCTGAGATCTTATTTTTAGCAACAATATCATTTGTATTTTTGCTTTTATATTTACAATTTTGCGATCCTAATACTTCTTTTCTATTATTTTTTGGTATATACTGTCTTTTTGTTTTAGAATCCTCTGTGTGACTTTTATCTTTATAGCGTATTTGTTTGCCGGTTATTAAACTGTCATTTATAACTGAACTGCAAGTTTTACTTAAAGTATTTTGGTTAGTATCTATATTATCACTTAGGTTCTCTAAATTATTAGTGAACATTTTATTACTTTTATTGAAACAGTTAGAGTAATTATTTATCAAATTATTTCTAATTTTTGGTATAATACATTTTTTATTGGTATTATTATACATTTTTAAATTATTGCAATCTGTAATGACACAAGTTTTATTGCTCGCTAATAAATTTGATTCTGTATGTAAACATTTTTTTACCTTATTTTTATCATTTTGTTGTAGTGTTCCAATTTTTTTATATTTCCGTTCATTGATTTTATTTTCAGCCTTTTTGTCATTTAGGAGTTTAGTAAGCTGTTTTTTATTATCACGTTTATAATTAGGTAAGACTGTTATACGCGCAGCATCATTCTTAATATGATTTTTGGATTTTACTTCTAATTGCCCTGTGGAATTTGATTCTAAGGATGGTATAGATTCCATTACTACAATATTTTTATTTAAATTATGTATTGCTTCTGTGGCATCTTTATTTAAATCCATGTTGTCTGCAGGAAATTGCGCACTTCTATCACAATTTGTTATCACTGTATGGACACCATTTCCCAAATTGTTTTTAATTTTTGGTATAACAAACATTTTTTTAGTGTTCTGACTTTGCAACTTGGTGCCAATACTAGTTTTATTGTATGCATTTGATTTAGGCTCTATTGATGTATGAAAACTTTCTTTATAACTTGTATAAGACTCAACATTACTTTTTGTCTGAAATAAATGTGTAAAATAAAAATGTATTTTCATAGAAGAAACCAGAAAAATGATTTAAAACAATAGTCTATATGCAGCCTAGGATGCAACTATTAAATATTTTCTGTGATATCAATACACAAGATTAATACTAGTAGGAAATAGCTATTATTATCGACATTAAAAAACGAATCCAATATTTTTAAATTAATGATTTCATTATAATAAATCAGTAGCTGGTCATAACATGTACAAATGTCTCATATAGGTAGATATCTAATTACACTGACTAAGTGAATTTCTGTTTACAATGTGAGTGTGAGTTGCAAAAGTATATTGCAAATAAATTGGACAAATGTATTGTAAGCATTCCATGTAATCATCATTATGTATGTGTATATATTAATATTTATCAAAGTCTTTGTATTCAGTAATACAAAGAATGATCTTTGGGATTTTCATATCTGTTTGGCTGTGTGTTTGTGCATGCTAATCTTAATAAGGGCTTAACTGGCTGATTTAGCTGCAGTTTTCACAAATGTGTCATGATAAAAGCTTATCAGAATAATCTTAGTTCAAAAAAATATTTGTACATTACTATTTTTTATTTTACCATATTGAACAAGACTGGAAAAGGAACTTAATGTTGGTCTTTTAAAAAATAGTTGTTTCAACATATTTTTTTTACTTTGTGTATCTGTGAAATTAAGTTCACAATGTTTGTGTTTGTTTTAAAACAATTTACAAATAAAAAAAACTATTCTTATTTTAAATATCTATGGTTTTGTGCCCTAAAAATTCATGGGCTCTCAGCTATTACTTACAAAATAATAAAGAAGCAATATGTGTAGATTACATTACATTGTAGTCAAAAGAACAATTTGTATACTTCTTTATTACTAGGGTAAAAAACAGTATTAGGCTGTATATTGATTTATAAATTAGTTATTAAAGTTTATAAAATTATTTTACATTAATAGTAATTGTTTATACTCAGTCTAAGTGTCTACTTAATAATGCAGCAATTCTCACTTAAATAATGCTAAATTATAAAAATATGAATGATGCTTCCTCAAACAATATTTTTTATTATCAATTAAGTATATATTTTTTATATATAATATAGTAAGGAGAAATAATTATTGATTCATAATTTATAATTAGTTTGTGGGTTACTATAAAATAATATTCTTTAATATATAAAATAATATTTATAATATTCTATAAATGATTAAAAATTTAATGAAGATCTGAACATATCATAGTAATAATAATAATAATGAGTAGGTACTTACACAACTGTAGTAATAATATATAACTATATAATAATGAAATAACACAATTCAGTCAAGTTATTTGATAACTAGATATATGAAATATAATTTACTTACTTTTGTAACAATCTGAGTTTCCCCAATGCTCTGCATATAATTTTTTGCCCTAGTTGTACCAGCCCTACTTGCTCTATTAATTTCCATCACACTCAGAGATGTACCTATATTTTCGCCAACTGTACCTGACAGTTTGGTAACATGTTCCCTTAGGACAGTTTGGTTTGCGGCCATTTCTTTTACTGCAACCCCAGGATCTTCGTCTTCTTTATGCTTATTAACAGGAGGCCCACCGCAAAACGATATAGTTGGCACAATAACAATATTTGGGCTTTTATACGTCGAAAAATAATGGTTAGACATCCTGTAACAACAATAATAATAATAAAGATATTTTTTCAACATTACGTCAGTAATTTATTTAAACAAATACATATATTAAAAGAGCTTAATTAGTATGTGTGCGTACCTGCTTTTGTCAGCTACTTTATTAAAAATATAAATATGCTATCCGCTCGAATGCCGACTTGGCGAATACGTGAACAATACTTAGAATTGCTTAATCTACAAAAATAAATGCATACCTATTAATGGATACAATGCAAAAGGCATTTTTACAAATATTTTTATCGGTACCTAAAGTTTACGAAGTCGTTTCGTTAATGAGAAGAATATATAATAGATAAATAAAAATCGTTACAAAGAGATTAACGACTCATGGAAAATTAAGTAATGAAATGAATGACTGACATAATATGATCTAAAATTTCTACCGTAATAATACGTAATGATTGACATACTCGTACTATGTTTGACATATAGTCGAAGTGTTTCTTTTGTCTTACTTTTTTACGGTCCGTAAGAAAAAGGTAACCTGCGTATTTATTATTTATTTTTTACTTTATTGCACAGTAAAAAGTGTACAAAAGGCGAGCCTAATGCTATATGCCATTCTCTATCAGCTGACCTTTAGGTAGAAATAGAAAGCGCTGTTGGGCTGTCGAATAAACTGAAAAATAAATATATGCATTAATGCAAATGCATAAATTACACGGAAATAAATATAACTTTAATTATCTTCCCATCTTTCAAATTTTAAATTGTCCCTACTGGGTTAATACAGTTATAATTTCAAAATTAAAAAAATATTAGTTTATTGCATAATAATAATCTCAGGACAATTCACACAATTTCGTAAATACATACATATTATACATAGAAACACCCATACCGATACAAACAATCATACTCATGAATACAAATGTTTGTGCTGTACGAGGAATCAAACCCGCGACCATCGAAAGTAAGGCGGTGTGCTAACAAAAAAATTTTCTAATCTTCAAATGATATAATAATCCATAACTATCTTTCATATTATGCACTTATGCATCAGTATCATAATTACATATTATAAAACAAAGTCGCTGCCTGTCCGTCCCTATGTATGGTTAAAACTACGCAGCGGATTTTGAAGAGTGATTCAAAAGGAAGGTTTATAATTTTATATTTATATTACATGTACACGAGGGCGAAGCCGGGGAGAGTAGCTAGTTCGGCTATAATTCTTAAACAAGACCCTACTACGGAGAAATTTGAGTAGATACAAGCGTATAATTACTTATGAAAATATAATTATTCCGATCTGCAGATAGTGGAGCTCAAGCTAAGTTGTACTTTATTGTGTTTCGTCAAGCGTTACTCTTTACTTTAAGTGCCTTTTAGAATTACTTATATACTAATTCACACTTTTATATATGTATGTCTCTTACTGTTTTAACACTAAACGGCCGAAAGGATCTGAATCAAATTGACGTGAATATAGATTGTATAACAAGGCAATAAATTATATTATTTAAAAAAAAGCAGACAGTCGCGGGCAACACTATTATTTAATTATAAATGTTAGTGCCTTTGTCACGCTAATACGTCAATATTTTTTGGTATAGGGATTTACAGGTCCTGTCTAGGAAATGATTATAGACTATTTTTTTTTCGAGGTTTATAGGGGACGGGGTGAAAAGAGGGCAATGAATGGGTGTCGCCGTCATTCGATTAACTTCCAACTACAGAATTATAATAATCTTATTAATACCATAAACGCGGAAGTTTGTGAGTGTGGATGGATGGAAGAATGGATGTTTGTTACTCTTGTACGCTAAAATTACTATATATATATAATATATAAATTATGCGGGTGAAAACACGAGCACAGTTAAGAAATAGTAAAAATTGCATCGGTAACTATTTCCTATTTGAACTTTACTTGGAGGGGGGAGGGGGGTGCTATGAAGTTGTAATTATAATATGGAAGTTGATTATTGATTATAGTTTGTGCTATCAAAAATAAGTACCTAAATATTTACAATTAAATTAAAAAACACTTAAATCAATATCTCTTTTTATTGTAATAGGTATATTATTTAATATCAACGGTACTTAAAAAGTACATTATAACTTAATGAAACAAAAAACGTAACTTGAGTTACATAGCTACAGAATATTCAAATGTAGATAAGTAATATAAGTAAAACAGTGATTATTATATATAATCTTGGCTCTTATGTTCAATATTCCAATATCTGTTTAGTAAATTTGACAATATACAAAAATATAGGTATGGATAATCTTCTTAAGATATGTACCATCTTATATATCTTATATTTGGTGAATATGCAAGATTTTTCTCTAGATATTCCTTCTTAATTCAATCTGTAAGTTCTGGTATTAATATTGCTTTTCATCTGTTGGAAATACTTTAAATTTAAAGATTTTAAATATTTCACATCTGATTTCAGTTATAGTATTATATTACTTTCTTCTACTACTATGATTAATTTGTTAGATGGATCTGTGGAGATATCTTTATCCACATTAACATTTTGTTTTTCCATTAACTCTAACATATGTTTAGGCGTACTAGTGTTCAATGGCTTGCCATATAGGTGTTGTGGATCTTTTTCATTGTTTGTCTATAAAAATAAAAAAAAATAGTTATAATGCTGCTATGAAATATATTATAATAGAAACACATTCCCAATCCTAGTGTATTTCAAGAAAGTTTAATTAACTAATAAAGTTTCTCATGGCATGTAATAATAGACAAAAAGTCAAGGACAGTTTTTGCTGTGTGTTGATTCTTTCTGAAAGATCTATCTCTTCAGAAATGATTAGCACATTAATAGATTACTACATAGTCTTCTGAATTACTGAAATGACAAACAATAAATTAGAGACTTATTTCATATAGTAACTATACCACTGGTGTACAATAATATTTTATTAAATATATAAATAATTTATATTAAAAGTCTTACAAGTTCAGATTTCTCAATCAGAACATCAATTTTGTTATCTGAATCATCATTAAAATTTTCTGAACTTATATCTTCATATATGTTGTCCTTTGGTGACAAAAGTATACAATCATTTTGTAGAGGAGAAGAAGATATATTTGATAAATCATTAGATACATTCTTTGTTTGTTCTTTAACCTGAAAAATAAGTATGTAATTAAATGACTTAAATTTAACCATATGGTATAGAATTAATGGTAGACTTTTGTATGTAGTAGCTACTATAACAAATGTAATGAACACACTGCAGACAAAATGGGTACTGAAGTCATTTGCGGACATTAGACATATCTGTTCATAGTTAAAGCATAGATTAAACATATTCCTTAAATTACTATAAAATATGTATATAGTAATATATTATTATACTTATATAAGAAAATACTATACATATGATAAGTACTTACATGTTATACTAAACAAAAATGAATGTTTTTTTATTATAATATATACCTATATAAATTATTAATGTTATAAAAGCATACCAATATTATTTATACTAACTTTTTTAATAACTTTAGTTTTATTACTATTAATCTTTGCTTTTATAGTGGATTTACAACTTGGTCTCAAACAATTTGGTACCACTCTATTTACACAAAATTCTCTATTTTCAATTGGGTAATTTGCCTTGCAGTTTTTGCAATACTTCTTCTTTACTTCTGTTATTGTCTTCTCAGTTACACTAGCTTTAACATTTAATATACATCCATACTTCTGTTTCTTTATCTCAACATTTTGTGAAATGACCAAAGTATTAATTTTATTATGTATGTTCCAAGATACATGTCTCTTCGGTTTTTCTTTTTTTGCAATTGAGACCTTGATTGGCTTTGGCATCTCATCACAACCAATAATTATGACATCATTTGTCGGGCTTTCACATGTAATTGATTCCATCTTATGACTAAGTATCAAATTTTATAAGTAAGATATGATACTTGTTATATAAAACGGTATTTAACAAATTATAAATACATTTTAATACTAAAATTACCTAACTTAAGCATATAAAACAGGTACTTGTTGTATCTTTCTTTAGTCAAATTATCTATAATTGGAATTTATATATATTGTTTTCGAGTAATACTTTATTTTCCTACCGTCCTGGTACACCGATATTTGTTTACAGACTGCTTGATTTCAAAATAATGTAAAACCAGAAAAAAATATAATACTTATTTCTTTAGACGCTCGGTCACACAAGCGCCGAAAATTTGAAGGTATTCATTCACAAGAAATTTATAAAATATATCACAGTTTTTTAAGTTCGTTAACATGGTTTTACGATGTTTAATAATTTTAGCAACACAATGCTAAAATACTTATTATAATTAGTCAATTTTCTATTTAAGGTATAGCCTCTAGTTACACAATAAAAATTATTAAAAAATGCACCGAATTCTTTACTTATTTGTTTGATTCTTGAACTAACTTTTATTTAAAGTTTTGATTAAACATTTATTGTGAGATGGTAATATAAATAGACGAAAATATTGCCATCTCAAAGTAATAAATTATAACTTTATTTTTTATATAAATCTAAGTAACTGACACTGACACTTTTATTATAATGTTCCGTTCCTTCAAAACAATGTAGGTAGGTATGTACATTCGTATAATTATACGATTCTCAGTAGGGAATAAGTATTTTTAACAAATTCAGCAGTATGATTCCATGATGTGAACTTACAACAATCTTATGTTGCTACTAATAATAATAAGTAGGTACCGTAACATAGTAATTTTTAAGAAATTGTTATGTCAAAAATGTAATATAGGTACAAGAAAATAGGATTATACGACGCCATATTAAAGCCCATAATTACCTATTTTGTTATAAATCTACTGTTAGCGCCATAAAGCGCTCATTTAATTTTATACGTTCACATACCCATATATCTATCCCATTTCGTCTTGGGCGTTGACTGTATTGTTATCACGGTCGCACTGCATTTACACAACTTAAAACTATTTAATATTCTTTTATTTATGATTTATAGTAAGAAAATGCCTGATATCTATTGCATGTAGGTACCAATATTACATTTTATCTAACAAATATTATAAACGCCCATGTTTGTGAGTATGGATGGATGGATGTTTATTAATTACACTTTCTCGCAAAAACTACTGAACAGACTTTGATGAACCATTACAGTAACATAGCTTATACATCAGAATAACACATAGGCTATAATTTAAAAAGATATTATGGAAATTGGGCGTAACATGATAAATGTCAGTAAGTGTGATGCAGACGAAGTTGCGCGGATCAGCTAGTATAGTTTATTATTATTGCAGTATTATTATTTGTGTTGGGACTTATGTATGTATTTACAATATTTAGTAATATATGGTATCTATTGTATATTCCTATTTCAGTTTTTACGAATAAAAAAAAATGTTTTTATTTATTGTTTGGGACTACGGACAATCCGAGTCAAAATTTTCTAATTTATTAGGCATTTTATATTGTACATTACCTGAACTAAATATCAATTAAGTTTAATGCTGCTGTAAAATGTGTAAGTATCAAATTATTATTAGGTAGGTAATTTAATACGAGCGAAGTCATTTGTATTATATTTTTTATTACGATGTCTTCATCATGTACCTATGTAAAAATTGACACTCAAATTTTCGATGTTGGCCAAATTCGAATTCACAAAGATTAGGCATGTAATACCTAATGCCTACTATAAGACAAGTCGGTCCCGGGCACTCTTATTGATGAGTTACTTCGTAATTATTTAAATGATTACTAAGTGATTAAAATGATTTTAACTTATATTTAATTTATTAAAAAATACTACATTTTACATTACTACCTATAAATAAAAAACGAGTGACAACGTTCGATGCTAGAATGAATGCACCTACGTCAGAATAAAAATGCTTAATGGCATTATGACATTTCGGCCTCGTTCATTCCTCGGCGCGTGTTAGTTTTGCTCTTCAGCACTTTTCTATAGGGCTGTGCACTATAGAAAAGTGCTGCATATGTCACTAATATTATAAATGCGAATATTTGTGAGTAGGTATGGATTGATGTTTGTTACTCTTTCACGCAAAAACTACTCAAGGGCAAGTATTACGTAAGCACTATAGGGGGCGGGGGTCTTTTCTTTGCTTATTTTGGATGACATGGGGGTGGGGGAGTCTGTATGATGATTACGTCATCGGTCGTAATTTACTTTTTTACACGAATGGCAACCCTCACATTGTCTTTGCTAAAAAAACAATACATTAATTAAGAAATGTTTACGTAAGCATGGGTGGAGGGGGTAAGAGCTACTTTTGCTGACAAGGGGGATGGGGGTAAATAATTGTGATAAATCGCAAAAACTACTCAACCGATTTTGATGAAACTTTACAGTAACATAGCTTATACATCAGAATAACACATAGGCTATAATTTGACAAGATATTATGTAAATTAGACGATATATAATTATAAGTGTAATGTAGACGAAGTCGCGTGGGTCAGCTAGTGTAACATATGTTCTATGTTTCATTATTTTAAAAGACTATTACTTGCAGCCTAAACAAGCACAAACTGCTCAATCGAAACAATCTACGTCGGCGGTTTCTGACGTCGCCCAACTCAACGAAGATATCACGAAGCAGGGAGACTTGGTTCGATCCCTCAAGGCCGCCAAGGCTGAAAAGACCAAAGTTGACGAAGCTGTCAAGGCGTTGTTGAATCTGAAAGCCAAGTACAAGGCAGCCACTGGCCAGGTTTGTAATTAAACGTGCTGCAAAGTGTGTAGCATTTTATGCATTATCATATGGTCCGCGCCGCATCTGCGAAGTGTGCAGCATGCAAGCTCCATGACAATAGGGGCGGCAGATGAAATTCAAGCTGCAATTGTTACAAAACAATTCGCTATAGTCGAGTAGTTTAATGTATCAGTGTGATGGTGTCATCATGCCTATTGTACATATTAAAGTAAAATTTTAAATATAATAGTCTGAATGTCTCTAAAAAAGAGGAGTTATCCTGCCAATGAGTTAACATGAACTCACTTAGGAGAGGAGAGGCGAGTTTATAGTAGTGACGAGTAGTGGTATCTTCTTTATACTTCAATTCTTATTTTTATATTAGTATTCCACATTTTATTATTTAATGTTATTTAAATTGTAAAGACGGTTACGGACCAACTGATGGTAAGTGGTAACGGTCGCCTATATACATAAACAGCAACACGGACGTCATGTTAACATGTGACATCCGTGAGACCATATCATTCGTTGCCAATTGCTATTCCAGATTGAAATAACATGCTTCTCTACCTGTAATTTCACTGTTTACATTTTAAACAGAGCTTACAAAACAAACTGCAATCTTGCCTATTTCAGCCATCAAAAAGGCGAGATTGAATTACCCACACATCTGCGTGTTTTGTTTACAATTTATCTATGCTAATATGGTTTCTTATGATCACGTGTCTAAACTATAGGAATGGAAACCGGGAGTTTCTCCAGCTCCCACCAGCACGCCGGCCGCCGAAAATGCCGCGAGTTTAGATCAAGCGATCACGAAACAGGGTGATCTCGTACGCTCACTTAAAAGTGCGAAGGCCGAAAAGGGCAAAATCGATGAAGCTGTAAAGGCTTTATTGGATCTTAAATCGAAGTATAAGGCGGCTACAGGACAGGTTAGTTAGAAATCTATGGAAATACAGATTATAATTCTATAAATAATAACAGTTATAATTCTAAAAACTGTATATTTGATTGCTATAGCATATTTGTGTAAGTAGGTACAAGACGTAGTAATATTTTCTTTGAAAAAATATGTAATGTACAGATATGGGTCGTTGTGCTAAACTGTTAGACCTCGTAGGCTCTCCATTATCATTAATTAAAAGAAATGATTCAACATTCAATTATATAATATTGTTTCTTATTACCTTGTAACTGAACTACAGGATTGGAAGCCGGGAGTGTCTCCAGCACCCACCAGTGCACCGGCAGCAACAGACGCCGCGAGTATAGACCAAGCGATCACGAAACAAGGCGACCTCGTGCGATCACTCAAAAGTGCTAAGGCCGAAAAGGCCAAGATCGACGAAGCCGTAAAGGCTTTATTGGACCTAAAATCGAAGTATAAAGCCGCCACAGGACAGGTTAGTTAGATCTCTGTAAATACAGATTATAATTCCATAAATAATAACAGTTATAAGTCTAAAAATTATATATTTGATATCTATAGTATATATACACACATATATATATATATATATATATATACTATAGAGATCAAATATATAGTAGTAGGTGCAAGGCGTACTATGTTCGTATATAATATGTTCTTTGAAAAAATATGTACAGACATGGGTCGATTACGATTTAATTATATTGTTTGTAATTCTACATAATATAGTACTATATGTTTTTATTCTTAGAATATATTATAGAACAGTGGATTTTTTTATATAATTACGACACTAGTGTTCGTCGGATAGTCGAAATTCGACCATAATTCATTTAAAATATAAGTTATTTAGTTTCTATTGTCAAAAACGATATTCTTATATTTTTGTGTGTCAAATACATGGTAGTCTGTATATATTTTTTTACTGAATTAATTGTATTTTTAAAAATATATTAGCATTCTTCACTCCTCCTATAAAGGTTATATAAACTTCACACTCCTCCGTCCGCACAATTTTCTTAAAAAAGGGGTTACAATGTTTTTGTGTCATATATTAGTATAATAATTTTAAATTCAGGACTGGAAGCCGGGAGTTTCTCCAGCACCCACCAGTGCACCGGCAGCAACAGACGACGCGAGTTTAGATCAAGCGATCACGAAACAAGGCGATCTAGTGCGATCACTCAAAAGTGCTAAGGCGGAAAAGGCCAAGATCGACGAAGCCGTCAAGGCGTTATTGGACCTAACATATATAAGAATAAGGAAGTATAAGGCCGCCACTGGACAGGTCAGTTAGAAATCTATACTTACCATCTTAATCTTCAAAAAAGCTTAAATGACCTGTTACAACATCTTTTATAAAACCTATTTACATTAAAAATATTTACACAGGAATGGAAGCCAAATAATGCAACACCTGCGCAGAAAACGAACGATGGTGAAGTGGCCGGTGTGCTCTCACAAATATCAGCGCAAGGTGATAAGGTGCGCAAGTTGAAGACTGAGAAGGCAGACAAGGCTGCGGTCGACGCTGAGGTTAGTAGTGTGGATTGCGGAAAGAGCCATTTTTTTACTCACGTCGATGCTAAGGTCAGTAGCGTAGATTGCGGACAGTGTCATTTTTTACACATGTCGACGCTGAGGTTAGTAGCATAGACTGTCGACACTGTTATTTTTTACACTCGTCGACGCTGAGGTCTGTAGCGTAGATTGCGGACAGTGGTATTTCTTTTACACACGTCGATGCTGAGATCAGTAGCGTAGATTGCGGACAGTGGTATATTTATAAACACGTCGACGCTGGGATCAGTAACGTAGATTGCGGACAGTGGTATTTTTACACACACACGTCGAGGCTGAGGTCAATAACGTAGATTGCGGACAATGGTATATTTTTACACTCGTCGACGCTGAGGTCAGCATCGTTGATTGCGGATAGTGGTATTTATTTACACACGTCGACGCTGAGGTCAGTAGCGTAGTTAGCGGACAGTGGTATATTTATAAACACGTCAACGTTGACCTCAGTAAGGTAGATAGCGCAGGGTGTTATTTTTTTTACAGACATCGACGCTGAAAATTACAAATACAGCAATGTTTGATTGCTTCGGTACACTGTATATCGAAGTATAGATACATGAACATCACTATGACATTAGTCTAATCTAGTCTAGTCATTACTATAATAATATTTAGGACTAGTGTTTGGTCGAAATATGTAGGCGAGTCAGCTAGTAAATGATTCATGAACTAGTTCAGTTTACGATTGGCTAACCTATGTATGTTTTACTACCACAATTTAATATATTTTCAGGTGAAAACGCTACTGAGTCTGAAAGCACGCTACAAGACACTAACCGGTACAGACTGGACACCAAACGCTACTGCATCAGATAATAAACAGGTTTGTTACATGTCTATATTAATGTTATCGAAAGGAAAGATTTTATTTAGACCACAACGCGGTCACACCTGGAAACTATTTTTGGCTAGATTAAGAACATTGTTTTCTTTATTTAGTCAATATATATATATATATATTTCAGCTTGCGATGATCGCGAGTTCGATATCCTCGCACAAACATTTGATTCATAAATATGACCGTTTGTATTCATGAGTTATCATCATTGCTTTTATTTGGAATAGTTATTAAAATTTTATTGTTTGAAGTAATTCATACCGTTTGCTCGACTACCATACGATCACTCTTCTTGTATATCTTAAAACCATTTTACTGCCTCGATGGTTTAGCGACTTAGCACACCGCCTTACTTCCGATAGTCGGGTTTGATGCCTCGCACAGTATCAGTACTACTCATACTGTGCGAGTGAGTAGTATTCATAAGTAAAATTGTTTTTATTGGTTTGGGTGTTTCTTTCGTATAAAAATGTATTTAAGTATTTATATCAGTTAGACAACTAGGACTGGGAAATTTATAGCCTATGTTTTATTTTGAAGTTATCCAGTAAAGTTTCATCAAAATCCGTCCTGTAGTTTTGGCGTGACAGTAAGAAACATCCATCTATCTATCCATCCATACTCACAGACCTTCGCGTTTATAATATTACTAATATTATTGTTATCATTGTTTACAAGTATCATCTGCTTTTTCCTTATCCCATTTATTTAGAGTCGGCGTAAAATATAAACATATTACGCCGACTCTAAATAAATGTGATTAATCAGAGTATAATAATGGGACTAATCAGAGTTCTACAGTGTAATAAATGTTTACAGGCGACCATAGACGCGGAAGTTAAGAAACTTCTAGATCTCAAAGCGAGCTACCAAGCAGTAACGGGTACTGCGTACGCACCACCCGCCCAAGCCCGCGAAACTAAACCGAAAGAGAAGCCTAAGACGCCTAAAGTAGAGAAACCAAAGGAAAAGGTCTGTTTTATTTTATCTCATTTTATTTTATTACTTTACTTGAATTTGTTATACCAATAAGTCCGGAAGTAACAACTGCCGTCTATATACATAAACTATACAAATATATTAAAATATGAAATCAAAAAAAGATAGTATTATGTAGTACTGATATTTATTTTTCATATGTGACTTCGTTTGCACATACTTTTATCATTTCTACTTCTTATTTCAACCAGATTTTTCAGTGTAATATCATTAAGATTTGTTCAGCCGTTTCGTCGTGAAAACGTTTGTTACCTTGTTATGTTATAGGTATACCTATAACATACACATTTTATCTAAAGTATTTTATATACAGTCACCTAAACCGGCTAAAGAAGAGTCGTCATCTGGTGTGAAGAAGGTCACCAGGTTGGGTCTGGAAGCCAGTAAGGACACCAATCTACCCGAATGGTACTCCCAAGTCATTACTAAATGTAAGTGTATTTTGTTCATTTCAGATTTATGTTGTCCTTAAAGACTTAACCCTACATTACGTCACTCGAATGTCATGAATTTAATAATATTTATTGTAATTAATGTTTCAACTCCTCCCCACGTCCTGTGACAAAGTGGTCAGATTTATGATACTAACTCCGTGATTTCTGTGACGTCCAAAATTTTGCAATTTTACACCAGTATATAGCAACTTTACTTTGTCAACAAAACAATTTAAAGCTTTTGTTTATGCAGATGAAGTTAGATAAATTTTTAAGTTATTATACTACTATTTTACGTCACGTTAAATTTCGTGACGTTTCAATGAAACTGAAACAAAAAAAACAAACAGGTATTTAAAAGCAAAATCAAATGTACTAACTATACCTTATAATGGGAACTAGCGTCCCTATTGCTATAGCAAAACAGGCATAGCATATATCCTATTAAGTCTATCTCCACGCGATCTACTCTGAAAATCATCGTCATTAAAACTACTTGCCTATGCTATGATTACTATACATCTTCTGTGTTTTTTTTGTAAATATATTCATATTAGAAAATGTAAACCTATTCCGGTGTACATCCGTACACTTATATATTTTTTTATACATAAGTGTACATATTTTTCAAAAGTTTTTTTTTTGTTAATTTCCACTCATGTGCCGCCTAATTTATTTTTAATAATATTCTCTTTCCTACGGTTGTCTGGAAAAGATTGCGTTAGCGTTAAGACCGCCTTTTGTATATTTTTCTTCCTTTATTCTTAATACTTTTAAAGCATTATGAATAAAAAATTAAAATATATTTATTTATAATTTCTATTATTACAGCGGAGATGATCGACTACTATGATATATCCGGTTGCTATATCCTGCGCCCCTGGTCGTACAGCATATGGGAGGTGATTCGGAACTTCCTCAGCGCTGAATTCAAGAAACTCGGCGTCAAGGACGGATACTTTCCCATATTCGTGTCCAAAGTAAATTTAATTTAAACATTTTACTATTTCATTATTATTTCTCCAAATAATTTTATTAACTGATAAGATATTCTACGTCAAACAAGTTAATGTTTCCATAACATATTTCACAATGAAAAATAAATTATATAACTTATTTTCAGAATATAGTTATTATATATATAGGTTTTAACAATAGTAATTATTATATTCAGTAAGCAGTACACTTACTCAGCCTTTTTTTACTTGGCGAAAATTCTCCTCGAGGGCCACACCGGAGAGGTAAACGGGTATTAGCCCTATTCTTACTGGCTAAAAACCCCAATATATCAACCCCCAGATTTTCATCTAAATTTTCACCCTTCTACAACAACATAATACAACAACTTTTGCGGTGTTAGCTAGTTTCACATAAAAAATAATTTTGAACAGGCGGCGTTGGAACGCGAGAAGACGCACATAGCGGACTTCGCGCCGGAGGTGGCGTGGGTGACGCACTCGGGCTCCTCGGAGCTGGCCGAGCACATCGCCGTGCGGCCCACCTCCGAGACAGTCATGTACCCCGCGTACGCGCGCTGGATACAGAGCCATCGCGACCTGCCGCTCAAGCTCAACCAGTGGAACAACGTTGTTGTGAGTATTACACACACGACACCGTCCTCGTCGGCGAAGACGATGACGTCAACCACACCATACAGCACTATAAACTCGGCGCCTGCGCGCGCCCACATTTATTAGATACTGTTGTTTAATTAATAAATTTCATTTCGCAGAGATGGGAGTTTAAGCAGCCTCAACCGTTCCTCCGTACGCGAGAGTTCCTCTGGCAGGAGGGGCACACAGCATTCCGTACCAAAGAGGAGGCAGCTGAGGAAGTCCTACTCATACTTGGTAAGAATTGGATAAAAAATGTATTAAATAAATAAAAAAAATAAAAATGAAAAAAAATCTAACTAAGTTACAACAATTATTTAAGAGAGTAAGACGCAAGTTTCTTGCTCGTTCTTCTTATGATGAGAAAGCATTCCGAATGAGCGGTATATTGGCAAAAATATGTATGACTATTCAGAAGTGCTTAAATTTATGTTAATTGGAGTAAAGAATTATATATTCTATTCTGTTCTGCTCAGTTCTATTATTTACTCTTATTGTTAAGATCTCTACGCTCGGGTCTACGAGGAGCTACTCGCTATCCCGGTAGTGAAAGGCCGTAAGACAGAAAAGGAGAAGTTTGCTGGTGGTGACTACACCACCACAGTGGAAGCATATATACCGGCCAGCGGCAGAGCTATACAGGTACATACTAATTTTTACCTGCGTTTTTGAAAAGAATTTATCTATCTATTCACAAAACACTTAAGATTAAAAATATGATATATAAAAACAGAATTTGTATATACAGGGTGCGACTAGTCACCACTTGGGGCAAAACTTCTCGAAGATGTTCGAGATTGTATACGACGACCCCGAGACGCAGGAGAAAGCGTACGTGTATCAAAACTCTTGGGGTCTCACTACCAGAACAATAGGTATGTTGACATTTTTGGACGCCCCATTCGTATAACAAGGTCAATAACAAGGATAATGAGATCTATTCTGTGTGTGATAGAGTTTTAAACACATTACTTTTGCCAGCAACACACCGTAATTCCCCAGGAGTTGTATGGGTGCTGATATCACGATGATAGAATTTGCCAGTAAGGTATATTTAACTGGTGATGCTTGGGTGATGATATTATAATCAGATCAGCCAAACTCTTGTTTTCCCCTAGACTTTAAAAATAAAATGGAGGAGTTAAGTCTTAGTCGCATGAGGGGTGGTGCATCACGGATGTATGAGGGTTATAACGGTAGTGTTAATTATTTTAACAAGCATAAGTGGTAAGAAATAATAATTATTAAATTATTTTATTTGTGACTATTTCTACCAGGTGTGCTGGTGTTGGTGCACGGCGACGACCGAGGTCTAGTACTACCTCCTCGCGTAGCAGAAATACAAATCATAGTGGTACCATGCGGTATCACCGCGTCCAGTACCCAAGAAGAAAGAAAGAAGCTCATAGACTCATGCAAAGAGTTAGTAACCGAATTTGTATCTGCTGGCATTCGAGCGGAGGGCGATTATAGAGACAACTATTCGCCAGGTTGGAAGTTCAACCATTGGGAGCTGAAGGTAATTTTTATAAATATATATTTTGATATATGATGTAAAGGGAAGGGACGCCCTAAGAAAAGATGGATAGATTGTGTGAAAGATGATATGAATAAAAGAAGAGTATGTTTAGATATGACGACCGATAGAGAGCAGTGGAAGAGAATGACATACTGCGCCGACCCCAAATAATGGGATAAAGGCAAGGCAATGATGATGATATATTTTGATATGCATTTAGAAGTATGTAGCCATACAGTCAGTCGACAGTCAGGTCGTAGTTAATCAGGTCAATTAGTCCATCGTGGCGTATTCACCAGTAATTTATCACGCTGGTTTCCAGGCGGAACCGCGTGGAGGTCATACTGACTTGTTCCTTACATTGCGGGTAATGGAGTAATTAGTCCACATTACTAACAAGCCCCTTCTCCCCATCCTGTACCACAGGGTGTGCCGGTACGCGTGGAGCTGGGTCCTAAGGATCTGGCGCGCGGAGAACTGGTAGCGGTGCGGCGTCTTACAGGAGAGAAGATCACCATGAAGCGTGCTACCGCGGCGTCAGACCTCGTGGCGATTTTGGATAAAACCCACCAAGAAATGTTCACCAGGTAAGTAGCATAAACCTATCTCGACTTCGCATACAACATATAATGAATGACCCGCAAACCAGCGACAGGTCAATGTGACCAATTTTCTCCTGCTTGAAAACATTTAAAAATGTGGAGGTAGTTTTATTATGACGTCTAGTGAACGTCTGTTGAGGTTCCGAAAGGAGGGTCCTGCTCCTTCCTGCTGCTCCTGCTACACAAATTTTAATTTATATACATATTAGTTCTTATTTAAGAAATTTATTTTAATGGGTCTACTGCTCACTACATGAAGCTGTACAAAATCATATGAAGAATAACTTCAAAGCGTTATTTAATTCATTAATACCTCCAGTCTAGATTTGCCATTTAGTTTATTAATACCTCCACTACTAACTCTAGTTTAGGACGAGATGGCGCTGTGTGAGATGTCCAGTTAATTACTTATATTGCCATCGTCATATTAATCAAATAAACATCACCATTTTATAATGGATTTTATTTTATTTCATCACAGAGCATTGAACGATCGCAACGCACGACTGTCACTAGTGAATAAATGGGAGGATTTTACCACAGCCCTGGACAGCAAACATATACTGTTGGCTCCGTTCTGTGGTATTATATCCTGTGAGGACAAGATCAAAGCAGACAGTGAGAGGTAAGGTTCAATATAACATTTCTAATGTCACAATGTATAGCACTTGAATAAAAGACTGACTAAATAGTTTTGTTAGTTATCGGTGTTTCCATCACGAGACAGTTTTTGTTTTAGCTAGATTTATACTTGCGATCTCCCGGTCAACATCCAAGTAAAACAGGGTATAATTAAAATAAAATGTGTACAATAATGTCTATAATAATAAAGAGAAAAGCAAGAATGTATGTGCATTGTTTTTGAAATATCTGTTTTTTGTTTAGGTTTAAATTAATAATCTTTATGTTTTTAAATACAGAAAAGAAGAGGATGAAACCGAAGAAATAAAAGGACCGGCTATGGGTGCTAAATCCCTGTGCATACCATTCCTGCAGCCTCGCAATCTCACCGCCGCCGACCGCTGCATACATCCCAGCTGCGACAGAACACCACAGTTCTTCACACTGTTTGGACGTAGTTACTAATATTATTTATGAAAGAGAATTAAGAAAAAATTGTATTCATTAAATTTATTACATTTTTAAAAGTCAGTTTTATTTTTTTTATATAGATAATGAAACTTATGAAAGGTAGAAAGAACAGACAATAATTATTGTAATAGTTAATATAGTTTTAATTATAATTAAAACTACTATTAGTTAACAGATTATTAGGAAACCCTAAAATATTACATAATTTTACAAGAACAATATGCTTCTGAATGAATGCTGCTTGTAGAGGAATGGTGTGCTCTAATCACTAGGACTATTTTTTTATCTCATTATGTATTTATCATTTTGAATCTAATGAATTAGTGCTAGTTGGTAGTTTATATTCACACACTTCAACTTAGAAATGTTAAGTTACAACAATTATTTAAAAGTGCAACACACAATTTTGTTGCACATTCTTCTAGGAAAAGCTCAAATTAGTAGATTTAAAAAAAATAAGTATGACTTCATGTGCTTAAATTTAAGTTTAAAAATTTTCTATTTTATTCTACTCTGCAATTGTCAATGATAGGTCTACCTATAGACAGTGGGAAATCATAACATCCTTTTTTGATATCAAATGATATGATTCATATGACTATGTACCTCACTATTGGGTTATATTATGGTACTAGGCAGATGCAGCAGGGTGAATGGATTGTTAGTACTCCAATTGCAATAATATCCCATCGATATCCTTATGGATCTCCCTGAAAACCATGGTGGTTAACCCCTACTGAATTCACAACAATGTTTAATTGGCTCGAGTTCACATTCATACAATCATTAATCAATCATAAAAAAAGGGGAAGTAGTGAAAAGAAGAAGAGAAAAAGAAAAGAAAATTTCTTGAATATGAACACACTATAATACAGTATATTGTTTAATATCTAATGACTAAATTTCTCATTTTACAATTGTAGAAGATAATATGTGTAGTAATAATTGAATGATTTCATAATCATATAAAATATATAAGTACAAACATTTTCTTATTTACTTATGGTTTTTTATTACACTTCAGAACATATTAATTGTGACTAATAGTACTGTAATTATTGAATAACTTTTGAGGAGTGTTTAAAGTTTATATAACTATTTGTTTTAGTGCTTAGAATAGGGGGGGAGTGTTTGTTAGTAATAAGGATCATTGGCTCAATTTTAGTAATATTGTATATTACTAAAATTGAAGTCAGGTCAAGCTTCACATTGTTCCATCTGGTAACTATAGTGGTGAAATTCTTGATGTAAATGTTACAATGGGCTCAGTGCCCAGCCAGTATGTACCGTTAGCACACTGGGGTGCATCATTCCATTATCATCCATTTAAATAAATACTTAGAATTAATTTAGCTGCTACATTCACATTTTCTGAAGAACTATTGAATATTTTCTTCTAATAATTGAATCCTTTTCTTCTTTTCATTCAACAATTCCACAAACTTTCCATACAAAGTTTCTTCTAAGGATGATTTCAAATTGACAAAATCATTAAGTTCCTGTTTACATTTATCCAAGTCCTTAGTGATGTTCTCTATATTTTTGTTTTGTTCCATAATTAAAAATTTCATGTTTCTAATTTTTTCAACAAGACAATCTAACAATGAGTCCTTAGTTTCTGTCACTTCATCACGGTACATTGGTAAAGAGCCATCAATCCTAACAGCATCTTCAAATCTTTTTTTCCAACGAAAAGTTGCTATATTCTCATTAGGTTTAATTATAAAGTCATAGCTGTAGGACTTATCGAATCCCTCGAGAGCTTGCCTAAGATTTCTTTCGTATTCTACTTTATCGACATCTATATCATTCCGACAAATTTCTGCTGACGCTTTAGAGAATGTTCCAGACCAACTATTTTTCCTTTCATCAAAAATTTTCATGTGAAATAGGTCTGTTTCATTATTTTCCGTCCATTGTGTCTTTACATATAGAAATTGTGAAGTTATTTTAATTTTTGATATTAATGTATTAGAATCAATCAAGTCCATTATTTATTATTAAGTAACTGGGGGTGAGGACTATTCTAGTCCATAAACTGGCAGTGAACGTATAAGCTCCTGCGTTGTGTCTCCATATGAACTTTAGTTAATTATTATCCTATACTGATATATATTATAACTATATACTGATATATATTATAACAAAATGTAGAGTATATTGTATTTAACTCTATTTATGATCTAATTTAAAATAAAATACAATTTAAATATATTTTATAATTAATACTATCACAGACTACTAACAAACAACAGCAAAGAATATATGATACTACTACTGAAGGCGACACTCATACTGACATACGCCACAGACAGATAACTACCAGTAGTCAGGTTGCAAACCTTAAAAAATTGTGCCATTCATTCATATTGTTAAGCAGAGATATTTTAACTTTCATAATTATAGAAAACATTACTCAAATTTGGAGTATAGTACGATAATATACTTAAATTCTGAAGTAAAATATTGTCCTTTAAGGACTAGCGCACTATGTATTCGTATAAATAATAATAATCAGAGAATTCGAATGATAACCTTAACACTCGCGATAGTTTACCAATATTATTTAGTTACAAAATTCACAAAGAATTTAAATTTATACACCATTTTAAATCCATTTTAGATATTATGTATATGTATTATTATGATGGTGTTATATGTATTAGTAAGCACAGCTATAAGTGTTCACGAAACTTTAAAGATGGACAACAAAATAATACTTGAAGAAATTGTTAAGAGGACTATTACAAAATGATGCCGCTCAACTTTAGGTTTAATCGTATGGATTTACGCACACACACAGTAGTACACGCACACAGACGCAAATAACCGTGTAGCGCAATCGGTGTGGATTTAGTATGAACCATTTTGATCCTTGTAATATTTTAATTAATAATGTGATATGTTTTTACTTAACTGAGTAACATAAACTATTTATTGGATTTTTTTAAATAACGTGATTTATATTAATTATCAAAGTGCTAATAATTACCATATTTTTTTATTATATTATTCCTAGAGGGCTGAAGTCAGGATGCTGGCCGATTGTATAACTAAAAGCCAAAACCTTAAGTAATATGAGTAACAAATAATTGGGATAAGGACAGGAAGATGAAATTACTATAACATAAATGTACTAATTAATTCTTATTATATATTAATTAAATTTATTTATTAATAAATACAAGATAATTTATTATAAGAGTCGGATGCATTATTGCCATATTCTCTTGTTCTAAATATTAAACTTAGGCAAATAATTATTTTATTTATATATAATAGTTGTGTTTTCATGCCTTTGTTTCGATTTAAAGTTCCCATCCTTATATGTATATTAGGTGTGTCCGCGACGTGGTATAATGAAATTTACCAAATAAAGGAAATATATTTAGATTATAACCCAAAAAAGTTTCATTGTTTCACTTAAACAATGACGATACTTTTATACAACCTGTCATCTCCGCTTTCAATCTCTTACAACCCTTTTTCGCACTATAAAGTAGTCTATGACCTTTCTCAGGGTATACTATCTGTGTATATGTATATCTATCTATATAGACTATCTGTGTATATATATGGCAGTGAATTTACAGGGTACAGGGGAATAACACCTCAGGAATAAAACCTCACATTCTCAGGAATGGCAATGCATGGGGGATCGTCAGCTTGTTTGCCATTCTAAGTTGTATAAAAAAAGCTTCAACTGCTATCATTGCTGTTCCTGCATCATTGACGTCGCCGCAAGATTGGCTGATATTGCAGCTTCTCGTTCTTGGTTGGCCGATTCTTGATTCTTGATAAATAATTACGTGTTAATATCAAAACATTTTATAGATTATTACAAGACGCCTCATTACTTATATGCAATGAAATCACCATGAGCTATAGAGACTTTGGACAGAACCTTAAAAGACCTTAGAAACACCTCTGCTCTCATTGGCGGGATTACTTTTATACTTTTGCTGGAGATTTCTGAAAGACTCTCTGTGTCATTAAGTACGTCTCCCTTATGGACTTTAATTGAAAGTTTAAAATTACTGACAAATATGAGAGCCCATTTTTATGGAAGCACAGATAGTGATTTCCTACACTAACTGCTCAAACTTAAGGAAGGAATTCTCAAAAGCACGATCCAATCATGAAATTTAAGCCCGCCGAACATGTGCAATGGCGTCCCATTGGATATGTTGCTTACTAAAGAATTGAAAGACAATTTAATTGTAGACCATTATAACCGGTACGTTAGCTGGGCAACCAGCTCATATACCAAGAATACCGATGATTCCAAATAATCTGCCAATACAATTTTAAAGTTAAAATGTCTTCTACACATGTAATAGATCTATGTATGTTTTGATCTTAAAAAACTACGCAGATTTTGATTCGTTATTATTTAATAGACAGAATAGATAGACTCAAGAGGAAGGTTTATATATAACGTCCCAATACTGTACACGGATCTTTAAACGCGCGATAATCTATATATCCCATGTTCACGCGGGCGAAGCCACCAGCTGTAAGCTAGTCTCTAAATAAAAACATTTATAATGTTGTTGACTTATCACCCAAAGACACATAATTATTAGACTATTTGACATAACTGTACAGTAATGAAAGTCCAACGAGTATAATAACACAATGGTTGCAATTTAGAAATATCTGTATTGTGTAAAATAAAATAAAGTAAATTGGATAAAATATCTGTAAACATTAAGGAATATAATTTATATATAATTTGGTAATTTATTTACAATCCACATTACATACTAGATGATATAACACAAGACAAATGTACGTAAAAATAATAATGGTATTTTTATAAACAATAACCCTATTTTAATTTAGAAAAAACTACAAAATAAACATAAAGTAAAATTCGTTTACATTTTCTTACATTTTTCTCTCAGATAAGCAGTTTTTTTTAAAAATACTAAAATGGTTTTTTTTATTTTTAACAATTAATTGCCATTAGGTGACGAAATACCATGCTCTTGTGCTTTTCATAGTGCAGCAGGGTAGGTAGGTTTTATCTGTAGCATAACTGTACTTTTGTCTTGGCATGCTAAAATAAATATTATATATATATTAAACAACAACTTTAAATTAATATTCGTAGAAATATAAGTATGTATTAGCAAAATTAATTAAATATTACTTAAATTATCAAAATTGTTTAGTCGCACTATAGTAATGTTCACTGACAAATGTTTACGAATGTCTTATCGTAGCGGTGTCGTAAAAAATAGCATAGGTCCTACCTCGACGAGCGCTAGCGCAGCACTGAGAATTTACTTTTGGCGCAACAGAATTTATACAACTTTAAATTATTATTATTGTTTATTTTTTTCTTAGAAACTTATATATTTTTTTTATATTTCTAATTTACAAGTATATTAACTTTATTATTATGTTTTTTTTATGCAAAAATTTCGTTGTATTTATGAGAAAATTAGAAATGATTATGGCAAAGTTTTGTTGAAATTTCGGGTTTAATTATGATCAATTTTTTAGATATTTAAGTTGAAAATAAAAAAAAGGACGATGCTGTCTGAATTTATAAAGTAATTATCAAGTTTTAGTAAAGATATCATATCAATTTATGTTTGTTTATTAATGAACGACGACCCCAAACTTCTGTCTCTTAGCGTTTTTGAATAAATTATTTTAGAAATTAGGAAGACTAATAAAGAGAAAATTAACATTTCAAAGATGTAGTTTTTAAGATAAGATATCTATCTATATAATTCAGGAATCAAAATGTATATCCGACTCTTAATTTCTTAGAACCAGAACCCCAAAGACCCCGCTTTTACGCCAAAAAATGTGAAAGGCCTCTTAAGAAATAATAGGTTCTAAATATGTAAATATGGCATTATGGATACAGGAGAATACTACGGCTCTCCTATTTAAATATTGGGTCGCTACTGAGACCCCAGATAAAAACAAGCTAAAGTTGATTGTAAATGTAACAAAGTAATCATTATTATCATAACAATAAAGTCCATATTTATTTTTACACAAAATATTTATCTTTTTTGAGCAAATCGAAGTTATTAAAATTCGTGCCCTCTATATTCGACGATTTTTGTACATAAAAGATTCAGAAAATTAAATTCAAGTTTAAATGTTCAAAATTATTTTTATATTCGATGCTTATGCTTTTAAACTTGCACTTCATACTACTCAATTTAATATGACTACACATCGATTAAATTTGGTTTATTGTGTAGAGGAGACGAGTTCAATTACATAGGTAGGAAACCTTCTATGACTACAGAGTTTTCTACTCTCCTTCTCCAATAGAAAAATCCACTTCTCAGTTCATAACGATAATCATTCCTTTCTTGTGATAAATATTGTTTGATACTAGTGTAATAGTCGTAAGGAAGCTAACTACGAGCTCTTTATAGCAGGCCTTAAACAGAACTGCCCTGCTAAGGGTACTATGAGCTCCTTATAGCAGGCCTGCTACAGGATTGTTTCTTATTCGGTCATAATAGCCTTCCAGACATATGTAAATTTAGGACTTTTCCATCTAACCCACAGAATAATAGAAAAAATATTTATATGTCCATATGGAATAATTAAAACTCGATAATTAATAAATTTTCGATTTTGTTGTCAGAGACTTGACTGTCTATGTGAATAGTTTTCCGTTATGGTAGGGTAAGAGGAATTCATATCAATTCCGTTCTCATCCAATCTTTACGCACAATCAGTGTTGCTAGAATAATTATATGAAAAAGCCAAATTATGTATGTGATTTTCTAAACTTGTTTGTCTATATAAGTTAAGTCGTCTGTGCCACAGAACACCAATATCCTAACGGAAAGAATGTCAACTCCATACAAAAAAAATGGCATAAAAATTAACGATAGTGCTGACCTCTCACGGTGTCCCCCAGGCAACATTCATAGATCATGGCCTAGCGGGAAAACTCAAACGTCAATAAGAAAATAAAGGAGCCTACTGTATTACAGATATAAATTCAAGCCGTTTATGACTTGAGTTTATATCTGTAATATGAATAACAAAAAGCACGATTAGAATAAAGTGTATATTTATTGTTAGATTTTCATTTAAACATAAAATACATCAGTAGTGTGAACAGGTGTACAGAGACATTATGTAATAGGTAACAAATAAATTTTGATTTTTAAATGATTGTAAGGAGCACAATTACACAAATTAAATTATATTATCAAAAGTGTATTATAACAATTAAGAGATATTGTCGGAAGAAACGTCGAATTATATAATTTTTACAAATGTTGTAAAATATTTATTTTTTTCTTAAGAGCATTCATCGACGTTTCTTCCGAAAAAGATCTATTTCTTATTATACAATATCTCTTAATTATTATTAGGATCACACTTTTGATAATATAATTTAAATTTGTGTTTTTGTGCTCCATACATTCATTTAAAAAATCAAAATTTATTTTTTCCTTTATTACAGTTATTATATTTTTCATTAATCCTTTTTTATGTGCATTTATTTTTAAATAAGTATTCACTATCGTTGCACAGTTTTCCACACACATTACAAAGTTTTTATTTGCATAATTTAATACTTGCTTTAAATCATTGTATTCTTTAAATGTATTAAAAGTGTGCATTATTGACTGCTCTGTGGTGGTAAAAATTAATTTACAAGCATTGCACTCATGTTTGAATTTTTTAATAATAAACCCACACACATAAGTGCAAGCTTGTATTTCGCCACTACATTCTTCTAAAATGTTTTCATCAATATCATTAAACGCCGATTGGTTAGAAGATATTGGATCAGCCGCAGTGTCGGCAATCTGTTGAGTGTTTCGCACACAAGGCTTCAAAAAAGATTTAAAATTATTAATTATGGTCTCGTTTTGGTCCATTTCACAGTTACCTCCACCCATCTGGGAAAGATTACTTAAAACAGCAGTTTTTAAGCCTGCTTTAAATTGGCCACTAGTTGGATTGTGATTACTACCACAATTTCCTCTAATACATCCAAATAAATTTTCAAGTGGATCTTGTTGTAATCTTCTAGTGGCCAAACTTTTTATAGTATTGTGTTTCTGTCGTAATACATTCCATAACCTTTCAACTCCATTAAGAGTCCACACCCAACCTTCCTGTGAAGGTGGTTTTCGTGAAGACCCAATAAATGATATGTTTTTAAAAAATAATTTCATTTCATTAATGAAGGTAATGTGTGTCGTAGAACATTTCATATTTGTTGCTAAAGGCTTTCCTCTCCGCAAATCTGCCGTGTCGCTATTTAATGTATCGAAGAGCTTGTCCATTTTTGCGATTACGTTAGCCGTCACGACAGCTTCTGAAGTCAATCCTATAATATGTGACAGAAAAATATCAATTTAATGTTTGACATTTACATAGTATAAAGTAGAATCAAGGTTTATTTTCTGTCCAGATGAAAGAGAATAAGGAAAATAAAGTACTATCTTTGGTGAAGCAACACCAAGTAAAGACAATATTTTGTTATTTTTTTCATATATTATTTTGCATTGTGTTTTTGAAGGCCTCTGTGGTCTAGTAGATTAGCACTTCGCCTTGCTTTTGATTGTCACAAACATAATACAAATCAGTATGACCTACGAGTATGTCTAGTACCCATAAAACAAACAACATGGCTCTGTGTGAATTCTCCTGGGGTTATTGTTATTATTATATCGGGTAAATTTGACAAAGCAGAAAAAAAACTAATGTCAATTAACCTAACGGTTTACTTTATGGTAAATGGTAATTGTCATGTATATATGACATCTATCATAGCACTCATGCTTTTCCATTCCAGAAAACTAAGATGCCTCTTATTCTGCAATTTCAGTGCCAAGTGAAGACATCTTACAAAACAAGTTGCATGGCAGCTCAAATAGGTGAGGCGGATATACTCGTGCAGACGCAGGCAATATTAAGTCCATTTTTAAATGATAATTTTTAATTCAGAAATTAAACAGAAGTATCAACAATTAAACAAAATTACCTTGAGATATTTTGGCATACATTCCTGCCGCTACTGTATGACTTAAAATTTGTACTGCCAATTTTACTTGCATTTTTTGTTTTGCATTTGGATTCAAGTGTTCTTTTTTAATACAGGGCGCGAACACAAAATTAGTATTAGAGTTGTCTAGTTCATAAAACTGGACAATATGACTCCACTTTGCTATACCTGAAAAAATATTAGTAAATTATGATTAAAACAGTTTAAAATAAACTACCTTGGTATATTAATCTTAAACATGCATGTACATAGAAATTGAAATTGTTTTAAGTTAATTAGAAAATTTAATTCATAATAATTAACATATAATAAATTATAGTCAAGCCATATACCTGTTCCCTGTTCTCCTTGATCGGATGTTATATCTGTGTTACATTTAATATCATACTTCAAAAATAAATTTCTGAAGCACTTAATTAAATGAGGGGTATCAAATAGTGCAACAATTTCCTTGTCATTTAATTTAAAACAAGGGCAATTTGCAGTAGCCCCCAAGATTGATAGGGCTTTTCTGTTTACGCCATCCATATCACACACAGTAGCAGAGATATTAATATTATGTTCTTGACATTGTCCAATAACCTGAAAACAAAACATTACTATTTTAGAAACCTATGCAAAAGATACTATATAATACATTTTTTTAAGTGAACTGATTTCTGCATGTTGGTAATAATTCTTAGGTCTTATACATTTGTCCATTACATATAAAAAAATGCAAAGTATAAAAATGTGGACTGATGATTTTACAGCAGATGCAACTAAAATTGAAAAAATGAAAATTGCACAAGTTTTTATTTTAAAAAATTCAATATTTATCGATTTTTATATTATTATCATATAACACTAATTTTTATTAAATTGTGGTTAACTAAAGTAAAATAGTAAATATTGGGTTTACCTCTTTTATTAAAACTGTTAATCTATCAGCACTAACTGTGGAGCTAGATAAATAATAGGCAATTGGTTGTTTAATTTTTCTTCTAATGCCTGCAATCATGAATACTAATGCATGTGTAGCTAGTTCTGAGGATCTGCCTTGCACCCCATGGTCTTGAAAGCCTTCAATTTCATCATGTTTAACATAGTAATAAAGATGCTTTTTTATTGACATTTCATCAAACATGAGAACAAACTCATTCACTTCAGGTTCTTGTTTAGAAATGTATTTGTTAATAATTTCAAATAATTGTTGGTTTATGCCAACATTCATTGAACATTTACTTAATAAAACTTTTAAAGTAGTAGGTGCAGGAAGACAAAACATTCTTCTTAATAGTCTATAGCAGGTCGGGGACCTCTTATATAGTCTGAGGGCTATAATTTTGTCTTCAGTAGTCCACCAGCGACCCTTGGCATGTTTTTTAAAATTTTTCAGTTGCGCATGCAACATCAATGAAAACGTGGGACTTATTTTATTTGCCAGTTTCCTAATTCCTTCATCAGAATTTAATTTTTGTAAATATTTATTATTATTCATACATTTTATTTTTTTTTTTAATTGGCAGATTTTTCTCATATATTGTTTGCATTTCATATATGCTCTGTCTTCATTTTTTCTAACTCCACCTGTACTGGCATTTGATGTACCAGGTAAGACTAATGGTCCTTGTATGTTTGAAGGTCCTGGTACATTTGAGGATTCAGTAAAGATTTCTCTGCTCATGCAAGTATTTGTTATATCAGATGGACCTGCTCTCGTATCCATATTGACTGACAAAAATGGCAAGGTCACCAGCTGCAAACAAATACAAGTATTTTTTTAGGAATTATATAATATATACTATACATATAACAGAGCTGTTCACGGACTATTATGCCATAATTGTCTATAATAGACCCATAGGCCATTATATATATACTATAAAATTTAAGTTTGTTAAGGATAATAATGTTTTTGAAGAAAAACTTAATATTCATAGTGCTGACAATATTACCCGATTGCAATATATAAGAATGAGTACATAGCAGTTTCTATATTGATTATTGCATTCCTTACTTGTTATTGTGTGATTATTTATATAAAAAAATCTATTCAAAAGAGCAACATGCAAGTTTCTCTCTCATTCTTCTTGTGATGAATCTGCATTCCAAAAGAGTGGTAGAATAAAAACTATGAGTATTCAGAAGTGCTTGTATTGAGTTTATATGAATAAGGATTAGTTCTATTTCTATAATTAAAAAATAAACATAGGAAAATCCAAATTAACAATTGTGCAACAAATAATAATAAGTTTTATAGTTTTACCAACCTCTACATCTGGAGAAGCAAAACGTCTCAATTTCTTTGATGCAAAATCCACAAAAGCAGATTCTTTAAAATGCCGATGACATAGCATTCTATGTTCTGAATAAAGTTTTGACTGGAAGCTGACTGAAGACCATTGTTTATCTGGACAGCAATATTTAGCCCATAATTCGCAACTGTAATACAAATATGAATCAATTTAGAATAATATGTCTTCACAATCATGGTAGTCAATTAAAACATATTATTTAAACAAACATAATATATTATTACAAATAATAATATTCAATAGCACCTTAGTATACTCTAGTCTTAGTCATTAGGCCTAATTTGTTTTTGAAACTTGATAATATTTTGATTTATTTGGTACATTATCTCTACAATAGGAAGTCGCTTCTTCTATCTGTTCGCTTATATTTTAATGCAGTTTTTAACAATAGATAGTCATTCAAAAGGAAGGCTTCTATATATAATACATGTATATATATCCATGCGATGCCGGTGCGGGAACTAGTGGGCAATAAATATCTAAGATAAGATTTTATTACAATACAGTATTAGCATTTAAATATGCATGTTAATGTTTTTGAGGAGAAATAAATAAAATTATTAATTAACATTTAAAAGGCACTTACCGAGTAACATTTGTAGAGCCAGGTTTTGGAAACCTAAATAATACTGTTTCAGGATTATCGGCAGGCGATGAACCACACTTAAGGCACTTCCTCTTGTTCTCCTTCATTGTAAAACAACGGTCCAACCAATTACAACAACTAACTTGATAATTTAAACGAAATAACAAGAAAGTCACGAATTATAGTTTATTACCAGGATAAACACAAACTAAATACATGTATCTAACAATTACGGAGGAATCTATAAAGACTCAACTCAACGTAAGGGTAGAACTGTAAAAGATGGTGAAATATCCAGTAATAAAACAAAAGATGAAAAGTTCAAAAAGAAATTCAAAAAATTATGACGACGTAAGATGGCGGGCATAAACTTTCTGAGTTGCCAGCAGTCAGCAAAAAAATAACTAAAATGAATATAAAAGTAGTAACTTTTTACATTCTATGTATATCTCATAGATATTAAATAAATCTGTAATTATAATAATAGAAATTCCAAAAATGAAAGATTATTGGTTTAATCATATTTTATAATTATAATTTTCATTGGTTTACGTGTTTTACATAAATTATTTAGTTATAATTTTTAGCCTATTTTTTCAGTATACCGCCCTTAATATACATTTGTTTTATTTTTGATGGACTAGGAGAAAAGCTCTGGTATAATTTCTAAATGATAATTAATTATACCGTTATGATATTCTTAAAATGTTACTAAGTTGCCTTTTGAAATAATATCATAACTGGATAATAAAATCTCTAATAATGGCAACATAAGTCTGCCCCCCTTAGGTATTCTTTACGCCCCATACAAAGACGACAGGGCCTGGTCTGTGCTCTCCTGTTGTGCTGTGCCAATTTTCTTTTTACCTGAATGTTTATGTTTACCATGTGTTATCCATTTTAAAATTATTGCTGTATATATTAATAAAATATGAGCGGGAATGAAGATAGTGATGAAAATTTGACTCCAGATGAAACAGGGGACCATGAAAGAGTTAGTACTCAGATGTACCTATACCTATTTTCATGTTTTTTTTATTTGTTTTTATATTGTATTATCCAAATTAAGAAAAATTAACACTTACCTTGATTTTATATACTTAGACATCTATCAGAGCCGAATTATCTACACTTACGTTTGAAGAACTGCAGAAGTTGAAAGAGAAAATCGGCGCTAAAGTTTATAAGGAAGCTCTGTTTGGAAAAAATGACGAAAGTAATCATAAGGAACTTAAACATTTCAAGAGAGAGAATAAAAATAGACCAAGGGAGATGAGTTCGAAGAAACCCGTCCCTATGTTTCTGGATGCACCTAAAATTAAGAAGAGAGAAATGCGTGACCCTCGGTATGCTACTTTATATTTATCAATGGATAATAATGGAAAGGAAGGATGATCATGAAATTAGGCCAGTTAGTACATTGTGATGAATTCAGCATGAATTAGCCGCAACATTTTCCAGATGGACTGAACATGGTAAATTGTTAGCAATGAGGATACTATTCCCCGTTACTAACAACCCCTTTCGGTATGTTACTATACTCAGTCTTACCCAATTTAACCAGCAGTAAAATAGATTCTTTGTAAACCAGTTTGTGGCCAGTGAGAGTTCATGGTATGATTGCGTAATATCTTAGTCGTATGGAATGACAATCCATGAAGAGGCAGTTCTTCTGGTGCCATGATGACCTTATTTCTGTTGCATACATGATGTATATATATGACAGATGCCACCAAGTAGGCCAACAGTTTGTTTGTCATTCCATATACTAAAATATTATAAATGTGTGTAACTTTGGGAGGTTTAAGGGTTGTCACAAAATTTGCCATTCACAAGATGGATACAGTTTAGTCTTGTATTAGGTGTTTATGTATGATAGATATAAATATTTAAGCCACTGAAATTGTACCATAATATTTACTTCTAAACAACAACAACATTACATTATGATTGTTTGTCCCAAACAGTGTAATCAGCCTACTGCCGTCTCCTAGAATGATTTTTGGTTTTATATCGGTGTTTGCTTCATTGGAAAATATGTCAGAAATATAATATGACACAAAACAATGAACATTTTTATTCTCATGTGTTTTAGTGAGATTTAAACTCATGACCACTTGTATATAATCCTGGAAGTGGATTGGAACTCACAACCAAGTGATACTCATATATATAGCATTACTTATATATTGATAATTATTGGAGCAATAATCTGTACTTGCAACTGAGTGATTTCAGATTGAAGGTGGATCAAACTTAATATCATGATTTGCAACCATATATTGTTATAATTAACAACAGGAAGCTCATGTGTTAGGCTGTACCAATTTTTATATCATAATCATATTACAACTTGTTGTACTTCTTTTTCACAGATTTGATCCACTCTGTGGTGAGTTTGATAAAAAAGAATTCAAACAAAACTACAATTTCATATCTGACATTCGAATTAAAGATATAAAGAAAATTAGAGAGGAACTTAAACAAACTACAGATCCAAACCAGGAGCAAAAATTACGCAGATTACTGCAGAGGCTTAATGATCAGCATAAAGATAGTAAGAAAAACAAGAAGGAAGATAATATTACAGCCAAAAAGGATAAAGTTCAGATTGGACATGAGTTAAGGAACGGCCGACAACCTGTCTATAAGAATAAGTGTAAGTATACTATTTAAAATTATCTGCTCCACACAGGCAGAAGGATGAGTACAGGATAGTGTATAGTTCTCTTCATTTAGAATTTGTTCACTTCCGAAATTATGAGTTTTTTTTTCAAATCAATGCCCCCAGACAGTGCCATCTAGATTCAAAATGTTACTCTTTATTTAGTAGCCAAATGGTATAAATACTTAATTACGTTTTTTTATTATGACTGATATTAATATTACTGATATAGAAAATCATATTCTCAATACAAACGTTATTATCATGCGTATAAAGAATAATGTATTACACTGCCAACACCCTTGAATATGATTCAATAAATTACAGTATAATACAATAATTTAAATAATATGGCAAAATTTTAATTTTTGGTCATTGAAATTTTTAATGACTACTCAATATTCATGAAATGTTATTAGAATCTATATTAAATAGTCTATCCAAAAAAGTGATTATCCACTTATTTTAAATATTACATAAAAATATGTTTATTGCAGCTGAAAAGCGAGTAGAAGCATTGGTACAACAATATGAAGAGCTAAAGAAAGAAGGCAGTGGAAGGATCCAGAGGCATCTCAAACGCAGACAACAAAAGCTGAAAAAACGCTCACATAAAGTGCCAACTGGTGTTAGTGTACAATAAACTATTACATTTTTATCACCAAACTTTGACTGCCGTTTTTTTTTGTAGGTAACACTTTTCGGGAGACTAGAGCGACACAAAAAATAAATAATCAAACTGCAATAAATATTTGGAAACAGTTCTACTGCTTTAATCCATTAATCGGTAGATAGAATATGTGTAATTATTATTAAAAATAAAAATTCATCTGATAACATTTAAATATATGTATTCATATTTGCATGGAGCCGAGAGACCTGTACCGACCTACCGTGGCACTACGTTCGCCAGTGGTCCTATTCATATAGGTGACGGTCACCATTTACCATCTGGTGGACTATCAGCTTGTTTGCCATTCCACTTATATAAAAAAATATTCTAGGGTTTAGACAAAAGATTTGGAATAGATCTAAACTGGTCTCCAGTGGATTGCATACACACTCATGTCCTACTTTTGGAGTGATCTATGACCATAACTAAGGTATACTCATATACATACATATACATACAATAAGGTGTCTAAATAAGTGCTTCATCGCAAAAAATAGGGTACAATAAAATGCAGTAGTAGGTAATATACATAATTTTATTACCTAGTAAAACAAGAATGTTTGTTCTTACAATTCTGCCTTACAAATACAAATAATAAAAATGCAATAACATGGTTTACTTCCAACCGTTGCTATGTGATACTTGTTTTAATGAAAAAATAGACTACAAATTTAATTTTAATATTTTAACATAAAGCCGGTTAAGGGTTTAATAGCGTTGAAGATTTCTTTTACAACAAATATGAGCATAAAAACCCGCTTTACTATAATCCGCAGAATTCTTTTCAAGTAACACGCTAATGAAACTAAGATTACATTCAAGTTATTCACTCGATACCAGGCCTATTTGCCTTACTTATTAGTTCGTATTTAGTCCCAATGAGCTAAGTAAAGCGAGTTTTTAACTTGTAAGTATACGAATATAAAAATTAATAAATAACCCTGGACAATTAACACAGCCTCTATCTCTATCTCTAGTTCCAAGGTAAGCAGAGCTTCTGTTATGGGTACTAGACAACTTATATAAAGATATATGTTACTTTACATAGAAAACACCCAAACAATTATACTCATGAATACAAATATTTGCACCGTGCGAGGACTCGAACCAGCGACCATCGGCAGTAAAGCGGTGTGCTAAACCGCTAGACAACCGAGGCTGTCTGTTATGTAAGTTTTGTATAATTCTTCTACACCGGAAGAAAACGGGTGCTAGTGCAGACGGCACTACAAAACCGAGCAAGGACTTACTGAGCGGTTGAAGGCCAACACCTCCCAGATGGATACGCTTCGTTCCGAACCTGAGGGCGCCGCTAGGGGATCGTACCTCTGCTAAAGCCGTAGTAATTCGATCCCCGTTTTAATGGGATGAGGGATCATTTACCACAAAATAGAAAAATAAGAAAACATTTCTATTAACGGAATGTTCATGCATATTTTAGATAAGGTAATACAAAAATATCACAATATTAATATCTATGTATAGTCACACAAGGTTTCATATAGCACTATTATAGCCTACATACTCCTGATAGTAGACTTTAGACTGAAGTCTACATCAGTAGCTTATAAGCTCTATTTCCTTTAAAGTACCACAGACGAGCAGCAGAATAGGTACCACATTCGTACGGTAGTAGATACACAGTATAGAGCAGTGTTTCTCAACGTGGGGCCCACGCCGCACAGGGGGGCAATTCGAAAAAAGACTTAACACGAGTTTAACCCTTTTGCACCGGGGCATTTAAATGCAATTCTAGATTTTGGTGGCAAATTTAAAAAAATGACTAATTATATTATTAAATGATTGTTTTATTACAAAATTGAAATAAGATTAATATAGAAAACCTTTATTAAAATTATTTGGAACTTGAGTATTTCATTGTACCTATGTGTCGAAAATTTACTTACTTAATTTCCTAGTGATTTCTTCCTAAAACATACTATTTAAGTTTCTTAAGTGCACAATTCAGTTTTTGAATATTAATAATTAGGTATGTATTTTCATCGCCACCCTAGAATTTTAGAAAGAGTAAGATTTACTACCATAATAGGTACCACGGTAACCACGGTAGGGAAAAAAAAATTATAATGTAAATACTTGCGTTCATAAGCGGCTAAAATATCCTACATTAATAAATGATTTTTGAATTTGATATTGAATTTAATTATTAATATTAAAAAAAAATATTGGCACGTAAAAGGTTGGGAAACACTAATATATAAGAACATTTGTTTTACGCTTAACCGCTAAACAGTTTCTTCAGCTCGTCGGAAACCTGGTTTGCATATCTGTATCCGTTCAGCATTAGTCGCTGTAACGCGGGGGCTCGTTTCACAGAATCTCCATTTCTGGAAGAAATATTATATGAAGACTGGAGTCTCTCAACTTCATCATTCCTTCTCCCAACTCAACAGGTGTTTAACCCTTTGGTTAAACTAGGGGAGTTTTCGCAGATGATTTATTATACTAAATAAATTATGAAGATACTTAGGATGATCACTGATAGAATATTTCACAATTGTCAATTTTTATGGCGATATTTTTCTACCACATTATCATGTAATGTGGTAGAAAAACATTCAGAAGAATCGTAATCATGCTCTGGGTGCTGTTGCTGCCTCATGTGTTGGTCTCTTTCACGAAAAAACTACTGAACGGATTTTGACGAATCTTTATAGTAATATAGTTTATACGTTAAAATAACTCAGGCTATAATTTAAAAAAATGTAAACTGGGCGAAATAAACGACTAAATGTGAATTAAGTGTGATGAAAACAAGATGCGCGGGTCAGCTGCATATGTATGTTTAATCAGATTCAAAGTATCTTGTCGTTTACTTAGTTATAATACTTTTGATATTGCACCGCTCACATGAATATCTCCTAATGGTTGACTCTAAGATGTTAAGTCTACCATATGCACCTTTATTTGTGCATTAAAGTTTAAATAAATAAGAATGAATAGAAAATAATTTATTCAAATAAACTTAATTTAAGCACTTTTGAATAGTCAACAATTTTTTTTAATCTACTGCTTATTCGGAAAGCTGTTGTGAAAAAAAAAACTTGGGTGTTGCTCTTTTAAACAATCCTTGTAAGACGAAACGTGTGAATACAAACTACTAACCAGCACTAATTCATTTAGGCTCAAATATAAAAACACATTAAGATTAAATCAGTCGTAGTGATAAGTGACAAGAGCAGACCAGTCCCTACAAGCAGCACTCGTTCACGAGTATGACGGATGAGCCAGCCATCACTGCGTTCGACCAATGCTCATAAATATATATCATAGCTTTCAAAGAACTGACCGAGGTAGACTTTGTACGATATGTCTAGATTTTCGTGTAATATGATAGTAAATAAGTGAAATAGATGTATCTAGACATCTATCTCACTTTTTATAGTTACAGACAAGCTGTTTGCTTTACAACCTGTGTTGGGTTTGAAGGTTGAAATCAGGCAGTCAAATTACAGGGTATATAAGCATGACCTTAGTAGTCATATCCTTGCTATTACCACTTACCATCAGGCAGCACGTCAGCCGTTGAGGTTACCATTCCGTTTCATAAAAAAATTGTAATGGATTTATAGATAATAATCATGCCCAATTATGTGTTCACACTTTCTTAACTCAAGTATATCATGCAGTACAAACATGTGCAATAAAACAGCAAATATATTTTTGGTGCATAATTTAAACAGTGCAAAATGGAAGTCTGGATGAAGGTAGGTGGAAATGAAAGTAAAGAAAAGAAAAACTCATATTCTATTACAGATGTAATTCGTACACAGCCAGAACTTGTTTATTTGATAGAAACAAAGAAAATGATAGTAATTTTAAGTAGCTATCGTTTCACTTAAATGCTAATTAAGTACAGTTTATATTTATCATGCGTACATGTATCATCGACATTACTTGCATTACGATTTTCTTACTTTATAATTGCACTGATATTGAAAAAACATGATCTATATTGTTAACCGGGTTTTAATACGAATAATTTAATGAGAGACATCACTGTTACTTTAGCTAGCTCGTGAACACGGCTAGTGCAACTTAGTCGATACGTCGAGAGGTAAATAGCTTTATTTGTCATTAATTATTCGTGTTAAGACCTGGTTAACAATATAGGTAAATAAAGTACATTAAACACGTAAGTTTAAAAATAACTATTGAAAGTACAATAGAAAGTGAATTTTATGGAAAAGCATCCATCGTCTTGATAGATTTTAATAAAACAGTAAACAAACAGCTTTATTAGATACTGGATAATACAAATGCATTAGATAAAACGCAAGTGATTTCAAAATGCTAAAAAGATGTGGAAGTTAAGCGTGTTTCACAGATTTTGCACAAAAACCATTGCCAGAGATTTGTTATACTTCAATTTCCTTTAGAACAATTCATGGATGACATGACATACACACGTGTCTGGTCAAAGATTTTTTACAAGACCGTAGGATCCAAGAATACCTACTGGCAACGGATGGTCCATGGTTCATCGATATAGTAAATATGTAGAGTGACGAGTCCGTAGGATGTGGCCCAGTCACCGAAGCAAGGCGGTGCGTGCGGGATCACGATCTGGTACGAGAAACACAAAATATTATCAAATGGGGAATAACAAGAGAAAAGGTTATACTTAAATACATAATCGGTTGTGTGTTTTAACCTCCAAGCAACTTTTATTGTAAGCCACAGCTTATATTAGAATCGTAACATTTTGGGAAATGAGTATTCTCAGTTATTTTTTTTCACTAATGTAATAAGGCTACTGTCAGGTGTTAAGAACCTGTGGCACCGCGATCTTCGAAGGTTGTCGTAGTTGTTTGTAGTCACCAAGTTATTTCTTGAAATTCTTGTGTAGTTATGTTTATAACTGGGTCCTAACGCGTGTTTTATGCGTACATCGAACATAGAAATTTCAAATAAATGACAAGTAAATATTGTAGTATTATAGGTACGTAATGTAGGTAACAAGAACACTTCTTTACTGTTCTGTCGTGTTCGCTTAGATCTTACGCAACGGATTTTAGTCCAGGTTTTTAGAAAGAGTGATTCACGAGGAAGGTTTATATGTATAATACATGTACCAAAGCTGGGGTGGATAGCTAGTTTGATTATAAAGCCTAATAATATTTTTTATGTTTTGATTTCATTATATATATAAATTATTTTAACGACATTATTGATTATTATTAGAACTAAATATTTTTCTTTCTATCTAATTTTGTTTTAGTAATGCCCAAAAATAAGTATAATGAAGCTTATAACGTTACTTGAGCGAAGGCGTTATATTAGTTTTTCTGTTGTTTACCTCAGGCAGTTCATCGACTGTGGGTGGTTTCTCGAACCAGTTGCGGGTGGTTTGCGGGGCCAGCTCCCCGAACATCATGAACCCGGTGCCGATCAGCTCCCCCTTAGTGACGAGCGCGAACCAAGGCAAGTGGTCCTCGCATTTCATGTCCTTTGTCATGTTGTAGTAGTAGTGAGTGCCTGTAATAATTCGTATTCATTAACTATAGCTAACAATGTACATCTGAGGTTGACCTCCACGCGGTTCCCCTTGAAAACCATCATAATAAATTGCCATTTGCCCAGGTGGGCTAACTGCGAATTGCTCTTTTAAATGAACATTGTTTTAAGTAAATATAAAGTTAACAAGAGGAGGCATGCGAGAATCAACATAGAAACCGCTCATCAACATAGAACTCGCTTTGTAAATACATGCATAATATTTATAGATAGAAAATACCCAGATCGATACTAACAATCACATACTTATGAATTTAACGGTTTGCGCCGTGCGAGGAATCGAACCCGCGACCGTCTGAGATAAAGCGATGTGCTAAACCGCCAGAGTACCGAGGTCGTCTAATAAAGAGATAAATATATCTATAAATCCCTTATTATATATTTTTATTTATAGGTACATAATTTACGTTCTTACCCATGTTTGGTACGCAGTTTTGCTTCTTATACAATGTATTGCTTATGTCAGACTCTTTGGTTGGTATTCTGAGTAGACGGCCGTCCAGGCCTGTAACCCATACTCCGCCATCTTGAAGGGTGGCACCATTTGCCGCTAGTGGGCCAGCTCCGGCTTTTAGAGACTCTGAAAAAGAATTTATCTTTCATAGATATAACTTTATGATTGCGCTTGCAATAGATAGACTATGCATATTCAAAATTCAAAATTCAAAAAAATATATAAAGCATATGGTCATGATCCTAATGTTTTATCTTTTGTTATTTATACGTACCCTGTATTAGGGCCCCACTGACCAAATTCATCGGACGAGACCTTTCTTTATACAAAAAAAGATCACCGTTGTTGTTTCTTAAACTAATGACACACTTTTTATGAGATAACTGTCAGATTGTTACTGTGTTATCGGCCTCCCGAACCTGGGTAATTTGGGGGTGATATTTCCCATGATCTGTCACCGTATTGTCACGCCACAGATTATGCTTACCTTCAGACACGAAATATTGTGTTAAAGTCCAGTAGTCTCTCGATGGTTCAGATCCTGACTCGGGAGCGCGCCATTTGACGAATTTCTTCTCAGGCTTGATAGCTAAAGATTCAAAGTCGTCTACGGGCAACTGCAAAAATAAAATTTCATAAATACCGAGGTAGAGTTTCTGAAAAGTTAGACGACTTTAAGCAAAGTCTAGTACTTTTCAGATACAGAGGTACCAACGCAGATATATGGATCCTTTCGTTACCTATTTAAGCCACTAGATAAATTGATTTCTGAGCTGTGTTTCGTGTGTGTTCGTATTGAAGTTTGAGATAACGCAGTGTAACAATCTACAAATTTTGGCAAGCAGAAGTGGAAACGCCACTACACATCTTATTTGGTTGTAGTCCACTAATGCATAAACGAAACATCTCCTTTGGAACGTATACACTATATCCTGATAAAAACCATCGCTTCTAAGAATATCCTCCAATTCTTGTCCCTCACGGAACTAGGTAGCGAACATTGGAAAAGAGCGAGTACAATAGATCTATGCAGTGGCACAGGTCTTAGCATCTGACAATAGCCCAAAATGCCCAATATAAAAAATAAGGCAGTGTAATTTGAGGGTACGGAGGCATGACTTCTTAGTCCTCTGGGATGGCAATGCATAAGCTGTATCTCGGTGGTGTGATTTCTGTGGTCCAATTCATTAATCTTCATCATTTATTTAGCCTACCATGTATAGTTTTGAACACAAAATTGTATACACGGTGGACATAATGTGTGATAGTATTATCTACCGGTCAACCGTGGCGCTGAACAGAGACAATATATATGTCTCTATATTCTATAAGTCTGAAACCTATCTCCCCTCTCTTTCATACCATTCTTTGGTCCCATATGTACGTATAGGTAGATCTTTTAATCTCGATATATTTCAAAGAGTTTATTTTAGTCAAATACCTACTTCTATAAGAAATAATATGATTATGGAGTGATGCGTTGGACAGTAAATCTGTTGCATGTCTTAGTACACGTCTCTTATGGACAATTTCAAGTAAATTACATTATTAACGTACACAGGAAATCACATCATACACACGCGCGACTGTTTGTGTACCTAAAATTTGGCTTATATATATAACTAGCTGTGCCCGCGGTTTCACCCGCGTGAAATTTATAGCTATATGTTATTAAGCTATATTACTATAAAGTTTCATCAAATTTCGTTCAGTAGTTACAAACATCCATCCATACTCACAAACAATTATAATAATATTAACAAGATATATACCAATTCTTATAATACCTATATGCAAAGTTACGTTTCCTATTTTCAGATGGTCCGGTGGTGTAGTAGTTTAGCATACCCCCTTACTTCCTATGGTCGCAGATTTCATTCCTCGCTCGATGCAAACATTTGTATTCATAAGTGTGAGTGTTTTGTTGGTCTGGGTGATTACGTAAAATATGTATTTGTATTTTTATAAAAAAATAACGTACTAAAGTATTTATGTCAGTTGTCTAGTAGCAATATCACAAGCTCTGCTTAGATTGGGACTAGATGGCGCTGTGTGAATTGTTCTGGGATAATATTATTATCAGTTTTCGATATTTTTGCTCGCCAGTGTATTTCGTTTGAGTCGCAAACATACAATTCCCGTCCAGTGTCTGTTGTATGCGTTTATCTAATTTATTTCAACGAACAAGATCAATGTAGTAATGTAGGGTCGTGGACCGCTTTCCTGTTCACTACGCCATGCCAGAATCTATCATTATTTATTCTAATCTTATTTCTTACTAATATTATAAACGCGAAAGTTTGTGAGTATGGATGGATGAATATTTGTTACTCTTTCACGCAATAAATACTAAACTTTACAGTAATACAGCTTATACATCAGAATAACACATAGACTATAACTTAAAAAAACATTACATGAATTTAGATAAATATAATTGATAAATGTCAAGTACTTGTGATGCAGACGATCTTGCGCAAACGGCATTACTTTGGTCGCTGGATCGATTCCTCGCACGGCACAAACATTTGTATACATGATTGTTTGTATCGGCCTAGGTGCTTTCTATGTATATTATATATGAATTTACAAAAAAACTCTAAGTACGATATTTATATCAGTTGTCTAGTACCCATAATACAAGCTCTGCATGCCTTGGGACTAGATGACGTTGTATAAATTGTCCAAGGGTATTAATTTAGCAAAATAAATTTATACTTACAGCAAGTTGCAATCCGGCTATGAAGCCTGCTGTGTCGTACAGACCACAAACACCCCTTCCTGGGGGGCAGTACATCCTCAGCACGCTAAGAGCACCGGGTGGACGCTCAGTGCGTTTCCAACCTTCTTCTTCAGCATCCTTAATGGACCGTGGGATCTCGAAGAAATACTCCTTATCAGCGAGAGCATCGGACCAGCCGAATTTAACTGTAGGCCAAGTTAAGTATTCATTTCAATATTTTTTCGATACCTAAAGTAATTAGAGCTAATAATTAATTAGAAATAAAAAGAATTTACAAACAAAAAAATACAACCAAATTAAGAAACTCTTTTTTTTGAGGGCGGTAAAAAATATATTAATCGTCACTGCAGTTCCGATTTTTTATAATTTAATTATTAAGATAAGTTCATTTTTTGCGTTATAATTCGGGGCAATGTTACTTGTTCTATGAACTTACTGATAATGAAAATATTGATACTATTTTATAAATTGAAAAAAATTATAAAACTCATAAATATCAATCTAATAACTTATAACTGAAATTGTTTAATACCAGTATTGTTCATATAATAACTATACTAAATTTAATTTTGAGCAACACTTACCTCGAAGTCCATCATATTTAACAGCTGAAACAAAAATAAAGTCTAATTTAGTAACATCTGACTTCAGTTTATTTAAACCGATGAGTTATTTTTTTATTGGACGAATATGGACACATCTATTTGTACTAATTGTACGCTAGTAGGACACCAGTAGAGAATAGGAGAAGTAATAGAAGATAGTTAATTGTTGAATTGAATTAGTTATTAGGAGAGAGGAATTAACCATTAGGATTTCAGGGTTACCGCGCGTGCGACCTAGTAGGGTACATTTCTAGCAACAGGTCCCTAATGCCCATTACTAATAACCACTTCCCCCTAATATTGTTAAATATTTAATAGCTCCCTTCTTTGCACATGTAAGTGTTGAGTTCAGTTAGATGGGTCATTTGAAATTATCAGAGGTAGAATGTAGTCTTGAAATGTATGTACAATAAAATAAATTGAATGTACTTGGATATCTCAATCTACCCTATTTCTTCTACCAAGCAGCTTCCTTGTTAGCTGTGTTTTGATTGTAGGGTGAAGATTAGTCAGTGAAATTACAGGTTAAGAAGCAAGACATCTGTCTTCTGGAATAGCAATGCATGAGTATAAAGTATACCATAAGGTATCCCAATAAGCAGATTATCACCAGGTGAGACGTCAGCTTATTTGCTATTCCAATTGCATAAAAAAATAGAAGGTAATAAGTTATGTGTGAGGTAGCTTTACCGGTTTTTATATAAGGAAAAATAGAAGACCGGTAAAGTTTATGCCGATTCGCACACCGGGGATTCCGAAGCAATAAACATGTTTTTATTTTATTAATAGGTATGATAAGAATGACAATTATTTGTGTAAATAAAATAAGGTAATTTGTTTAGATATTATCTGTGCCCGCGACTTTGTGTGTGACTTTGACCATTATTAATAAAATATATATATGAGCTAATAAACACATCAAGTTTTGTGAGTCAATTTTGTAATAGATTAAGAACTGCTATTAATATTCTGGATTATTCGTCTAGGTTGTTATTTAAAAGTCATTAAGTGAGCGTTCCGAAGAATCATGTACAAAATCAATTAATTAAATAAGTTAGGTCGGGCCATCCCAGCAATTACCATTAATCAGTAGCATAGTAGAATTATTATGGTCGGTTTATTATTGTAGTTAATACAATATATATATATATTGAAAACCAGTCGGATGGCTACGTTGGTGTCTATCTACAACGAGCACTTTACAAATAAACAAGAGTACAAGCCGGTTTGCAAGGGGTCAGTGTAAAACATACAATGTTTTTTATTACATTTTCCTTGTTTACGTATGAGATCTTAACGTTGCGATCAGCGTCTTGTCGCAGTCCAACGCACCGCGTTAGTTTCAATCGTTTATTTATTTTTATTTATACACTTTTACTGCAGCAGATACAGAAAAATATTAATTCATATAATATATATAAATATACAATAATTCGGTCCGCTTGATGTAAAATCATCATCGCCTATATGAGTTGCACCACGGACATCGATCACGTGAGTACGTTTTGTGGTACCCTTCTTGTATATCCATTACGGAGGGCTAAGAAGACATGCCTCCGTACCCAGTAATTTTATAGCAACATCGTTCTTCAAACCAAAAGACAGCTTACAAAGCAATAAGCATGATTGATAAAGCCAAGTACGAAAAGTTTCTTGAAGTACGTGCTTTTCATATAAAGTTTATATAGCAGTAATACAATGATAACGCACGCCATCGCACGCTATCGCATTGCATCGAAATACGCTACAAATGTACTTATGTATCGAAATTCTACTTTTATATCTACAATTGGGTTCCGAACCAAAGGAATAACATAGTAGCCTTTGTTCGTCTGTTTATCACAGCATCATATTTCAGCAACTGCTCACGCTATCGTTTAAATTTGAAATAGTTTTAGACACTGTCAGTAAATCATAATGTGAATGAATGTAATGTAAAAATGTATTAAAAACATGGCTTTTACTTTCTTTACAATGGCCTATCCGTTGGTTTGGAATTACGAAATATTCCTAAATCAATACGATCGAAACTTAATTTCTTTTAGACCGCGCAGTTGCATAAATTTTTAAAACGATATCACTTTATTTTATCTATAATAGAAGTTCGCTACGAGGAAAATGTAACAATCTACAAATTTTGTTCGGCCCCTTCGTTGTACGAGACTGATTTTTATACCGCGTCGTTTCTAAGTTATGATAGACAAATTAAAATAATAGAATAAAGAAATGCTCTAAAAAGAAAATAAAGATTGCATTAAGTAATTTTGTTACATTATACAATTTTATATGAGTTACCTGCCCGTATTTGCATAGAGTCATTGTAGAGTCCTCAATTTATTTCTGACTCATTTATGTTGTTAAAAATAAATATAGCCTATATTGTAGGTACGCTACTATATTATACTTTAACTTTCTGTAGGTAATTTTTTTTATTGATCTATTCCTTGCAAATAAAATATCAAATCAACCTCTTTATGATAACTTTAGTAGAAAAAAAACTTTTGAGCTCGCAAAAAGTTACATGGAGATAGGGTTCATCCTAATTTTGTATAATTATTTCATTTGTTCATTGCACTATAGTGTATCACATGAATAAAAAAAAAACACGTATGTACGTAGATAACAATTATTTTAATATATCATGGCAGCTATGAATATATATTCATAGCTGCTATTTTGTCCGTCTGTGTCTCAGACTCACAGAGTGATGTTTTAGAAATTGCTGCTATTACGATCCTAGATTTGGAATAGGTGCAAAAACTATTGGTACAATTATAATACTACTACTTTGTATTTATAATAATTATTATTAATACAAAATTTGCTGGAAAAATTTTCAAGGGAGGAACACAAAATTCCATGTGGTTCCACCACAATAATTTAACTGACCTGACTTCAACCTCATCCTATCATTCTAAACTGGTCCTCCGCCGGTATATATTTTTAGCGCAACAATCTTATTCCATATTCATGAATATAAAAATATATGCCCTTAATACTTTAAGACCAATTGCGATATATTTTATTATTTCTCTAATTTTAAACTTATTAAAATATTGCCTAACGAGGCGGAAGGCCTTCTGAATTTTCCAAAGGGGTATTTATGTTAAAAATTAAATAAAAACGTTTATGAGAAATCATCAAAATTCTAAATAAATTAAATTAGAGCACACAAATTAAGTTTTATAGTCATATTTGGTCTAAACTTAGCAAATTCTAATATTTGAATAATAGTTTTTGTATTGTAGGTAATTGCTTTTCGACCATCGTACAAATTATCAGATAAATAATTATTGGAAATTGAATTTAAAATTGTTTTTAATACATTATAACTAGCTACCCGAGTTCACGGGTTTACTTGTATTTAACATAAAACCTTCCTCTTGAATCACTCTATCTATTGCTAAAACTGAATTAAAATCCGTTACGTAGTCTAAGATCTAACAATCCGTCGAGCGGACAGAAGATGCGACTTCATTTTATACTATGTAAAGATTCTATACAATAGAAAAGGAACAATATAACATACTGAATCTATAGCAGTGATAAAAATAATAGAGAAGTAGGTACCAATAGAGTTTCTTGCCAGTTTTTTTGGAACTAGCCAAACTGGACGGGATAGTAGAAAAAAGTCCTATATATTTTTTTGCACTCACCTGAAGCGAGGCCGGCGATGGCCAGGAGTGTTATTATCGTTTTCATTTTGGATGTGTTCGAGATCCTTCTGCGCAGATGGAGGACGCTTGTACGGTACGAGCGCAGATATGAACTGCAACATCGGGATGTCGGGAGGGCCTTTTAAACTATCCATAAGATTCCGGTCCAGTGACAGAGATTTAAACATATAATATCGAGAGATATTATACTTTGTTTACTATCCGACTTCGACAATGAAGGCCGAAATTTCAAATGTAAACACGAAAAACCTATATTCGTTAATTTACATTTCTGATTAACTATTACGGGATGGAAAAACCAATAACAGACAAAAATACAGGCGGCAGCAGACTCGCTACTTGTTTGATAATTAATTATGCATATTTAAAAAATGAATATAGTTCGATCGTTAGACATAAGTACACAATGTGAAAAAACCTGACTGTTAAAAAAATCAGTTTCTTCTCAACTTGCTTGTAATGCCATATTGATGTCAATAAAATAAATAGGTACATATTATCGGTTAAATAGAAAAATGGCAGTATTCAAAATGTACATTTTTTATAAGCTATCTACTAGAATTTAAAGTTTTTAAATAATTTTTTCTTTAAAGTTTTATATTTACACAGAAGTATTATATATCATTTTAAAAGTATTAAGATAATGATTAAGACGGCGTGGTTAATTTAATTGGCTTGACGACTAATATAAAAGTAGAAAACAATTCTAGCTTCTAATTATGAAAAATTTCATTTTTCTATTTAATCGACATCGACATCGATATATTCAAAAGCGATGTTATGATTAAAAGTAAAAAGTTCGCTTATAGTGGGTGACATCCTACTCGGTACGATTAATAAAACAATCAAGGTGACTTGACAAACAGGTTCAGTTCAAACAATTTATTACTTTAAAATAGTATGCTTTAGGGTTATTATTGTTAATTGTTATTTTCTAATATTGTTTTTATAAACTTATAAATAACTTGTAATATCTGTTTGTTTAGATCAATCCTCGGAAACTGAATAAGAACCAGTTCCTTTTAACTGATTTTGTCGAAATTTTCCGCACAACTTCAGCTCAGGCTTTCTATTATGTAATTCATAATAACTTCTTCTCTTTGTTTTTCAAATTGGTTTCTAGTAGTAATTCTATTTATGTATACTTTGTACAAAGTATTATTAGGTAGTAGGCAGTATAAGTAGTATTAGTGGGTACCTCTGTTCTAAATATTTCAGCCTCAAAGCAGCTTGCTTTGTTTGAAGGGTAAAAAGATAAGGCAATGAAATTACATGAAGTTAGAATGAAGCACAGATAACATAATATATGAAGACATGATAGTTTTGCGGGCGTCACGTGATAATAAAATGTCCATGGTAGGTACTGCTTACGTATATAGGTGATGGTAACCATTTTTCATTAGACCATAACATAATAGAACAGCATAAATTTATAGAACTATCATATAATCTCGCCTGTAATTATTAACTTTCATGTGTACATATTTATATTACAGTATATAATTTGTATCATAATACATTTGGCAACATTACAAAACTACTATTTTTCTAAACACAGTAAGCCAAGTCTTCGTAATACATATTTGTGGAGGAATAATCATACATATCCATATCAAGATAGAAATTAATAGTCTTATGATTAATATTGAGATTCATCCATGCTTTATTCCAGACATTCAGTATATATCACGATATGCTATCATTACAATTTTTATTGTACATGTACACACACATGTATTGTACATGTACAGCTTTGCCGTATATAGAATTGAATATTGATATCAAAGTCTTTTCGGTAAGTATATGTCCTACTCCTCAGTGTTGGCAGATGGCCTTATGGTGGATTACGAGAACATAATTGCATGGAAGTACGCTTAATTGAATTTTTCAGAGTATATTAAGTCCAGTACAAGAAATTAAGGAATTACAGATATGCTCATCTAATTTTAATTCCCATCTGTTCCGGTTTGAAAAGGGGAAAGAAATAAAAGAAAATAGATGGTAAAATATGAAAGTCATACACTCCCGTTCGTATAAGAGAGAGAATGTCCGGCAGCAGAAATTACAAAAACATGGGCCGCGGTTCATACGTACCCTTAGCGATGTCCTCAAATAAAAGTCGTCGTCATGAAAAACTGAAAAGGACAACGGTCAACACAGTATTAGACTACTTTGAAGTTTGAAAAAAGCAACGCAGTGAAGGTGACTGCTTTGTTGCGGAGACCTTGGTACTAAACTCAATGATGGGAAGACCAGTTAATTTAGTTAAATGACGATAGATGGCGTATATACCTTAACTGATACAACCTTTGTCGAGAGTTGTAGGAATAATATACAGCGTCATCTATTGAGAATTATGAAAATTAAAAATCATTTAACAGAATTTACGATGGCATCTGCGTGATTTTCCAGTACAATAAAATCAAGACAACAAACAAAATTATTTCTGAAAACATTACTACTTATTTCACTTATTTTAGCACAATATGGCTATGCTGTGACTTAAGATCGAACATGAGTGGAGTTCTGTTAAAAAAAAAATATTGTGTCGCGATTAAGTTGTTTTCTTTCGAACTTTGTCTTGAGGGTACACGCAGGTGTTAAATCAACAAAAATCAGAAGTACACCAATTAACCAACCAGTGTTAATTATTTTTTTATTTATTACAATCAATATATAACGTTTAAAGAGAATTGTAAGCTCTTGTAAGTGAACACCGGCTATCCAGCATTTAGGGAATCCTTGATCCTTGATTGGGAATCCCAATGGAAATTGAAATTGATTATCGGCACTAATATAAAATAAAAAAAAATAGATGCAGTTCTTTATAAGTAAATCAGTGTTTAAATTTCTTTTATATTTTAAAATTAAGCCTTGATTTATTATAATGAAATTAAAAGACGATAAGAAGTAACGGAATTAGGGAGAAATGAAAGTTACAGTACAAAGTAGCATAGTCCCTAACTAAAATCCCTAATTTTGCGCTAGTTTTGACATTAAGATAGAATGAAAGGAGAATTACGAAAGACATTTGTCGAATGATTTAAGGCATTTCGACTAAACATGAGAAATGCTGAAAATGGGCCAAAAAAATAAAAGGAACAGTGGATCAAGGTGATTCTATACAAGGTCATTCTGAACAAAAGTTCCGTTTTACTTCTTAGGTTTGGAATATTAAGAACATTGTAAAGACGTTGCATCAAAGCTATAGACACAATGTTCTGACCCTTTCTTTTTCATCAGATTTGGCGCCTCTTAAACCGGTTGTTTCACTTTCCACGCTCGAGTCCATTGACCAAAGATATAACGAAGATATCATCTGAGTGACTCACGGCGATCAGTTTTTGGGTGCTTTCTCCCACACCTGACAGAAAGGGGCACGTGTCGCGGATACGAACACTTTCCACTGGGGGAAATGAGACCAGTGTTTTGCATGGCCTTGATTCGAGAGTCGGCTGCTAGCGAGTGCTGCGCGATCGTGAATTCGTGATCGTCAGTCTTGCTCTGACGCTAAAACCTTCGACACGTTATACTCGCGGCTTCGCTTTCCCGCGAGTAAGACGCGTGTGTCAAACAGAAAGTGCTACAAGTGCGAAATCAGTGGTTTTTGTGTTTTTTTTACCGTGCGGTGGATAAAACGAGCAAATCTGGAGCGTCACAGTAGTTCAAAGAGGTCTGTTTCACTTATTATTCTCTAGATCCTTAATACCTGTGAATTCTTTGAGTTTATTGTTTTTGTTTTGTAGAGTTCGTCGGTTTTACGATTATGTGGTCGTACTACAAATGTAGACGCAGAATTGCAGTCAGAATTATTGTTCTGTTCACGCAAAAAATGTGAAAGTTGCTCGGACGTCTGTCTTGTATGTACGATCGGGTGCACTAATCACAGTGTGGTCATGCCTTGTTGGTTCAATCGCATTTTTCATTTATCTTTTTAAATCTTCTCTATTCATTAATTACGATCATTATCAAACAAATATTATCGTAGCTGTATCTAATGAAATACTATTATCTTTACCTGTTATAATTATAACATGTAGAGAGTTATAATAATATGCATTATGATAACAAGAAACTTTCGAGTTGAAATAACAATATAAAATTATGAACAAATTTTTAAAAATAGTTTTTAGTAGGGTTATTTGAAATTTCACGTATAAATTTTTATTTTTATTGTAGTTTAAATAGTATTTAAAGTTACACCACAAATTGACAGCATTCGTTATTTTTGAATATAACACTGAGATAGACGGGCGGATAAAGTAGCACCTAGTACCATAAAGATTCTGTTTTACCTATTTAGTCGTAAAATCTTTTTTGGACCCTAAAACCGGCTCCATGTGGCTGTAGGCACGGGTAATAGCGTTATAAATATATAACATGAATGTTTGTCTAACTTCGCGTAGCACTTGACGAAAGTTCGTAAAAGCATCATAAAAAGAAAGTCAGGGTGGCAGACAGATTCTGTAGAATAATACCACAGAGAATTACTTCTACGTATACACAAAGTGCTACTTTTTCAGTCACCATATTCCGACATAAACTTTTAGTAAGATGTTGTCTGGATACCTCTGTACCTATCACCTATTTCAGCCATTAAGCAGTTTGCTTCGTAATCTATAAAGACTGTAGACATTTTGACATCTTCATCGGACTGGCAATGTGTGATGGATACCACGGATATTATGATAACACGATATTATTGTTCATGTATATATGCGACGGTCTCCACATACCGTCAGATGGGTCGTCAGGAGGTTTCTATTCCAATTAAATAAAATATGTATTGCTTACTGAAAGAAATAAGAGCCCGTTCGGCGGGCAGCTGTATTTCAGAAGAGACTTAAAATTAAAAAGTAGGCTAATTAATTTACGGGTCATGATAAAAAGATATTTATCTATATGCGTAGTTTTTGACTTATGTTGAAAAATTCACCCAGTCTATCTAGTTTTCCGGATAAAGTCAGAACTAACTATTAGAAAATATATAATGTTCTTATAATATAAATTCACCGTCTACTGAACAAAGTAATAAACGACCTATGGAGATATTGAATTTTCCTATATTGTACTCAAGAGAAGTATTTGCAAGGGTGTAGAGTACCTATAGTTAAATTAAATTTTATTAAACGCTAGCTTTTACGACAATACGACGTACAGGGTACATTTTCGCAACGTTCCCTTATATGTATATATGATGAATTATTAGATATTGGTATAACCATAGATAAGAAAATATTACATACTATATAACTAATGATATTCTTTTATCTCTCGTCTGCCATGTTTAAATTTAGCTTGGCATATTTGGTTGGTAGGAGATGAACCTAGGATTAATTTCGTTTTTTGTTTCTTGCGGAGAGTTCGTGAGTGTCGTGGCCAGTGTTTGATGCGAACTTACGTAGATAAATCGGGGTAGTAACTAATTATTACTTACAAAATGAGGAATCTGGAAAACTCTAAAAATGTTGTAGGAGATAGTATCTACTCCTTAAATATAGAATTTTAAAGGATATTAATTATATCGCTGTTTACTTTCAGTCTTCGGCATTACAGAATTACTTCGTTGCTTTCTATTTAAAAGCTATAAATAAAACTCCATTTCCCTGTCCTTTCACGGCCCCTAAACGCTTTTAATTATCCCTATCTTAATTGAATACACAAAACATCTTTGTAAGCAGAATTTATGAGATCGAAATGTGAGAGGAGCACTCACACCGTGACATGACAAAGGCACTGTTGACTTTGTTTTTCAGCATTTTTCAGGCCAGCTCTGGGGAGCTAAAGGGGTGGAACAAACAATGGTGTTACAAACACAACAGCACACCTCCGCTCTTTGAGTTTGGGGTGTACTATTATTGAAACCATGCGAAATAATATTGTTCCATAAAATTTATAGTATTGGACTAAGATTTTTTGTTGTTGTGAAAATTGATAATACAGACATACAGAAACAGATCGCGTTTATAATATTAGCATTATTAGTAATATGTTTAGAGCATTTTGGGGAAGTGTTGTGTTTACTAGGACGTGGACAGTTTATATTGTCTCTAATCATATCTTCTGGGATAACAGTCGTGAAGATATATATTATTATCCAATAAACAATAAACAATTGTATTTCGTATTGTTCATGTAAAACATTTTTGTTTTGATTGTTTATGAATCGAAGTCACAAGTTCAGCTTTTTGTAGAAATAAATTCATGAAAGTTTCGTTAATTTAAAATTATATAACTACGTATTAATATTATAAATGCAAAAGCGTATATGTCTGTCTGATTGTTATAATACCGTTTTATGTCTAAACGTCTGAAATGATCTTAATAAGATTTTAAGTAAAGATACGAGTTAAGTACTACTTTAAGTACTTTACTTAATCTGTTTTCTAAAAAAACAGATTAAGTCACTGGAAACAGCTAGTAAAGTATATAAATAATAATAAGCAGGATCTTTATTACTTGTTGCAGTTTCGTACTCAAAGTTGTTATAGTCAACAGCTGTTATAGAGGAACTACGGCTGTATCTTTTAAACTGATATCGCAAAGTTTCACCTTTGATGCAACAACTTGAAGATTAAAGTTACTTTACAAGTAGATTGAGATCACAATGGTACTATGAGTTTCCGTACTGATTTATTTTATACTACCTATACTCGCGACTTCATACACGTGGATTTAACTTTATTTTTATAAAATAAAAGTAGCCTAAGTTACTCCTTATTACATCAGCTACCTGCCAAAAAAAGTCCCGTCAAAATCGGTCCAGCCATTTCCAAAATTGTAAAAATTGTTATTTTGATGTATGTATTCTATTTCAATTCATATACATGTACTAAAAAACGGTTAATTTAATGTTACGAACAGACACTCCAATATTATATTATTTTTATATGCGTTTAGTACACTTTATTAATATAGTGATCACGCCTAGTGCGATCTAGGCGAAACGTCGAGAGAGGTACATTATTCGTGTTATAACCTGTTTAACTATATTAATAGTATCTAAATGTCATGAAATTAAATTATTTATTAAATATTAGCTGTTATGCATGACTTCCAGAACACAACTTGCAAAAGGGCAAACACTGACTACGAGTTAGAGGTCCCCACGCAATTATTTATTAGTTTCTCCAACAACTATTGCAATTTAAATTATTTTGTATGTTAGTATGTTTACGTGTATTGGCGACAGTTTCATTAGATGATCAATTTATAGTCGTGTAAAGATGTTAATATAAAATATCGTGTGGTTAGAGAATAGTACGTTTCCACAGATACGTATAATACGTATATAAAAAATTGGGGAAAAATATAGAATAAGCTGCGGGTCACCGGATAGAGGTGCGACTGTTAGGATAGGTATCCTATTGTTTGTTTTTCTGAAAGCTTAAAATAGCCCATTCTTTTCACGTTTAGTGTCTACCTACCAATCTGTAACTGAGTGAGGGACATTGTGGAAAAATTACCTATTGTTTTACTTTACTTAGTGTGATTGAAATAAGATTATGTTTTATTTGTAGGTAGGTATATATCGTGGAACTTGTAAATAATTAAACATAGCTTGCCGCGCATAGAATGTGTATAATATAATGTTCCATTTGGTAAAAATATGTTAATTATTTCCGTCACAAGTACACAATAAGAGGACACTGACTCCTGAAACACAGGTATTTTATACACATAGCATATAAGTCAATAACTGTGTAAAATATTATAAACGCGACAGTTTATTAATATGGACGGATAGATGGATGGATGGATGATTGTTACTCTTACTTTCACGCAAAAACTACTGAACTAATTTTGATGAAACTTTACAGTAATATAGGTTATACATCAGAATAACATATATGCTATAAATTTCATCCTGCTGAAACCGCATACACAGCTGCAAACACTCACTAACATGAAAAGTGAGAATACGAGCTTCATGGATTCCTTATATCATGTGTATTAACTGATATTGTGATATTTGGGGGAGGGGATTGTTAGTAATGGTACTTAATAATCAAATTGCTTGCAATATACTATATCAGGTCGACATCATATTTCTAGTGATATCGTTACGCCATCGATATCCACTGGTGCTCCGGCATCTTCCACAATACTGTTACAGACAATTGAGTATAACGCTATGCCATTATCAACTTAAAAAGATATACTATATATATAATCATAATACTATACTCTTACAGAAAACGCGAGTTTCATAGCAATATCATCAACTTAAAAAAATAGTATATCGCATTATACATTTTTTTAATGATATTTAATAGAAAAAATAGATATAATTAATTATGACACTTTATTTCGATCAACATATCCCTAGAACTATGGCGGTCGAAATTGGATTCTTACTTCACTATCGTAAGAAGAAAAACCACTAAACATGAATTGTAACTTAGCTGGAATGATACAGATAATAGTAACCTTGGCCGATGTTTGGCCAACATGGCCAAATGTCGTTAAGATATAAAATTCATTACGGTCTGCCAGGTTGATAGTGGCACAGAGTTCGCGTGATTACAGCCCATCAGGGTTGGTGCATTGGCGCCTAGCGGGTTTTCGCTAACCGACTAATGGCGAAACTGTGAACTATTTAACCATAAATTGAGATTTGTAATGATATTGATGTATAGTAAATTTGGAGGTGTATAAATAATAAATAGCAAT